TTTTTATAAATAATAGGTAATTCTAAAAAATGATTATTAATTTTAAAGTTAAAACAATTATTATTTTTATTTATTCTTTTGTTTTGTTACACCAAGAATTGAAATGAGGTACACGGAGAGACCGAGATTACTAATTTTTGTATAAAATCACACTAGAATTTACTATATTCACATTGCAACCGCCGGAAATAAGGGGACTTTTTGTATTTTTTACTATTTTCTACACTAAGTCACTAATCCCGACAAATGTTCACCAAATTAGCAAAGTTTCTTACTATTTCGTCCAATAGTTCCAAACAACTGTAGTAAAACTCAGAAACATTGTGTACGTAAAATTACTATAGTCGTTGTAAATGCAGAAAGAAAGAGTGAAAAGAAAAAATACGGATTTTTGTCGCCGGTTTCCCGTCAATTCTTGACTAGTGGAGGTAAACTGGAAGGATTTTTACATACACAGACACACACACTCACACACTTATATATTTGTTGTTGGATAAATATTTGAAGACACACACATGTTTATTTCACTTATATGTATAGACGCGGTTAATTAATACACTAATACACAACTGCACGCACGACAACGAATTTCACTGAAAGTATACATCTTTGTTTCCTTATATATTGAATGATGAAAATTTACAGCACTTACGAGAAAGCAGTTTACTTTTAACAACTTATTATAAGACATACTTCTTGGGACAGGAATAAATGCAAAATTTATTAATTTATAATGGTCAATTTCTGAGATACCGAACGACCTACGTTTCACTTTATATTTAATTATTGTAGATAATATCCAAATTTATTTTACATACGCGAAACATAGTCACTGTCAATGATCGGAAGGCATCGGCTCATTTACGGAGATTGACGAGGTTAGCAACCAATAGAAATACAGGCGCCATATGACTGCACTCGCTAGCCACACTTGCTCACCAAAAATTACTACAGTGGATAGAAGATTTTAGTGGAAAATGTTTTCATTTGTCAGATTTTTTCTAATTAAATTAGAGAAAACTATAATCAATTTTCGCTACATTTACAACTCTTACACAAAATATTAAAACTTGCTATTTCAATGTAGCAAATTTATCTATTTCTTTTGTAAATTTATCTAATTCTGTAGTACATTATGCTAAAAGTCCCCTTATTTCCGGTCATTGCAACCGTTTTTAGTAATTTTTACGAATGTGGGTCTCTCCGTGTACAAATTATGTTTTTTTTTCATTTTTTCTTTATTTTCAATGAAAACTTTGAATATTGTTAAAAAATTGTCATTGAGAAAGAGAAATTATGCAATTTTTTCCTTTTTTCAAAAAAAAAAAAAAAAAAAGTGATCTTGCAACAATGTAAAAATAATAATTGACAAATCAAGATCATGCAAATATTTTACATTTTTTTCTAAAAAAAAATAATTTTTGTTAAAAATTTTGTCTCACAAATCAAAATTACAATTTTATTTATTTGTCTAAAAAAAAATTCGAAAATTATTTAACAAATTGTTAAATATTATTAAAAAATAAAGAAAAAAATTTGCATAATTTCTTATTTATTAATCACGATTTCTAAGAAAATTCTGATTTTTTGGAAATAAATAAAAAAAGAATTAAAATTATAAAATATAAAATATATTTATAATTATTTGTTATTTTACTTCCTCAAAGAAAACTTTATTTTATTATATTGTAATTATTTATTATTTTATTATAATAATTTATTAATTATTAATTGTATTATTAATACAACTACTCTAATTCATTCTACTCTCTCGATGAAGTAACAACATTTCCTCCACTATTTATTAATTTTTAAGCAGTTGAATTTTTTAGTAATGAAAAAATTATTTTTTTTTCAAAAGATGAATAAAAGAGAAAAAAATAATAATAAAACGCGTGCTGCCATCTTATCACATTTCTTTGAACAATTTAATACTAAACAATGAGAAAAACCAGTTTTATCGACATCCTTTTCTTTAATAGTACTTTGTTATCTTTTAATGATAAAATTTTTTTGAATTATAAGCTCAATGAAAATTTCTCTTCCTTCTGTGACTCACATAAATTAATAAACATATTTTACTGCTAATTAATTGATAAAATTAATCACAATTTAAAATTATATCTGAACAAAAAACATTCAAAACCTTCTATTAATTATAATTATAATTTTATTATTAATTTTACACTTTTATTTTGTAATAAACACTCGAAAATATTTACATGAAGATGATTAACTTCAATTTTTATTTCAATTTCAATTAAATTTTTAAATTGAAAACAAACGTGTTTTCAAGTTGAAAAAAATGTTAGTTAATATATTAATTAATTAATTAATACTAATTATATAATTATAATTATTAATTATACAATTATAGTATTAATTATATAATTACAAAATTAATAATAATAATAATAATAATAATAATGTTTTCTTGTTTATTAGTAACAATAAAAATTTTATAAAATAAAAATAATTTGTATTTTTTACACCAATGAATAATAAACCCCCTTTTCCAAAAATGGAAGAACCGAAAAATGTTAATGACTGCAAATTATGCATAAATGGAATGAATGTGAGTTCAAAGATTAATTTTTTTACGTCACGAGAAATACCAACAAGTTCATTTTAATGACGTCAAAAAAAAAACAATAGCCATCAATGGACCTTCAGCGATTATTTGATTATTGAAAAGAATTTAATCGAATAGACATTCATTTATTATCTTAATCGAGGCACCATCATTTTTTTGTCTATTAAATATATACGAAGACCGTGTGATATGAAAAATGTTTCTTAAATCGGCAGCAAATTATTCTCTGATAACGAATATTATTATCTTACTCAAATAATAAATTTTCGAAATAAAACGATCAATTTATGTTTCAAGAACATTATTTTACTTTTTTTTGTACTTTTAATCATTGAAAAAAAATATTTAAACGAGAAAGAAATTTTATGAATATTATTTTACTTTTTTGTACTTTTAATCATAAAAAAAAATATTTATAGTAGAAAGAAAATTTATGAGAAGGAGAAAATTGATATGCAAAAAGAAAATTTATGTGAGAAGAAAATTTTATATGAAAAGGAAAATTTATATGGGAAAAAAATATTTGTATATGGAACAAAATTTACTTTCAAACAAAACAGAATTTTTCCCTTTTAATTTGACAAAATTAGTTAAATTAATCTGATTTGTAATTAATCAGATATAATTTGAAATTAATTATATCTGATTTGAAATTAATTAAAATTCAATTTGAAAATAATTTAAATACAAAAATTCGCAATGTAGGTACAAAAATTAAAATAATATTTATAATTAAATTAGGAAAATAATTTAAAAACACAAAAAATGCGGTACGTACTTTTTGAAAATCGACTTTTTTCTCAACTTGTAATAGAAATCCTAAATTTAAACATTTTTTCTTTGCGTATTCAAAACTAATAAAACGAGAAATTTTGTGCACTCAAATTCACTCACAATCACTGTGAAAATATTTCGAATTTTCAAACGACACTTTCCTTAAAAACAGTAATAAAACAATTTATGACTTAAATATTATTTTTATACTTGAAAAAACTACACAAACAAATTTTTAAATTGATAAAAAATTAAATATTTTTAATTGAAAATAAATAAATAAAATTTCTAAATTGGCGAGGCAAGTTTTGCACGGTCCGGTCAGTTGCTAACTGATGAGACATGAATCAACACGACATATAGGTACATCAACTGTATGATTGATCCTGATTCGACATGATTATACAGTTGATTACCGCGTCAATAACTTTGTATTGCTTTATTTTCCAATCTATATTGCGTAACAAGTAAATAAAAAATTTAATCCAATTAGGAACATTTTTGAAATATTTATCAAAAAAGATTTCAATTAAAAAAATATTTATTTATTTATTTGAGAAATATACTTAAAATATTTATTTTAAGCACAAACAACCAAATAATTAACGTTTATAATTTATTATAGATTTCTTTTACATATTTTTTGTGTTATTGCCTTGTTATCAATTTTTATCTTATTTGTAAATTAAGTAAAATTAATTAATATTGTAACTGTATAGAATGGAGAAAAATTTGTCACACAAAGAGTTTGTCATAATGTTTGAACTTTTCCACAATTAAAAGATCTCATCAAATTGATTAGGGTCATTGGCGTTTGAGAAATTTCTATTGTATATTGCTAGTGATATTCAATAATTTCCTCTTTTGTTCAAAACTAAATAGAAAATAAAAGAAAATAAGAAAAGAGAGAAGAAAATAAAAAATAAAATAAAAAGTAATAAAATAAAGTAATAATTAAAAATAAAAAGTAAAATTTAAAAGAATTTATTGAAATCTCATAGACTAATGTAAACTTTTCCACGATTGAAAGATTCGATCAAATAGATCATGGTCATAGACAGCGGAGAATTCTTGTTTCCTTACATTGAGGTATGTATTTATTGAGCGTGTATTGAGTATGTATTTATAAGGGATGTAGTAATAGAAATCAGAAATGATCGATTTCTCATTAACGTAATTGAAATTACACGGAAAGCACAAAGTAGTTATTGATGTATTTACATATGATTACATGTTAACAAATGTATTCATGTATCACTATTCAATAGTCAAAATAAGTAAATTACAAAACAAGTGTGAATTAAAATTAAGGCCTTAATTCAATAATATATTGACTTTCTCTATAATAATAACTTCGAAAATTTAAATAATCAAATAAATAATAACCACGAGTAATAACATAACCTTATGTTTAATATTTACTTAAAGAAAAGACGCTTGTTTTCTATTTAATAACAGAAAAAAGTAACTATTCTTTCTATAATGAGACTTCAACTTGTGAAATTTGCAAAGTGTTTACAAACACGTGTTTAAACACATTGAGCTTACGGTGCTTTTAAAGTTTCGTCAAAATAGTGTAAAATTAACAAACACATCACCATATTTTATTGTAATAAGTATTTAAATTACTCACATTATCTTGTTTTAGAATTATTATTGAAGTATTTTGTTCTAAAGTGTTAAAACAAATGATAATAAATCACTGTGTGTTGATCGTTGATGAAAGTATTTTGATGATTCTAACCACAATATTTTAGATGATGATGTCGCAGAATTATATTGAATCACATCACTCAAAAACACCTTTTTACGAAAGTGAACATATTAAATTTTGTAAAACACGACAATTATTGATAAAACGACACTGCACATTGGAATATATTATTTAAACTCAAAGACATAAAAAAAGGAACAACTCGAACAACCGACAACCGTCAACTGCCATGACGTCATTCAGAGATGGGTAAGTCAATTACTGTTTAACGTTTACATGTGAATCTGCCTTTAGAGCGTAAGAAACATAATGGTGCAATCACACCGTGTTCTCACACCGTATTATTTATTTTAATTCTTTTAATTTAATAAAATTGTTATTAACTTTTAAATAACTCACCGATATCTTGAAAGTTGGTATCTTTCTAATTTTTGAGTAATTATCCAATGATGGTGTTTTTGATATCGCGAATTAATTCGTTGCCCGCTGTAGCACAGGCGACGTTGCCAAACAACCAGCATCACTAAAAAATTTTGAAATTGCACAATGAAATTCAAATTTTATTTATTTAGTTATTTAAAAGATTTCTATTTTTGTTAAAAAAAAATGTTTAGAGACTATAGTAATTTTAAAAATAATAATTTATAAAAAATAATTTTTAAAAATTCACCGGGGGGCCCTTAATTAGTTATTTAGTTTCCCAGCCCTGCTTTAAAACACCATAGAGTGAAGTTAGCCATTAACAAACCGTCAAATAGTGAGAACTCGGATTAAGGAACATTTTAAAATAATGTTAAATATTAAAAAGTTTTTTAAACATTTCTATAAAGTGCAATAGGATTAGGTACTTTTTTGTTGATCAAGTTTTATTTTTAGTTTTGCAGTCATGCTTTCTTGTATGAGTTTTTGATTACTACATTTTTCAATAACATGCAAGACGAATAGTTTTCAGAACTGGTACACATAGAAATATAGGTATTTATAAAATTTTATTTAATATTATTAAACTGTTTACTTGAAATATTCATTGATTGAAATATAATAATATTGACAGCGTAGAAAAGATAACTATTAAGCAATTGAAAATTGGTATCAGGCAGGGTTGCGCAGTTACGCGTAACTCGAGGTTTTCTACGTATGTTACATGTATGTTACATGAAGTAACATACGTATGTTACCCCCCACTCTCGAAAAATACATGGATGTAACAATGTAAGGACGTAACGTACTAGGTAACATACAGTAACAAACCCATGTAACATACATGAAGTATGTTACGTACCCATCCCTGGTATCAGGTGCCCTTTGTACGCATCATATCAAAGATCAGATAAATTTATTTATCAATTTGATTTTTGATTTGCTAATTGTTGCTAGAATATACTTATTATTTTTCAATATACTGTAAAAATTTCTTAGAAATATTTACTGTATGTTAAATTCGTTAAATTCCAAAAAATGATTTTTTAGGTTATGTTTGATAAAAAAATAGAATGACATGCGTGAAATATCCTTTTTTAAATTTCTAAAAATCTAGAGGTTATAAATTAATAAAATAAAATAAAAACTATAATTAATTGAAAAAACCTCTATAGATTTCTTAACCTTATCGAAGTAAATACTATAAATAAAAGTAAATTAAAAATAATATATTCACTATCGAAAGCTAAAGAAGCTAAAGAATTTTCTTTATTTTACAATATTAATGATCGTTTTTTCTGAAGACAAATTAATTGTTAAAATATATCATATTAATGTAAAGGAAAAACAAAGTATTCTCTATATTTACTGTTAATTTACCTCGTAAACGTGAATTATTGGAGAAATTGCAACATCTTTTGGTCACAAGTAATGCACAGGATAAATTATTTTTTATTTTTAATGTGAAATCTAAAAATAATATTACCACGCACAATTATAATTTTCAACACTTATAACCACATTCACAATATTATTTAACTAATAATTCACAGCTCAAATTAATTTAATACGCAATTGTTTAATGTTCCTACACTGTAATTATATTTCGCATTTATACTATAGAAAAATTTATAATCTAAACACATCTACATTTGTGCAATGTCAATATGTACACTGAATCAGAAAATGATGAAATAATTTACTGTATATACAGAAAAACGCGAACTTTTTTTTTAGAACTACCGACAAATGTTACTGGCTTTCAGTGCGTGGAGTCGCGCATGGCACACGAAACTAACGCGCGCTCTCTTTGTCATTGCGGATACCTCCAACTTAATTGTTTTTACTGTTATCGCATTTCAATGGAATCCTTAATGTCCAACTTTAGGAAATCTTATATATATTTTTTAATTAAAGTAATCAAGCTATTAAAAAAAATTGATTAAAATAAAAAAAAATGTCTTAAAAATTCTATTTTTAAACAAAAATTTTCAGTTAAAATAAAATTGTAAAATTAAATACGAATTTTTCTCAAAATAGTACGAGAATTGAAAAAAAAATATATAATTTTTTTTAATTTCGAAAATAATTGAAAATGGGGGTAAAAAGGGAATAAAAAATTCAAAATCTGTGAGTGCAAAAACATATTTTAATTTCGAAGTTTATCCCATAATTTTTATGAAATACAAGTACTATAAATGATTTGAATCTCGTTACTCTAGTTGCTTAATATGTAATATTAAATATAAGAACAAATAAATTGCATTTTGTCAAAAATTAAAAAAAAAAAATTTGTTAGTTTACCGCCAAGGTATTTATATAGTAAAAAAGTCTTTTTTCACAGCATTTATGGTCGTAGATTTTTCGTCAGATTAATATGTATATTAAAAACACAACAATACTGAAGCAATAAAATTACTAAACATACATTCTTTGTTAGTAAAATTATCGAAATTAAATGTAGAGTATATAATTTTGTGAGTTTAAAAATAGAATATGTTATATTCACAAATGCTTTCTCGTACGAATATATATTGTTTACATAATAATAATAACACTTTTGAAGTTAATATTTTACCTTTCTTGTTACAAGTTTTACTTTTTTTTTTTTCCTTTTCAGAAATCACAAGAAAGGTAAATCTATGAAAAGTATACGATTATAATCAAATACAGCCTCTCTTAAGCCTATTCATTAAAGTTGTCTAAAGATTTTGCAATACATATTACGAATATATATACATTCATGTAGATTATTTCAAATATTCAGACTTGTAAATAAATTGAATTTTATTGCAAGAATTAAAAACTTGACAATAATTTTTTTTTTTTTTATAAATTTCATTTATATATTTTATTTGCTGTTTGACAACAAATTCCTACAATAATTCTTAAGTGTTAATGTAATCTTTTAAATACTCTATAATTATTTTATATTTATCTTATGCAAAAATACCAATTAGAAATTTAACGAAAATTAGATTTATTTTTTTTAAACCTCAGTAAATAAATAAACTTTTCGTTCATCGGGGGTTGATTGTCAACATAACTTTTTTTTTCTTCGCTTTTGGAATTATCGTATTTACAACTAGAAAGAATATAAAATGTCTGAGGTATTCAACTTTAACCAATCGTTGTATTATTTCTATACTGTGATCAGAATACTGTGCTCGGAAGTTTCGTTTATACATTAAAATAAAAAAAAAAAAAAAAAAAAAATCAAAAAAAAAATAATATAAAATAAAAAAATAACTAGTCAATAGAAAATTAAAATAAACTATCTACTTGAAAACAAGTTTTCTATTTGTTTCAAATTAAAAAAAAATACTCGCTCTATTTACATAGCAGTTCGGAACTACCAAAGTTGATTTTGAATAAAAATAAAAACTACTAAATATTTCTTCTTCTGGAGTTTTAGTGAATCATTTTGTGAATTTTTAGAATTTTCCCCAAACGTTGTTTTGCTGTTTTCATCCCCTTTTTCGGTTTTCGCTCTGAAAATGAATTGGAATTAATATTTTTTTTTAGAACACAAAGAAATATTTGCTGTATTTTTGAAATTTTCTCTTACCAACTGGAACGGGAGCGGCAAGTTTTGCCTTAACATCTCTTAATCTGTTTGGACTGGATAAAATTGATGTATAAGTAGTGGTACTTGCTTTAGGTGTACTTTCCCTTGGTATTACAGAACTTGTCGCAGCTGATGCAATATTTAGATCTTTTTGCTTCCGTTTATTATACGTTCTTTTCGATGTCGACTGTAAAAATAGAAACAAAAATTATTCCTCAATTTTTTTTCTCATTTAATACTCGAAAAGAATTATTAAATTCTTAAATTTAAAGAGTCAAAAGTTTAAAGAATTTTTCAAAGTCATTAAAAATCTATATTCTCAAATCGGAAAAAAAAATTCTCCTAATCAAAAGGTATTTAAAAGATAATTTGAAAAATATTTTCAAAACATCTTAAAGTCACTTTTTTTTAATTTGCTGATCAATAAATTAATGGACTTTTAATATTTTCCAAAAATTAAGTCGAGTCTAAATGTTGATAATTAATTATCAATATTTTGGAGACTCGACATTGTAAAAATTTACCGGTTGCTTCGCTCGTTTAGCAGCGGCTGCTTCCAATCCTTTCTCCACTGATGTTTTTTTAGCACCTTCTCGCGCAGGACGATTAGTTTTTGGTAAAAGTGGTCCAACTCTCGCTTTTGGATTCCAAGCTTCGTCCTCCTCTCGTTTGCCTTTATTTTTGAAAGCAAATTCCTCATCATCCGATACGTCTAATGCTGGATAAACTAAAAAATTGACAATCAAAAAAAAATTCAAGTCTAAAACAATCTAAAATTGTCCTAAAACAAAAATTTTTGAATAAACGAACATTTTTTCCTGTTCTTTTTTAATTCTATTTTTCTTTCTATTTTTCTACATATTTTTCTTTCCGTTTTTTTCAAAAACTAATATTTTCTATTTAATTTGGTAAAATTAGAATAAAAAATAAAAAATCTTACTGAAATCGTCATCTTGATGGACTTTGTCAATGTTTTCAAGTAAAAGATCCTCGTCTTCGATTATTGCTTTTGGCGGTTTTGCTTTTTGCGTTTTCACTGGTTTCTTTGACGTTGAGGAGTAACATTGACCGCTTATCGACAACATTCCGGCAATCGCATCCTGCGTCGATGGCGAAGCCCTGCCAGAACTAAGCGTTTTCAATTTATAATTATTAAGACATCAAGACATCAAAAAAATGACGCATTGACCATTCGCAAATTAAAATCAAATCAAAGAAAATCACACATAACAAATTACTATAACTACACACGGTTTAAAATTTTCTTAATTCTTACCCCATATTCGGTGTTGCGGCCGGTTGTTCGAAATAGGAGTTCGACACAGAAGGACTGAAAATAATTAGTATTATTTATTATTTGTTATCAATTATCAACTAACATTTTTTAATCATTATTTGTAAATTATAATTTCAAAATAAGAATAAATGAAGAAAAAGTAAAAAAAAAATTAAGACTGAACCATAACAGACTTTGCACTCATTAATTAAAAAAAAGTGACAAAATTTTCAATCGTTTCAATTTTTTAAAATTATTTTCGGAAATTCAACTGTCTTCAAAAAATATTAAATACAATTTTTCAAAAACCTCATTTTTCCAGAATTTCTAAATTAAATTATTCAGAAAGTCAATAAATAATTATTTGAATACTTTTTGTTAATTAATTAATAAATTTTTAATCTGGAATTAGAATTTTAAATAATTGCAATTTGGAAATTTATTATTTTTAGATGCGAGTGCGAAATCTCGTGAATAAAAGTATAAAAAAAGTGATTAAAAATATTGAAAAGTGAACTCACTTGACGTCCAATCGTTGACTCGTTGTTCCCAAAGTATAGGCGGATGCCTTTAAAAGTTCCTCGATACCATTTTTCGGTATTGTTTCATTAGGAATATTATTATCTTGTGTACATAAACGTTTAACCCTTTTTTGCGGTGCTTTCGTGACTTTCTTTCGCTTTGGCTCTTCGTCGATGGTAAATTTTTCCACATCACTTTCATTACTACCATCGTGAAAATCATAAACCGACGTTTGCTTCCACGTTAATTCCTTAGGCGTTTCAACTGTACTATCTATTGCAAAATTTCCATAAATATTAATATTGTCATTTGTACTTCGAACCATTTCCTTATCACCTAATTTAAATCTAATAACTTTTGGACTTTGTTTGCCGACTTTCGATGCCCGTTTTTTAGTAAATGTCATGTCACTTGCTTTTGGTGTATTTGCATTTTCTTTAACAAACGAAAAGGCAGGAAGTGGTTTTGGTAGTGTCATTTTTATCGGAGGCCTACAATTTGTTCGTGTTTCATTGATAACAGTGTCAGTTTTTTTATTTGCTTCGTTAAGTGTTGCACTGAATGGACTATTTTTCATACGATCAGCACTTTCATAGTCAACAAAATCTTTATTCAATGGTTTTTTCTTCTTTCGTTTACTTTCACGTTCTGGTTTTGGGGGATTTAGAGATATTAAATATCTCTCGGCGTGGCGAATTTCTTTACTGATATCTTTCAGTAATTTTTGACTATTCATACTCGCTGGTATTTGACTTCGACTTGCCATATTATACTGAAAAAAAGAAATTGAATTTAAATTTTATTTAATTTAATATTTTCGCAGGCATCACAGTTATTACTAAGAAATTATTTAATGAATAATTTTACTTAAATATTTCAAGATTAATTCAATTTCATAAGAGTTGGGGTTTAGAATTTTAACAAATAAATGACATTCAAAAGGTTTCAATTTATAATTTTAGAAAATTTCAATTTTGAATAAATTTAATTAGAAATTTTAAAACAATGAAATTTTTGAAAAAAATTTCAACATTTAAATTATTCTGAAATTAGTTAAATTTTTTAATATACATATTTAATTAATTATTAAAAATAATGAATTTATCGAGGAATTTTAGTTAAAAATACTAACAAAATTTGAATTTTGGAAAAGTTTCAAATGATTGCAAAAACTCAACTATTTTCAAAAATCAAAAGTAATAAAATTCTTCGCAGAAATTCAATTATATTTAAAAATTTAAAGAAATTGTCGTTAAAATTTTAATTCTCTTTATAAATAATAATATTCTTCTTCAAAATTCAATTATTCTCGAAAAATTTAATAAAATTCTTGGCAAAATTTCAATTATTTGTAAAATTTTTTCTAAAATCAATGACTTTCAATATCTTTATTCTATTTTAATAAAATTTTCTAAAAGAATTCATCTATTGAAAAAATTTAATAAAATTCTCCGCGAACATTTAATTATTTTCATAAAAAATAAAAATTTCACATAAATTCATTATCAGGGTTGCTACAGAAGTCTGTTTTTAAATTTCCATGACTTTTCCAGGTTTTCCAGTACCAAATCTGATAAATTTCCAGGTCACCTTTTGAACATTATAAATTAGAGCAATTTTTCTGTATTATAAAAATATTCACGTTAGATTATCTCTATTTGATTATTAAAGCACAGACAGGGTGTCTACTGAAAATATGACTTAAAATTCCAGGACATTCCAGGACAGATTTTTTATTTTTCCAGGACATTTACATGTGTAATATTATTTCATATTACGATTAACATAATTTAAATTAACCTACTTGAACAAAAATATTAATTTTATTATAAAAAGAGTTAAAAATCAATATTATATAATATAGATATCAGATTCTTTAATCAAACGACAAATTAAAATTATTTTTTGATGGATCAAAAAAATTATTTTTTTAAATTTAAGTAAAATTTTTAAATTATTGAATATTTAAAAGCAAAATATGGAAAATTCAAGGATATTTCAGGACATTTCCAGGAATTCCAAGACATCATTTTTTAAAAGAAAAAATGTAGTAAAAAATATTAAGTGGAATAAAATTCCAGGTATTTCAAATTTCCATGACATTTCCAGGTATTCCAGACCTTTTTTTAAAAAATCCCTGACTTTTCCAGGTATTCCAGACCTTTTTTAAAAAATCCCTGACTTTTCCAGGTTTTCCAGGTTTTCCAGGTTCTGTAGCAACCCTGTAGCAAAAATTCTGTAGCAAAATTTATAAATAATTTATTTATAAATTTTTATAAATTTCGTAGCAATAATTCCATCATTTTTATAAATAATAAAAATTATCACAGAATTTCAATTATTTTAATCGAATTTCTTGAAAAATGTAATAATTCTTAAAAAGTTTTAAATTTCTTCCAAAGAATTTAATTATTTAAAAATTTGGTGGTATAATTCTTTACGAGAATTAAATTTTAACAAACATTAAATTCGTCAATAAATTACTTATTTTTGTACCTATTTAAATAATTAAATTTAATTTTCTAATTAAAATTGTTTTAAAAATAAATTTTAATTATAATTTTAGATGATAATTGAATATTAAAAGCATTATAGCACGAATTTTTTGAAAATAATTGTATTTTGAAAAGGTTTAAAACTGAAATCTTTGAAAATTTGAATTTTTCATACTTTTAAACTAACAATTCTGTGAAATTAATTTTTTAGAAAATTTAATTGAATTGTTTTAAAAATTATTTGAAGTTTTTATTATCAAAAATATATTTAATTGAAGAATTTCCGAATAATCGAAATTTCGTAAAATTGAATTATTAATTATTAAAAGTAATTGATTTAAAGAAAAAATTTAGTTAAAAATTCGACTGAATCAGAATAATCTTTAGGGTCAGGGAAAAAGTCAAAATTTTGTCTGGAAATCAGAGAAAAACAAAATTAAATTTTTGTGGTACTATGATGCCTGTTTTCGATTTTAGAAAATAAACTAATTTCACAACTTACATCTTTATCGGTATTCCATTGTTTGAGTATACTCAATAAGGCTTTAACACCTTGCAAAAAATAGGCAGGACATTTTTTACCCTCGTGATTCAATTCTTTTAATTCTTTCAACAATTTTTTTGCGGCAAACCAATTGATTGTTTCGAAACCAGGATATTGAAATTTGTACGGTGTTTTCATTTTCTTCTCTATTTCGTAAATTCTAAAAAAAAAAGGCGAAGCGATTTTTAAAAAAATCTTGTCTTTTTGAAATTTATTTTTAAATGTATTTTAAAATGTATTTTTAAATGTATTTTTAATTATTGTCTTTTTGAAAAATGACGAAAATTGAATAAAAATATCAAAGTGCTTACTGTATTTGCATGGGAATGTTAAGACTGTGAACGAAATTTCCCCCAAAGACGAGGGAATCGACTGGTGTTAAAACGGCATGAATCCAACCAGTTGGTATTAACATGGTTTGTCCTTGCTTTAATGTACACTTGTAACATGCGTCGGCTTGATCGCCGAAAAATGTTTCACTTTGCGTTGAACTGCACATCCAATGTTGATATAATTGTAAATTAGTGGGTGTCGGTCTGATGAGATAAAATATTTTTTCCCCGCGTAAAATATGATACCAGACGGATGTGCCACCGAAATCAACATGAAAATCTGTAAAACTATCCTTTACGCCCATTAGGCAATATTTTTGTACTTCCGGACGTTTCATTTCACTGTCTTCAGGCCAGTCTCGTGGCCACACTGCATTCACCCAATCAAGTTTGCGTGCAATGTAAGGTGCTTCAACCAGTGGTGCAAGACTGCAATTTTTAATATTATAATTCTATTTTCTATACATTTTTATTTCTTTATTTTTTTCAAATAATTAAATACTTTCTCAATATAATTGATTTATTTTATTTTAAATTTAAATATCAGATGAATTCGAATACTTTTATAAATAATTCATTGAAATGAATTCAATTATTAAAAAAAAAATTGTAATAAAATTGAAAAAAAATTAATTATTTTCAATACAATTTTAATAAAATTTCTTAAATGAATTGAATTGTTTTCAAAAATTTGAATAAGATTCTTCTAAGGAATTCAGTTCTTATTAATCAATTTAATAATTATAATTATATTGATCGTTAAAAAATGATTTCAATAAGAAACTAATAAAAAAATAGTATCTTTTTTCATTTACCCAGTATTTGTGAATTCAAGACTGATGACATTTAAAATTCTTGATCGGACAGGTGCATTATAATATTCAACAAATTCTCTGAGTTTCATTCGTATATTATTTTGTCTCGCAACATCAATAACGTCCATTTCTCTATCTCCACCTAAAGTAAAATACAAACTACAATTTTACAAGAAAAATTTATTGAATTTTCATTAAATTTAGAAAATATTTTCCTAAAGTTAGAAAAACAATTTTTGAAATATATTACTTAAACAATTGTTTTCTATTTTATTTAAAATATTAACAATTTTTCTTACCGACATAACTCTCAACATCGTAAACACTAAAATTGGACGGTGGCACAATCATGTCCAGACCTTCTTTTCCATCGATGATGATAGGCGTGTCAAAATCATTATTCTCTAAATATTGTATTGTTAATTGTTGACCTCTAACATGCTTCAAAACTTCGTCCGCTTTTGCAAAGTGCCTCGATTTTAATTCTCTGATAAAAACTGGAGTACCAGTTTGCACAGGTTTTGTTTCAGCGTTTACTTCTAAATAATTATGGCGATGCCAATTTGTTCGAGTTTTCACTAAAATAAAATTTTGTAAACTTAACTTTGTACTTTTATATTTTTGTAACGTATACTTATACCAAATACTTTTGTGACTTTTAGTACCCAATATTTTTGTGACTTAGCAGGGTAGTCACAAGTTTCAGTTTATTAATTTCCCTGACAATTTACTGACATTAAAATTACTTTTCTTGACAAAATTCTTGTTACAGAAAAATATAAAAATTTACGGAAAATTATTAATCTTTAAATCAATTACCTATTTTAAAAAATTTTCCGAAATTTCTTCTTGAATTTAATTATTTAAATACAGAAACTCAATTTTTTTTATAATTGTAACTTTCCATGTTTTTTTCTCAAGTTTTTAAGGTATAATAATATTTTCAAAAAACTATAATAAAAAATTCTTACAATTAATTTTGGAAAAATTAAGTTCTTCAATTTTCAAGAATTTTAATATAAATTCAATTATTTTCGACAATTTTGATAAAATTCTTTTTAAAAAAATCATTTTTTTTCAAAATTTTTAATAAAATTCCTTTAAAAAATTCAATTATTTAAAAAAATTCATCGAAACAATTCAATTATTTTTATGAATTGTAAAATCCTCCGCAAGATTCAATTATCTTCATAAATAATAAAATTCTTATGAGAAATTCAATTATTTTCAATATAATTTTAATAAAATTTCTCGAAAAATACAATTATTTTTAAAAATATTATTTTAATTCAATTATTTTCAAGAGTTTTAATAAAAATACAATTATTTTCAACAATTCTAATAAAATTCTTTGAAACAATTCAAGTATTTATATAAATTGTAAAATTCTTGGCAAGATTCGCTTATTTTTGTAAATAATAAAATTCTCATGAGAAATTCAATTATTTTCAATACAATTTTTTAATAAAATTTCTAGAAACAAATTTAATTATATTCAAGATAATTTTAATAAAATATCTCTGACAGGTTCAATTATTTTTAAAAATTGTAATAAAATTTTTCTAAACAATTCAATTGTTCTCAAAAGTGTTGAATAAAATTTTTTGTAAATTTCAATTATTATTTTCAAAATTTATAAATAAAATTATTTTTAAAAAATTACATTATTTTTACGAAATTTAATGAAATTCTTCAAAAAAAATGTAATTATTTACAAAAACTCTAATAAAATTTATTAAAAGAATTTAATTTTCTATGAATAATTTAAATATAATTTAATAGGAAAATTATTAATTATAATTAATAATAAACACAATTATTTTAAAAACTTAAAAGAAAATCTTCATAAAATTCGATTACTTTCAAAATTTTCAGTAAAAATTATTTTTTAAAAACTCCATTATTTTTAAGAAAATTGAAATAAATTCTCCAAAACAAATCAATTATTTTAAAGAATTTTAATAAAAATCTTGCCACGAATTAAATTATTGTTAATAATACAATTTTAATTACATTTTCTCGAAAGAATTCAATTATTGAAAAAAATGTTGATAAAATTCTTGAAATTAATTCAATATTTTCAAATTTCTTGATACCTAAATACTTTGCAAGAATTCAATGATTTTTAGTACCTACATTAATTTTAAAATTGAAAACATTTAAAAAGAAAAATTATTTAAAAAGTTAGGAAACAAAAAAGCAAACTGCGAACAGATTACCGGAATACAACGATTATTATTAATATAGATTTTTGTATAATTTAAATAAACTAATTAATTTTTTGATGAATTTTAATTAAAATTTTGAATATTTATTTATTTAGTATCATAAAAATATGATTTTTTTCTCAAAAATCTTAAAAATAATTCTAAAATGTTATTATTTTTTGTATCAATTTGAATTTTTAGAAATATGTAATTGAAAATACTAAAAGTATTGAATTTAAAAAAATTAGAAGCTAATTTTCATTTTTAAATTTACATCTAAAGATTTTTCATTGAAACATTATAAAAATCAAAATAAGTTGAACTTTTTTACTAAAAATTGTGGTATTTTGTTTCAATGTTTTGGAAGAAAAGTCGCAATTTTTGAAAATAAGTCGAAAAAAGTCTCAAATTTTTTAATTTCACTGACAAAAAATTTTTTTCCTGACATTTCCCTGACTTTACTGACATGTGGCCACCCTGCTTGGTAACTAATCTTTTTATGACTTAGTACTTAATATTTTTCTAAACTCAGTACCTAAAACTTTAGTATTTTCTTTTCTTTTTTTTGCAGAATTTCTCGAAACTTGTACTCACTTAAGGATGGACCACTAGTTGCTTCACATCGTGGACAGTGAAATTTGTCAAGGTCTATTGTCATATATTCTCGTACATTAACACACCTGTAAGGTAAGTAAAGTATTTTTTAATATTTTTCCTATTTGTATACAAGGTTTATATCTGATAAATACAAACACCGAAAGTTATGAACAGAACGCCATAATTTTGCCTAAAATAACATTGTTCTTTGTGTAATAAGTTTCTTTTCTTTCTAATATGCAAAATGCAAAAGAAAAAAGGTATCTTTTATAAATTCCCTTCACAATATTAACAGTTTTTACTCGATTTTTGTTATGGAAACGATTCCCTTATAGGTTATGTGAAGCATAACAATTTATTTTTATTGCACTGATGAAATAGTCCTGTTTATAAAGAAACCAATACTTCAACTTAAAGATAAGGGGAAAGCAGAGTGCTGTTTAGAATAGTAATATGACATTTAATAAATAATATGACTTTTTTTGTGTATATTTTAGTTACAAACAAATTAGGGGGTTGTAATTATCTAAAATACCGTGAAAATCAAGCACTTACGCTCCATGATACCAATCTTTGCAGACATCACATTGTATCATAAATTGTTCATCGTCAAAAGGTTGACCACACAGGCAATATGTTATTGGTAATTCCATTTTTAATAAAAATGTTTATTTAAAACTATTCACCATTATTTGATGGCTCTGCCTACAACAAAAATGCTATAAGTAAAATTAACGTAGAGGGGATATTTGACGGAGGGGACCAGGGATGGGATGTGAGAGTGCTGAAAAACTGTGAATTGGACTTACGACTCGTGTATTCAACGCGTGAGTTCGTGCATCTAGGTTATTTATTCTTTGCAATTCAGTTAAAAAAACGGTTACAAGTAAATAGTAAATAGCGACGTAAATATAGTAAAAAAAACAGTAATCAGTTAAAAATGGTTTAAAAAACAGTTAAAAGTAAATAGTAAAAAGGGTAAAAAGTAAAAACAATAAATGAGTAAAAAGGGTAAAAAAAGACAAAAAAGGAAAAGGCAGACAAAAAATAAATAGAATGAAAAATGGAGAAGCAAAAATTTCCTTTTGAAAAGTAATTTATTCTTTCGTTTATCTTATCAATTTGATTGAATTCTAATAATTATTTCCTTTTTCAGTTTTTTGTTTAGTAATGAAGCCGTTCAGGAAGTTGAAATAGTTATTAACTATAAATTGCATTACGTGGATTTTTTTTTGCTTTATCTACAAAATTCGTTCAACATTTTCCTCATAAAATGCAATTTTTAGTCTTTAAATCGAAATCCCTATGATAGTTATTAAATAGTCCCGGCTAATGAATACTTTTTTTTCGATAAAGAACTTTGATTTGAGTCTTAAACAAAAAGTATAACCGTTACATTAAATATTTTCCCAAAGTTCTGAACGTTAAAATAAACAAAATTTATTTTTTATTTAAATATTTTTAAAAATACTGTACAAAAGAGAATAATTAAAATTAAATATTTGCTTATTCAAAAATGAATTTTTGTAGTATACAAAATTATTTTTTTTTTAATACAAATTAAAAGCAAAAAAAAATCGCCATTCATTTGAACGTTTAAAACTTTAGGAAAATCGTAATTTAAAAATACACACTAATTAAGTAAAAAATAATAAGAAAACGAATAATTTATTTTATCGAAAAGAAAAAATTATTTCTTTTTTAATAAAAGAAAGAACTTTTCTGTACATTTTTTTTAGTTGTGTTAGTTTTTATTCGATTCTATTTAAATTTGAATTCATGGAAAATAATCAATACTACTTTCAACAACTTTACTTTAATTGAAAAATTAAGTGCTCCATTAAAAATTTTATTCTGTTTCCTTTAATATTTGTGTCTTGAAAGGTTTATAATAATAGAATTCCTACGAATAATTTTTTTATTTAGGAAAATAATTTAATTCTCGTGGAGAATTTTGTTAAAATTTTAGACCATTCTAATTAAATTCTTTTTAAAGAATTTCTTACAATTTTTTTTTAAATAATGGAGTTTCTTTAATAATTTTAATTGCAAATTTTTTAAATAATTGAATTTTATGAACAATTCCTTTCCAGTTTTTAAAATAATCGTGTTTGTTAATAATCAAAATTAAACATTTAATTATTACATTTTATTAACATCTTAGAAAATAATTGAATTCTTTCGTGAATTTTTTTTTGAAAATAATTGAATTTTTGCAAAGAATTTTACTATTTATAAATATAATAATATAATAAAATATTTATTATAAATATAATTGAATTATTTTGAAGGATTTATCAAAAGTTTAGAAAATCATTGAATTCTATTGAAATTTTTTATTAGAACGAATTAGAAAAAAATTGAATTTTTTCATGAAATGTTATTAAAATTGTATTAAAAATAATTAAATTTTTGCAAAGAATTTTACTATTTATAAATAAAATAAAATTGTTTCGAAGGATTTATAAAATTTTTAGAAAATAATTATTAAATTCGTTTGAAATATTTTATAATGAATTAAGAAAAAAATTTAATTCTATCGTGAAATTTTTTTTGAAAATAATTGAATTTTTCCAAAGATTTTACTATTTAAAAAAATAATTGAATTGTATCGAAGAATTTTTAAACATTTTAGAAAATTATTAAATTTTTTCATGAAATTCTATTAAAATTTTACAAAAATTGCGAATTATTTCATAAAATATTTTTAAAACAGTATTAAAAATAATTGAATTTTTGCAAAGAATTTTACTATTTATAAGAATAAATTAATTTTTTATGAATTTATAAAAATTTTAGAAAATAATTAAATTTTTTTGTAATATTTTATAATGAATTAAGAAAAAAATTGAATTCTTTTGTGGAACTTTTTTTTTAAAATTAATTGAATTTTTCCAAAGATTTTACTGTTTAAAAAAATAATTAATTTGTTTCGAAGGATTTTTAAAAAATTTTTTAAATAATATTCTAAATTTATTTCAAATATTTTACAACGAATTAAGAAAAAAATTGAATTCTTTCGTGGAACTTTTTTTTTGTTGAAAATAATTGAATTTTTGCAAAGATTTTACTATTTAAAAAAATAATTAAATTGTTTCGAATGATTTATAGAAATTTTAGAAAATAATTAAATTTTTTTTAAATATTTATAACGAATTAAGAAAAAAATTGAATTCTTTCGTGAATCTTTTTTTTTTGAAAATAATTGAATTCTTTCGATGAATTTTATTATTTATGAGAACAGTTGAATTCTTGACTAGAATTTTATAAAAAATTTAAAAATAATTTTTTTAATTATAAACAAAAATAACTAATTAGTAAATCAGTTAATAATTGAATTTTTTTAAACTGTGAATCTGAAATTATTTAGAAATTCATATTTTGAAAGTAAAATTTTTCTAATTTGCATAATAATATAATAAATTGAATATCACGTTCCGCGCGTAACATTTTTGCTAGTAAATTTATATTCGTTTACGAAAAATATTTAGAAGAATAATGTAATGAGAGTAAATAATAATAGAATGAGCGGAAATAATAATAAAGTATAATGATAAAATATGTTTCTGGAAAAAAGCAATTAATGGTGTATTTATTTTTCAGGTTAAACCACTATTTCCTAGTTTGGTTGACGTTAACTCCCCTATTGGCTATGGAGAAGTGGGCACGAGAGGGGTTATGCTACACTAGGGGTGTCGCGAACAACCCTTAGCTTTCAGCGCCATCTGCTCCTTGGTTATTCACTGACATGACAGTGACCGGCCACCCTCCGAGATTCGTATACAGTGTTTTGTGTAATTGAGGCACTTTTAAAGTCCTCTGAATTTCTTTGCATTGTGCCTTAAAAGTCAAGTGACAGGCGTATTTGTTTTAAAAGTGCAAACACGGACAGGTAAAAATTGAAATATTCTTCTTAAAACCATGGTTTCTCGTTCACGAACGTTCACGTTTTCATCCAGTGCTTTTCAATGCGATATACCGTGGGATACATTAATGTGTTGGATCGATTCCCCTCCTTGAGTTGTATAAAGGGGATAGATACTCTCTCTGTCTACAGATTACTTTTATTCCATTTATTTCATTTATTCCTTGTCCATTTTTAATTTCTTTTTCCCAATTTTTTAAAGAGATTTCCGAATTTTTATTCTCGTTGAAAAAAATTTCTTTCCCTTTCCGTTTTTAGTTCAATTTTTCACCCCCTCGGGTTTTATCCACTGATTCATTCTTATCATGCGTGTGTGATCAGACGATTCAAGAAAATCGAAGGATGATTCATGATTCAATGGAATATAATAAGGGTGAAAATTCCGCGCTTGCAACGTGGTTAACATGATGTTTCGAGCGTAAAAAAACGTACGCATCAGAAGGCAGTGATTTTGAGGAAGTTAAAATTCTTGCTCCAATTGCAAAAAAGGCGAAAAGAAAAAAAATTGATATTCAATAAAGAGGGTAATTTTTCGTGACCTATTTTTTTTTAGAAAAACAGAATTCCAATTCTCAAAAGTAATGGCGACGACCGCCGAGAGGTGTTGATATGTACCCGTAGTAGTTTTTCTCGAGATCGAAGTGAAGAAAGTTAACGAAAATCATGAAAGCTACTGCGCACGAACGAAAATACGGAAGGGTTTTTCGCTTGCTCATGACAAGTGCGACTCACCTTCAATTCTGGTCGTCGGTACTCCTCTCTTTTTTTTCTTCTTCTTCTTCTCTCAACACCGGAAGTGAGTGTCAAAAACATTGTAAGAGCTTGTTAAAAAGAACTGAAGAGGCACTTGTAGAATTGTGCTTTAGTTATATATTACAATGAATGTAGTTTAAATCAAAGGCAAACATCTGGAAATTAACGATGAGACAGACATGGAGATAATTTTTTTCTATCAACGATAGAATTTCGAATTTCGATTCGAAGAATCGAATTTCTTCAATTCAAAATTTCGAATCTGTTAATTTTTGATTTTTTTTTTGACTTTTTGTCAAAAACTAATAGTCAATTTAAAATTTTGCTAATTATTCGAATTTTGCATTCTTATCAATTTTTTTGTTTTCGTGATTAGTGTGAATTTCAAAATTTTGGAGTTAATTAAATCTTTCGATGTGCACGATTCACATATAATTCATGTTAACTTAACTAGAACAAAGCTGCACATTTGCATATCCTTATATTTAGTGCTTTAATTAAAACTTTCCTAAAGATTTATATTCTAGTCGAAATGAAAGGGAAAATTTGATTATCGCATACGAGAAAGCAATTTTGTTGATCATCATTTCTTTTTTTGGGGTTTTTCTCATTTAGTCGATTTATTTTTCTCATAGAAAAAATCCACGTTCTTTTATATAGAATAAAAAAGAGTCGTTAGATTCTTTTGTTAAAAAAAATTGAAAAAATTGCTCTTTGTGAAAAAATCTCCTTTCTTGAAGATATTCAATTTTTTATTATATCGGGATAATTAATTTTAATTGCATTGAAATTACTTTCAATGCAGAAATGTCAACTTTTTAATATTTGCAATTTTTAATTTTTAATAAATAAAAAAAAGAATAATATTGAATTTATCAATCAGTCGAAACTTATTTGGGTGAAAAAATGAATAATATAAATAATAATATAATATAAAATCAGAATTTTTTGTCTTTATTTCTTCTATTTATTATTTCTATTAATTTTTTTAATTTTTATTTATTGTTATTATTTATTTGAAAAAATTTTATTATTTATTTTCTTTATTTATCTATTTATTTAGATTATTTTTATTATTTTATTTCATTATTTTTTAAATATTTTTTTTTTATTTATTTAGAATATTTTTATCATTTTTTTTTATTTATTTAGATTATTTTTATTAATTTTTTAATTACTTATTTTATTTTCATTTTTTTATTTATTTAGATTATTTTTATTATTTTTTTTATTTACTTATTTTATTTTTATTTTTTTTTTATTGTTTTTATTTACCTATTTTATTTGTATTTATTAGTTTTTACTTTTTTTCCAATTTTCCAGTTTGTTTGTTCAATTTAATTTTTTTAATTACCAATTATTTGAGTATCGCAACTTGAATTTCAAGTAAAACTAAATTAAATACGGCAAATATTTGAATTTATATTTGTCTTTAATTTTTCGTGGCAAATATTTATTGGAAAAAAAAATATTATATATGAAAGTTAAAGTCAAAAATTCAAATTTTACAGCTTGTTAAATTTTCATTTATATATAAATTTGCCTCGCAGGTATAAAATCGTTCATATAGCGCTAAATGGAAGTTATTTGACTTTATTGTGCAATCAATTGCGATTTTTTTTTCTTTTTTGAAAATAAATTAAATCATTAAAATTTGAACAATTCTTCAATATTGGAGATGAAAATATTTTCTCAATTTATTCCCGAATGGGAGTTTTTTTTATATTTAGTTTGCAAATTATTTTATTCCAATAGTATCGACGTTAATGGAATATATATATTTATACAATTAATATTTATTGATTTATTTATTTTAATTAATTTATTTTAATTTATTAATTTATTAATATTAATTTATTTATAATATAAAACATTGAGTTGAACGAAGTATATTTTAACTAAGACGACCGAGTGATAAATTCAAATATTTATTAATTTACTAATGTATATTAATTTAGAATTATATTTATTCATTTATTAATAATATTAATTTATTAATGAATTTTAATTTATTAATATCGGTTAATATTTGCTAATAATAATAATTAACATTTCTATACGATTATTGAAGATAAATTTCAAGAGAAAAATTTTTTTAAATTAAAAAAAATAAAGTTTGAAAAATAAAATTAGAGTCAAAAAGCTGACAATTATTAAGGACATTTTCATCAGCAGTTAATTATGAATTTTCGCGAATGGTGTACATACAGAAATAGTTTTGCACTTTATTTATTTTCAAATTGAAAAAAAATGTCAAGTTTTGATATCAGAGGAATAATAATTTTAATAATGTGCATATAAACGAGAGAGGATGTATAAACGAAAATAAGATTTATATGGAAAAAAAAGTGTAAATATACACGTGCATTGAAGAGATAATTAGATTATAATGTTGAAAGCTAGTCATTAACATAATGGTTGGATTTGTTTTTTAATGAAACATAGCTTTTATTAGGTTAATAGTATAAAAAGGAAAATATTTCATGAATAAAAGTACTGCTTGGTACTCAAATTGTATCTGTTGATGCCAGTGACCCCCTATTGATTCCAGACTCAGAGGAGCGCACACAGACCAGGTTCTCACCCCCGACCCCGTTCACCTCGCAGTCGTGTCCTATGTTTGTGCTTGTGGGCACGACACCCAGCCAAGCCCCGACTCAGCTAAGCGAAAATAATTTCTCCTTTTCTCTTCACCTTCTCTCTTTCAAAAAAAAAAAAAAATTAAAACAAAAAGAAAAAAAGGTGTAAAATGCCACATGCTCTATTCATTGGACAGTATAAAGCAATGAAGACAAGAGGGAGATAGAAATAAAATTGTCCAAATTAAAAGTCATCTTTTTTTTCTCTCTCTAAAACAGTTTTCAAAATGCGCCGCTATTTTACTCGTTTTAAACGGAATTCCATCAAAACATGTTTCAGTATAATTAAAACTTTTTAATTGTATACGATTAAAACAATTTCACGCAGATTATTCTTCTCTTTTGAGAAAAGGAAAATGGGGGAAAAAAATTTGTAAAGAAAAGCACTGGTTGTGAAATAACAGAAAGTTCTGACGAAACAAGTAACGATTAAATTTCCTGTAAATTAATTATTTTTTTGTTAATTTTTCACTAACAGGGTGTCTACTATAATCAAGAAATAGCCGGGAATTTAATTTGACCGGGAAAACCCGGAAATGAGCCAGGAATTTTTTCACCAAATTAAAAATAGTTTTATTATTTTAATTTGTTTTTAAAAAATCGCTTTTTATTTCAATTTTTATAGATATTTATATACCGTTCTCTGAATTTGAATTAGTTAAAAATAATTAATTTTATAGTAAAAAGTAAATAAAAGAATAAATCACTGATTGAAATATAATGTAAATAAATTTTTAAAAATTATCGAATTAATAGAAATTTTGTGAAATTCAACTGAAAATAATTAAATTTGTTAAAGAATTTCATATTAGAAACAGAAACTTTTAACAAATCGAATTTTCAGAATATTTAAATTTAATAATTGAATTTTAGAGTCTTATTCTAATGTATTCATGTTTATTGGTGCGAAGATTAGTAATTAAATTATTTATTTATTAAATAAAGATACACAATAATTAAAATTTTCTAATTTAATTTTCGCAAAGTTTTTTCTGAAAATTCTGAAAAATAAGAGTTTTGAAATTTTTCAATTCTATTGTTTCGAGATAATTGAATTTTTATAAACAAATAATTTAAAAATTTGGAAATAATTGAAATTTCTTTACATTCTATTAAAAATAATTGAATTTTTTTAAAGGATTTTATTTAAATTTTTCGAAAATAATGTTTCTTTAATAATTTCAATTGAAAATTTATAAAATAATTGAATTGAACAAAGAATTTTTTTTCATTTGTTATTAAATAATTAAAATTATAGAAATTCTCTTAAATTTTTATAATTTTAAAAATTTTGAATGTTCAAATAAATTATATTTATTTATTTCTTGAAAGAATTAAATTTTCATTACTTATTAAGTACATAATTAGAAATTACTGCTTATTATTTTATAAATTTTAATAAAATTCTTTGCAAGAATTCAATTATTTTTATTAAATAATAACATTCTTTGAAAAGATTCAATTACTTTTAAAAATAGTAAAATTCTTTGCAGAAATTCAATTATTATCAATACAATTTTAATAAAATTGAATAATCAAATTTTTAATTATAATTATGAACAGACAAGATTCTTTTAAAAAATTGAAAAAATTCTTTGTTCAATTCAATTATTTTTCAAATTTTCAATTAAAATTATTAAAGAAACATTTTCAAAAAATTTAAAGAAACTCGTCAAAAGAATTTAATTATTCATAAAAACTCTAATAAAAATTTTTGAAGCCATTTGTAGATTTATTTATGTTCGAAATCAAATAAATTTAAATTTGATGAGAAAAAAACAGGGAAAAAATTAGGACAAAGCCGGGAATTTCGTTAAAAGAAAAATAGTATAGACACCCTGACTAATTTTTATTTTTTTTATAAATTATTATTTTTTAAAATAAATTTTCATTGAATTTTATTTTTCTTTTCTTTGTAAGCTCGTTTATTTATTGAAATAAATAATAAAGAAATAAATTATTTTTATGAATTTCTATGAAATTATTAAATTAATTTTTTAGTTAACTAATTTTTTTAATTTTAGCATTGAACTGAAGTTTACAACGTCAAATTTGACGATTTTCTAAGTTACAAATTTCTTTCAAATTCTAAGTAAAAATCGTCAGGCAGGTTTGGCGTTGTAAACTTTAGTTCAATATTTTAGTTACATTAATTAAATTAATTTAATTGTTTAGAGGAAATTTTTATGCCCTTTGGAGTAACAATTTTCGAAATAAGGAAATATTTGTGAATGTTTGCTTTTTGGTTTCAAGATAAAGAATGGACTGGATCCTCTATGGAGAAATGATCGGTAATTGGCGATGACAAGCTTGATTTTGGAGAACGCAGATTTGAACCGACTTTTTCCAAAATGCCGGCCTAGAGGAGGGCCACCCCCGCTTCCAGGGGGTTCAACGCAAGCTGATCAGCTGCATGACCACCCTTGTCATCCGGAGGTCAACTCCATCATTGACATCTCAAGCGTTGCTACCAGCACCGCACCCTCCAATTCCACGGTATCGGAAGACATGATCGACCTTGAAAGAGAAACTTCCGACAGGCAAGTTCTTCTCATGTATATATATACTGATATCTATTTATATGGATATCGCAGGGTTGCCACAAGTCAGGAAAATCGAGGAATTCAGGGAAAAGTCGGGGAAAATGAAATTGGCCAGGAAATCAGGGGAAAGTCAAGATTTTTTGTTTTCAAAAGTACTGGAAAAATAAAAAACTTCTGGAATAACTGCAAAAAAAATTTTTTTGAGTCCAAGAGTATTTTTGAAAAACTAAATTTCTCTGTGAATTTTTTTTCACCTTAAAAACTTTTTAATCGCAATTACTTTAAAAAGTGTTGAAATTGAATAGAATAATTGAATTAAATTACATTAAACTGAATTTCTTTTAAATTGAATTAAATTTATTTCAATTTACATTAAATAAATTTAAAATAAATTCTAGAATATAACTTTCTTAAAATTAGGTAATTAATTTCAATTATCTCAAAAAAGATTTTAGTTAAAAAAAAGTTAAAATTTTCAAAAATAAATTTCAGAAAGGTTTTAAACTAGAAATCGGTAAATAATTACAAAAATTTATTTTATTACAAAAATTATAAAATTAATTGGAATTTCATGCAAATAAATTGAAAATAATGAAATTTAATTATTTAATTTAATTACGAAAGAGTTACAATTACAATTTTTATTAATTAGTTAATTTTTCAAAGGTTTAAATTAAATTTTTGTTTAAAATATTGAATTTTCGAATAATTTTATTTGAAATTCTGAATTATTAGTTTTTAGAAAATACTTTAATTATGTTTTTTATAAATAAATGAATTTTAATAAACAAATAATTAAAATTCTCAAAAATTCTATTAAAAACAATTGAATTTTATAAAAATAATTTTATTGAAAGTTTTGAAAATGACCGAGCGAAGTATTTTATTTAAAATGGATCAAGGAAAAAGTTAAAATTCTATCTGGAGATCAGGGAAAAGTTGGAGAAAAACGAAATCAAAATTTTTGTTGTCAACCCAGAGACAGAATATTAATATTGTTATACAGCATAGAAATATTGTCTACAGAATAGAAATATTGAAAACAGTATAAAAATATCGAACAGAGTAAATAAATATTGTTTACAGTATAAAAATATTGAAAAGGAAATATAAATTTTCTTTCTTTTTTTCTTTTTGTATATACAATATCGAGTGTTTGTATTCCACTATAAGACGCGATGTTTTTTTTAATTAAAAAATATTGATTGAAACGATTAGAAATATGATTCGTTTCTCAAACCATTTCAAATCAAAAGTAATTCCCTTAGGATGGTGGAAATACGAATCAATTTAATCCCATTTAATGCCGTAAGGAAATCCCGGAAATTGAAATCAGTTCAATTCCAACCGTATATAACGTGAATATTGCTAATATTTTAATTATTTACTACGGGGTGAGAGGAAAAATCTATAAATAGAATTTGTCAAATGGAATTTAAATTCTTTAATTTCTCCTTTTTGTGCCTATAAAAAGTTTAAAACAAAAAAAAATGTATTTTACTCTCTAGTTTATGTATTTTCGATTCGTTTATAAATTCATTTAAATTGATTTCTTCTTTTTTTAGTTATGAAGAATAAAGAATAAAACAACGTCAAGAGTAAAAAATTATTTTTAACCGCAATATTATTAAAGCAAAGTATTGAAATTGATGTAATTTCAAAAAATGTCAGATTTAGATTTTTCTTTTCGTTCAGATATAAAAATTTGTTTGCGTTGGAAATAATTTTTTCGATTTTGAAGGTAATTGATAAAGATAAAAAACCGAAGATGAAAACTATTTTATTTTCTCAAATGACTATATTTATTTATATGGAAAAAGAAAAATGAGGGAAAGGGGGAACATTTTCTGAGATGAAAATATAATATATGAGTTGGGTGTAGTAGTGTTGATGATGCTAGATGAATGCCAATTAGTTTCAACTTTAATTGGCTGTGTGTCTATGTATATTATACTTGTTAAGAGATTCATGTTTCATTTTTAGGTGCAGGAAACGAGCCAATGGGAGGAAAAAATCAGGTTCGCTGTCCCGTAGGACGGCGAGCATGGTGCCTGGATTCATTGGTGAAGGACAACTTCCGTCTACAACTAAGGCATCATCCTCGAGTTCGTCATCTGCCTCTGGGCGTAGTGAGGATGCTCCAAATTACGGAAGCCTGGCCGGAAGTGATCATCAGCCTCAGTCTCAACTCGAGGACAGTGGAACTGAAGAGAGTCCTATATACATTCTCACATCGACCAAGGATGATCGGAGCTATAAACTCAGAGACTCTAGGTATCACAATAACGAACAATTACATTGCTGGAAATCCGGTATAATAATTATTGGGTAGTGAAAGAAGAATTTTTTCGAAAAGAGAAAATTTTTCTTCTTTTGCAAAGAATGAGATCTAAGAAGCAAAATTTTATTATTTAGATTATTTTCTTCCATATATGTATGAAGAAATAATTTTTATTCGATTCGAATTAATTCGATTTGACAGAGATAAATGATACAGAATATTTCACAGGGAAATCAGGGAATTCAGAGGAAAGTCAGGGAGAGTAAAATTGATCGGGAAATCAAGGGAAAAGTTAGGGAATTTGATCAAAAATACTGGAAAAACTATTAAATTTCTAGGATTTATAAAAAAAATTCTAAATAGAATTCTTGAAGACCTATTATAAAATTATTATTTATAAATTATTTAGCGAATCATTTTACCTAAAAATTCAAAAAATAATTAAATTTTATAAAAGGAGTATTTACAATTTTTATAAGTAACTAGTAAATTTCGAATAATTTCAGACTCAAAATTTTGAAAAATTCATTTTTTAATTAATTATTATATAATATTTTCGAAAACTTTAATAAACTTCTTCAAAACAATTCAATCATTTCCAAAAATCTTAATAAATTCTTCACAGAAATTTGATTAATTTCAATATAATTTTAATGAAATTTCTCAAAAGAATTTAATTATATTTAATAAATTTTAATAAAAATCCATATAACAATTGAATTATTGTCAAGTACAATTTTAATTCAATTCATCGAAAAAATATGTGAAAATTTAATTATTTTCATAATTTTTTTAAAAACAATTTTAATATAATTTTTCGAAAGAATTCAATTATTTTTAATAAAATTTATTACAGAATTTCAATTATTTTGAAAAATATTAATAAAATTCTATATAAAATTGAATTATTTTCAATACAATTTTATTTAGATTCGTCGAAAATTCACAAGAATTTCAATTATTTTGAAAAATATTAATAAAATTCTATATAAGAATTTAGTTATTTCCAATACAATTTTAATCAGATTCGTCGAAAAATTCACAAGAATTTCAATTATTTTCAATGAAATTTACATAAATTCCTCGAAAGAGGAAAAAAATAAAGTTTTTAATAAATTTTAATAAAATTCAATTATTTTGAAAAATATTAATAAAATTATTTGCCAAAATTCAATTATTTTGAAAAATATTAATAAAATTCTATATAAGAATTGAATTATTTTCATAAATAATAAAATTTCTCTTAAAAATTCAATTATTTTCTATGCAATTTACATAAATTTCTCGAAAGAATTCAATTATTTTTAATAAATTTTAATAAAACTCTCCAATTACTTTCATAAATTTTAATAAAATTCAATACAAGCATTAAATTTGAATTAATAAAAATTTAAACTAATAAAAATAAAAGTAATATGAACTTTCTAAAAATTAATTTTTTAATTTTACATAGAAGGAGATGTTGAAACAAATAAAATTCAGTTTTTCTTAGAAAATAAATTTAAAAAAAACCTTATTTTTAATTAATAAAAATTAGTTTTTATACAATAATTTATAAGTAACTCTATTAATGGCTTAGAATGTTAAATTAATTTTACAAATCAAATTATTATTTTTGATTCAAATCTATTATGTTATTATTTAATCTTGAAAAAATTAAATTGGAACTTTATTAATTTTTTAATTTCAAAATGTTAAACAAAATAAATTATCAAAGAATATATTAAAAAACTAATTTCATTCTGCGAATTGAGTGCCAGAGTAAAATTATTATTGTAATACAGATTAAATTTCAAAAGCTTTTAAATTAAAGTTTTAGAAAATTTGAATTTTGAAAAATTTTAATTAAAAATTCTGAAAAAATTAATTTTTTACATCCTAATCCTTTTATTCGAAAATTTTTGAAAAAAGTGTTATTGAAAAATTTTCAAATTATTGGAATTTCATGAAATCGAATTGTGAACAAGTGGATTTCAGAATTATTTTTGTTGTATTTTCTTTTCTTCTTTGATTAAATAATTGAATTCTCAAAAATTATTAAAAATAATTGATTCAGAGAAGAATTGTAAAATTAAAAATTGTAGAAAATAATTGAATTTAAATGTTGAAAATAATTTTTGGTAAAATACAGTGATTGTTATATAAATTAAGGAATTTCGAAAGATTTTAAATGGGAAATTTATAAAAATCTCAATTTTTACGGAAAAATAAGAATAATGAATAAATATTTATTTACAAAAAAAAACTATTGATGTTTTGAATAATTTTACAATTAAAGATACTCAAAAATAAGTTTATTACAAACATTTTTTGTGTATTTTTTATTTTGCTTCTTAGGTTCCTATCTTTGACGCGTTGCATTTTGTGCGCTTATAAGCACAATTAATAATTATTATGGGTTGGGGTATGATATTAATACTTCCGGGTATAATACTCATATTTCCGGCTATAATAAGTTAATGCTATTTTTAAACGATTCTTTCACAATATCGGTTTTCTTATATTAACCAAACAATTATGGAGAAATTATTATTATCAATAATCTACAAATTTTTCAATTCTTTTACAGTTTAATTCAAAATCTCACATTCAGAGGGGAATGTCGTATTTTTTTTATCTGAAAACAATTCGTATTGAATACTTTTTCTATTTTACAAAAAACTATCAAGAGACAAAAAAAATCATCCTGAAATAATCCATCCCCTTTAAAAACTTGAAGCTAACTGCAACGAGTTTCTAATAATAAACACAAAATAAAAGACTTTCTATTTAAAAAAAAGTAGCCGTAAAATTAATAATCAGACAAAATTAATAATATACGCAACAAGTTATATTTTATCGTTTTTCACAATTGCGGTGAGATTATAATAATAAATTTGTATTCATTGAAACTATTTTAATTTTTCATAACGTGTAGGAGGTGTTTTTATTTAAATACCGGAAATCGACAAAAGCGTCACACTCGGAGAATCAATGAATCAAAGTTATTTCCAGTTTCAGAAAGTAAACTGTATCTGATGGTATACATATATATACACACAATGTACCGCAGTAGAACAAAAAAATAGTGTATAAAAGTTATATTGTTTAAATAATGGAATGGCACCCTTTCTTTTTTTCAATTTTATAAAAATGTGCATTTCGAAGATTCCTGATATTAGTTGTAACAGATTTTTAAGTATTCAAAGAGACTGGTTTTCTATGTTACACATATGGATTTAAGGTTAAGCCTTCTGTCATTCTGGACTTTGTTTAAAAACGTTTAAAAAAATAGGTGCAAATTTATGAAAATTATTCAATATTATAAAGTATTTTTTTGGCATTGAAATAGCAAAATCAATTAGATTTTCGATTTTTAAGAGAACTTTGAAATTACTTGACAGGAGAATTGACATAGTAAATAATTACACTGTGCAGAGATTTATTTTTTAAGATATGTATCATACAAACTGGGTGTGGAACATTTTTTTCTTATGCTTCATATAACAAGAAGCAATGAAATCATAAATCAGTAATAGCAATGAAGTGCTTAAGAGAGTATTAAATCTTTAAAAATATCCACTCACCTCTGGAATTATGAGATTTATCGTAAATTAATCTTTTTTGTAAAACTAAACTTTTATAAAAGTAATTTTATTAGTTTTCTTTTATTTTGTAATTATTTCTTTTTGGAAATATTTTGTAATAATTATTTGTAACTTATTATTATTTAATTAATTAATTAATTATTAATACAGATTTTTGTAATAATAGAAGAGAAATAATTGAAGACAATTTTTTGTTGTAGAATAATTGAAATAGCCGGTGGTCGTGAGGTCTTTTCGCAGAGTCGTGCTAAAGTAGCGTCTCGAAAGTCACGCTATCTCACAGCATCGAATTCAGTTCCAAACGATGAAATTTCATCTGAAAAATTATCTGCAAAGAAGAACAACAAATCTCCAAATAGACAAAGTGTGTGGGAATTAAGAAGTCGGTGAGTTAATCAAAAGAAAACTTTAAAAGCCTCGCGTGACTAAAAGAGAGATATGACAATAAAAGAAAAGAAAAAAGAAACAAAACAAAATAAAAAATAAGATAACAGCAATTTTATAAATTTTATTTTCAGATGCGGAGAAACTAAGAGACATCGTATGAATCGAGAAGTAACCGAGACTGTGTTCTCATCCGAAGTGCACTCTGTTCGTCGAAATCCAGTGAAATCAATTCTTGATTACGATTCACCTAAAAGCAATCGCATAATTAATTATGACTCAATATTAAATAGCAATAATATAGAGTATGGTGTACCAAAAAGTATTACCGAATTGGATTATGGACTGACAAAAAATTGTATAGACTATCAATCGAATCATACAACACCAGCTAGAAGTATGGCAATTGTTAGCGATGGAGAGGTCGTTGTATTTGATGACATCGACGATAATTGGCAAGGTCTCAGATTAGATTTAGGATCAACTAATACAACTCAAATCAATAATACAAATTCTGAATTGGGTGTCGATGATACACACAGGGGACGAATACCTCCGGAACCACCTAGTTCTAGCGTTGGCAGTAGTCCAACGTTTCATCAAAATTCATCTGATTTTTTCAAGGTATTATTTCCTCTTCTTTCAATTTTTTATTTCTTAGACTTTATTTATTTCTTGTCTTTCTTATTTAAGGGTTGCCACAAAAATTTAATTTTGTTTTTTCCCTGATTACAAGACAAAATTTTGACTTTTTCCCTGACCCTAAAGAATATTCTCCGATTCACTCTAGAAATGATTAAATACTCAAAAAAAATATTCTATTGCATTTATTTATGAATTTCCTTAAGTGTAAAATTATTCAAAAACACCAATAACTTCATTTTTAAATAAATATTTAATCATTATTTTTGCATGGGAACTAAGATTTTCAAAATTTCTAATTCAAACCTTTTGAAATTTAATTACTTATAAAAAAATATTTATAATAAAACATGAAGATAATTAAAGATGGCCGAGTGATAAAATCATTATTTTATATTATAATATAAGAATATTGTTACTGTAACTTCTTTAAAATTATTTTCATCATTTCAATTCAATTATAATTTCGCGATTTTTTAACTAAAATTCTTATTTAAATCAATTATTTTTAATAATTTTTGATAAAGTTCTTTTGAACTTTACAATTCAGTAAAGTAAATGTCTTGTTTACAATTCAATTTAACGAAATTTCGATTATATGGAAATTCTTCAATTAAATATACATTAGAAAATAAAAACTTGAAATAATTTCAAAAAATTTCAATTAAACTTTTTGAAAAAAATTAATTCCACAGAATTTTTAATTAAAAGTATGAAAAATTCAATTTTTCAAAGATTTTAATTTGCGACTTTTACAAAATTCAATTATTTCTAAAAATTGCAATTATTAGTAACTTCTCCAAAATTCAATTATTATCTTAAACTTTAACTGAAATTAATTTTTAAATCAATTTTTATTAGTAAATTTTACGAGAATTGCATTATTTAAATACAAATATAGATAATTTTTTGAATAATTGAATGTTTCTTAAAATATAATTCTTATACATAATTTTATCAACAAATTTTTGAATAATTGAATTCTTTCGACGAATTTTAATAAAATTTTTAAGAAAAATTACATTTTAGGAGGAATTCGATTAAAATTGTATTAAAAATAATTGAAATTCCGCAATCAATTTTATTATTTATGAAAATAATTAAATTATTGCGACAAAATTTATAAAAAAGTTTCAAACAATTGATTTTTTTGAAAAAATGTATTTAATTCTATTTTTAATATTTGAATTGCTATGAAATTTTTATTATTTTAGAAAATAATTAAATATTCTTGTAGAACTTTGTCAAAATAGTTTTTAAATAATTGAATTCTTTTCGGAAATTTTATTAAAATACATAATAGATTATAATTATTGAATTAAGAAAAATTTTTGAAAACAATTGAAATTTTGCAATGAATTTTATTAAAATTTTTGAAAATAATTGAATTCTTGTAATGAATATTGTTATTTATGAAAATCATTGTCTTCCTCCGAATGATTTTAATATTTATAAAAATAATTAAATCCCTGAAAAGAATTTTAAAATTTATGAAATTAAGTTAATTACTGCGAATAATTTAATGACAAATTTTAAAACATTTGATTTTTTCGAAAAAAATGTATGCAAATTCTATTTTAAATAATTGAATTCCTGTAAAATTTTTTTTTGTTTGGAAGGTAATTGAATATTCGTGTAGAATATTATCAAAATTTTTGTTTAATAATTGAATTCTTTTGGGAAATTTTATTAAAATAGTAGAATATTGAAAATTATCGAATTAAGAAAAATTTTTGCAAATAATCGAAATTTTGCCATGAATTTTATTAAAATTTTTTTAAATAATTGAAATTTTATTACTTTTGAAAATAATTGAATTCTTGTGATAAATACTATTATTTATGAAAATAATTGAGTTTTGCAATGAATTTTATTAAAATTCCTGAAAAGAATTGAATTTCGTCGAAGAATTTTTTTTTTGTTATTTGGAAAATAATTGAATTCTTGAGATGAATATTGTTATTTATAAAAATAATTGAATTTTACAATGAATTTTATAAAAATTTCTAAATATAATTAAATTTTGGCGAAGAATTTTGCTATTTATAAAGATAATTAAAATGTTGACGAGAATTTTCTTTTATTTTTAGAGAATAATTGAATATCTGAAAAGAATTTTAATATTTTTAAAAATATTTGAATTATAAGTAATAACTTTATGGTAGTTCTTCAATAGAATTAAGTTATTCAAAATAAATTATTGTCAGAAATAGAAGAAATTTAAGGTTTTTTCAGAAATTCAGAATTTTCTTATAAATTCTAAACATTAAATTCTTTCCAGTACTTTTAATAAAAATCCCTGATTTTTCTTTGAATTCCCTGACCTGTGGCAGCCTTGTATTTATTTTTTAGTTTTTTATTTGTCTCTTACTTTCTTAATTAGTTTTCTTTCTTAGTTAGCTTTCTTAGCATTCTTAGTTTTCTTATTTGTTTCTTTTGCTTATTTCCCCAAAGTTCTTTACTTGAAGTTTTTATATTTCAATTTTTTTCATGCACTTGAAGCAAATTTTATTGGAATTTGCATTGACTCGAACTGATGGATTAAAAAACAAATTTGAATCTGTCGAAATGAACACATTTCGACAATGTATTTAATCTGTCTTTTGAAATTGTTTATAATATATTGAATTGATTTACAGGTTGTAACACCAGCAAGTGATTGCGAAGCACATTCTCCTTCTCCTGAACGCAATCACAAAGTTACCAGAGTAATTGGCGAATTACCTATTGCACAATATTCCGAAAGTCCTCGACGTTATGGAGTTCGTGAAAATCCACGATTACCAACCCTTTTATCGTCACCTTCTGTTTACATGACACCAAGACCAGGTTTTCCACAAAGAGTATTACCAAACACGCCTAATCAGAAAGAGGTATTTTTTCATATTTTATTAGTAATTAAATATTACTGCAAAGTGACGCTCCACGACAAAACGTAACTTATCTTTTAAAAGTGATAGGTTATCTCGTTCCTGCCCATTTTCCCGAATGAGAGTTCCCGAATGACGATTTTCCCGAATAACTATTTTCCCGATAACCATTTCCCCGAATCTATTTTCCCGAATTATTTTTTTCCCGAATAATTAATTTCCCGAATTATTTTTCTCCCGAATAATTTATTTCCCGAAAAATTTTTTCACGAATTACCTTTTTTTGAATTATTGTATTCGTAAGAATTACAAAAATTAATTTTTTACGGTCGTTGCTATGGTAACATTAAACCTATTTATATTATTAATTACTATTGTTTTAGACGTCAATTTTTGCTTTTTTGGAAGTTATAAGAATAATATTTTAAAAATTTTAAAATATGGACGCGAAAATATTGTTTTATAATCGCTTTATATTTTATATAATTTATATATATTTTTATTTTTTATCAAATAAATACATTCTAATAAATACATTTGTAAAAAATAATGCTGCAAAATATCTCATTCAGGAAATAATTATGTTCGAAAAAAATTATTCGGGAAAATAAACTATTCGACAAAGAAATCATTCGGGAACATAGTAATTCGGGAAAAAAATTATTCGGGAAAATAAACTATTCGACAAAAAAATCATTCGGGAACATATTAATTCGGGAAAAAAATTATTCGGGAAAAAGGTCAATCGGGAAATGCCATTCGGGAAAATGACCGGGAATCTGTTATCTTGATACTTTTCCACTTTAATTCTAATAAATAGTTCATTTTTAATTAACTAAAATCAAATTTTCATTTTTGTATTTTTCCATTTTGTGTATTTTCCGTACTTTTCTCATTTTCACATAAAAAATATAACCTACAATTTTTTTAAGACAAGTTATTTGTTAAGGAACAATAGATATCATAATAAAAAAATTATTATTATTAAAATAATTATTCAAAAAAATATTCATTATTCAAAATCTTCAATATTCTATAAATCTTCTTCCTCAAATTACAAAAAATCAATAGGTAGAGTTACAGTTGCAATTTTTAGAAATAATCAATGATTTTACCACTTAGTTTTGTATTTAAATAATAGAATTATCATTGAATTCTAATAAGAATTGATTTGAAAAAGAATTTCCACAAAAATTTTAAAAATCTAAAAAATTATTTAATTTTGGAAGAACAGCAGTTGTAATTTTTAGAAATAATTAAATTCGAAAAGGTTTTACATTGAAATTATTTGAAATTTCAAATAAAATAAATAACAATAATTTTTGAAATATATTTGTTTAACAAAAATTATTGAATTTTTGAATGATTTAATGCAGAAATTCTAAAAAAATCAGGTTTTTGATAAATTATAATTTCAATTTTTGAAGATAATTGAATTCCCAAAAATAATTTAGAAAATTGAAACAATTAAAAGTTTTGGCAAATTTTATTGAAATAAATTTTATATTTAAAAGAATTTAATTTGATTACTTTTGAAAATTAGTTTAGAATATAATTGTATTTTTGGAAAATTATATTGTGAAAATTTATATTTTGAAAAATTAAATTTTGAAAGCAATAATAAATTTTCATGTTAAAATTTAAAAAAGGCAGTTTTTGTAACTAACAATAGGCTGTAAAATTTTACGTACTTGCAGTTTTGTTGGTTAAAATAAAAAAAAAAATAATGTAATAGAAAAATTTAATATCTATTTCGTTTTTTTTTAACAGAAAGAAGATAATTGCAATGAGAGTTTAAATATACAAGAATCTGTGATAGAGTCGGCTGTTATGCATTCAGAGGATCAAAATACAAATTCTTTAACGCCTTTAAATAAAACAGAAGTCGACGATAAGGATGATGATCCTTTGACTACATCTGTCTTACCATCGGAAACAATTAGCAGTCTTGTTTCACCAGGAGGCAGTACATTCGATTATTTGTACGAATTTTCCGAGACACGAAAAGTTCTCGAGGAATTCTTCAAGTGTCCACCTCCATCGGAAGAAAAGGAAAATAATACAGATTCTTTTGCTTTTCAAGTGAGTTTTCTTTGCTTTAAATTCTTTAATTTTGTTGAAATTTAAAAAGAGTAAAAATTAAATTTATCCTATAAATTAAAAAAAAAATTTTTGTTTTTAATATATTTAATATTTTTTTTTAATTTTAAGTATATTTAAAAAATAAACAGAATAAAACTACTAGAATTACATTTGTAATTTTTACAAAAACACTTAGCAATATAAATATTATTTACAGGATCTTGATTATGAACTGAGGAGACAAGGCGGTAGTTCCTATGTTGGTCAACGGTTAGCAAGCGGACTTCCTAACGAGGAAGTATTAGTTCACGAATCTCCGAAAAAGCAAAAATCAGACTATCCTCAAACGGTTCGTTAAATATCGAATTTTTATAAAAAATTCTGAATAAGAAACGACCTTTTTTTGTAATTTTATTTCGACTGAAACGATAAATTTTTCTATATTTTTTTCTTTTCAGACCATCGAACATGAAAGTAATTTCCTGGATTTATCGATGGGCACTGGAAGCAGTGAAGATTTGGGAGAAACAGAAGTGGGATTACAAGTTGGACATTCTCGAAATTTTACCCTAAGTCCAGAAACGACAGACTGCGATAGCAATTGTGGTGATCTAGATAGTGAAATGTCCCTTATGATGATGGACAATGAATTGTTGCCCGCTAGTGGATTACTTGGATCAGTGGGAGATTTAGGAAATAATTCTGATTCCCTAAGGATATATACCAGTATGCCTGTTCTCGAAGATGGTCTCTCAAGTGGACACGCAAGCGATACAGATAACAACAATCCCACTGTAATGCTAATGAAACGGCAAATCAATGAAATTGAAAAGGAAATAATCCAAAGAACACGAAACGATATGCTAGGCACTGACAATGATACGGGAAAGGATGTCAGTTTAAATGTTACTAAAGATATTTTACATACACTTAAAACAGCGTCACCTGATTTATTCGTGAAAAAAGAGAATTCCTATGACACTAGTGAATTGCAATTAGATGGTTTAGATCCATTGGCAACTCCACCACCTCCAGCACCTCAGGGAAGGCAGAGTGTTAATTTAGAAATTGGAGGCGAGGTTGAAGCTGCTATTAAGGATATTAAAATGGCACTACAGAGAACTAAAATACTACCCGCTAAATCACCCTCTGAAGATCATTTGGAGTCGAGTGTGAGTCCCATTTGGATTCCAAGGTAAGTGTCACACCGTTTGAAGTATTCCAAAACGCGTGGTGGTTAAAAAAAAAAATTAAACTGCGAAAAAGAAGCAATAAATAGAATTCGCACTCTTTTACTAAAATCAACTTTTTAATACTTTTTTTACAATTAGCTACTATTTGAAAACCTTTTTTAGATTTGTGCCATTAAAAACTACTTTTTCCTTTTTATTGAGAATTTGCACTACTTTCCATCGGTTAATAGTTGAAATAAAGATATAATTCTCAAAAATTTTAATAAAATTTTTAGAGAAACTTCACAATTATTTTAATAAAAATTCATTGAAGCGATACAATTATTTTCAAAAAATTTAAGAATATTTTTTTGTCAAGAATTTAATTATTTTTAATACAATTTGAATTCAATTATTCGAAATAATTGAATTATTCTTTTAAATTTTAATAAAATGATTCAAAAAGATCAATTATTTCCAGAAACGTTAATAAAATTCTTCATAAGAATTCAATTATTTTTTTTAAATAATAACATTTTTCATAGGAATTCAATTATTTCCATAAATAATAAAATTCTTCGCAAGAATTCTTTATAGGATTTCAAATATATTTAATACAATTTTAAATTCTTTCAAAGTTAATTTAAAATTGTATTAAAAATAATTGAAAAAATTGTAGATAATAAAATTCTTCGCAAGAATTCAATTATTTTTACAAATAATGAAATTTTTCACAGGAATTCAATTATATAAAAAAAAATTAATAAAATTCGTTGCATGAATTCAATTATTTTCACAAACAATGCAATTTTTTGCTCAAATGCAATTATTTTAAATATCTACTATTTTAATAAACTATCTGAAAAGAGTTTAATTATTTTTAAAAAAATTTAATAATATTGCTTAAAAGAATTTAATTATTTTCAAAAAATTTAATAATATTCCTTAAAAGAATTCAATTATTTTCATAAATAATTAAATTCGTCCTAAGAATTCCATTATGTTTAATACAATTTTAATTGAATTATTAAAAATAATTGAATTATTCTTTAAAATTTTAATAAAATGATTCAAAAAGATCAAATAATTTCCAGAAACTAATAAAATTCTTCACATCAATTCGAGTATTTTCATAAATAATAAAATTCTTCGTACAAATTCAATTACTTTCAATACAATTTTTAGAAAGAATTACATTATTTTTATCATCTTAATGAAATTTTACACAAGAATTGAATTATTTTCAATACAATCTTAATTGAATTCATCTAAAAAAAATTCGAGAGTTCAATTAATTTCATAAATATATAATAAAATTCTTTAGAGAAATTCAATTATTTTTAAAACTTTTCATAAAGTTCTTTTTAGAAGAATTCAATTCTTTTTAATACAATTTGAATTCAATTAATCGAAATAATTGAATTATTATTCTTTTAAATTTTATTAAAATAATTCAAAAAGATCAATTATTTCCAGAAAAACATTAATAAAATTCTTCATAAGAATTCAATTATTTTTTCAAATAATAAAATTATTCACAGAAATTCAATTATTTCCGTAAATAATAAAATTCTTCGCAAGAATTCTTTGCCAGATTTCAATTATTTTTAATACAATTTGATATGAATTTCTCGAAAGAATTTAATTATTTCAAAAAATTTCAATAAAATTCTTCCCAAGAATTCAATTATTTTTACAAATAATAAAATTCTTCCCAAGAATTCAATTATTTTTAGAAATAATAAAATTTTTCACAGAAATTCAATTATTTCGATAAATAATAAAATTCTTCGCGAGAATTCTTTTCCGGATGTCAATTATTTTTAATACAATTTTCAATGAATTTCTCGAAAGAATTTAATTATTTCCAAAAATTTTAATAAAATTCTTCCCAAGAATTCAACTATTTTTACAAATAATGAAATTTGTCACAGGAATTCAATTATTTAAAAAAAAATTAATAAAATTCGTTGCACAAATTCAATTATTTTTATTAGTAATAAAAAAAATCCTTACAGATTTTTAATTATTTTTAATATTTTAAATAAACTTCCTCGAAAATTTTAATTGTTTTTAAAAAATTTATTAGAATTCTTGGAATGAAATCAATTATTTTCAAAAATTTTTGTAAAATTCTCTATAAGTATTCGATTCTCAGAAGTAATCAATTATTCTATGAGTTAATTGTCTTTTGTATTTAAATAATTGAATTCTGGTAGAACTTCCTAATAAGAATTGATTCAAAAATGAATTTCAGTTAAAATTTTAGATAATAATTGAATGTGTATATACAAAATAGAATCCGTATGATTTTTGTGAATCAACTAAAACGAGTTTTTTTTAGTCATCAAAATTTGATAGCTGCTTTTTTACTACTTTTTTCATTCTTAAAACTGCTTTTTGCTCCTTTTTTAAAATTAATTATTGAGTGCGAATCCTGAATGTATTAACGGGTCTTAAAATTTATCAACATGAGTTTTGGAATACTTGCGGTGAAAATTACAGAATTAAGTAATACAAGTGCATCTAACTAAGATATAGTTTACTCGATGGCAGACGGAGAGTCTGCACAGAAACTAACAGCGAAGATTCGGAAATAAGAAGGGGTCTCGAGGAAAGAGAACTAGAGGTCGGCGAAGAAGGCGTCGATGAAGAGGAGGCTGACACTGATCTCGAAACGGATCGCCTACTTGGTCAACAACGAACCGACGATCAAGGATTTTACGATGACAAGGTAAATTTTGGAAAAATTTTTCCCTCTAAGATGCTGCTTAGTCTACAGAAAAGCAAATATTTTTTCTCTTTTTTTTATGAACAAAAAAAAAATCTGTCGACTATAGTAGAATCTTAGCCAATTGTTAGAGTTTAATTTTTCGATCCTTTATACATAATAATAATAATAATTAGCCAGCAAAACGTGTGTTACTCAATGTATAACGCTCTAACGACTAATAATGACTTGATGTTGCACAGGGGTGGAGGAAACCTAAGACTAGGACAATGTTACCATCAATGAGTGCAAAAATTGCAACTCCAAAGCAAACGCCTCCCAAAACCTTAAGTGTCACTCCTTTAGAACCAATTGCACAATCCGAACCGTTGCCATCAACTTCGGCCTCTATTTCCCCACCTCCCGTAGTAACAGTCATTCAATCATCTCCTTCGGAACGCGAAATATCTTCCCCTACACAACCTACGTCGAGTCCACAGAAGACCCCGATTAAAAACTCTCCCTCACCTCCCCAGAGCCACCAGGAATCCAGCAGTAAGGTGAAAAAGGTGCCCCTTCAAATGCTATGGTTGTTAGCCTCTGCCTCTGCCTCTGACTATGGCTTGTAGAATAGAGTTTTACCTTATAGTCTGCAATGCCAAACAAAACAACAAAACAATGTCATGTTTTTTTTTTCATTTTATTTCACACTCACAGACACTGATTTTCAATATCCAACACTACATTCATTTTTTTTTTTGCCAATCACTTAGAGTTTATAAAGTCTTCTTTTTTTATCTTGCTTCGATTGAATGAAGACATTTAAATAATACCGGACTAACTTTTTCAATAATTATATGTATATTTTTGAAAAATTTTCAATTATTTTCATAAACCAATTATTTTTATGAATTTTAACAAAATAATTCAAAACAATTCAATTATTTTAAAAAGTTTAATAAAATTCTTTGCACCAATTCGAGTATTTTCATAAATAATAAAATTCTTCGCAGAAATTCAATTACTTTCATTTTATAAAATTTCTTAAAAGAATTTAATTATTTTAATAAATTGTAATAAAATTTTAGGAAGAATTCAAGTATTCAAAAAAATTTAATAATATTCTACACAGAAATTCAATTATTTTCACAAATAATAAAATAACTACTACCAAGAATTCAATTATATTCATAAATAATAAATTTTTTGATATAAGAATTGAATTATTTTTTAAAATTTTAATAAAATTCTTCGCAAAAATTTAATAATTATTATCAATTTTAATGAGATCAATTATTTTAAAAAATTTGACTAAAATTCTTGACCGTAATTCAATTATTTTTATAAATAAAAAATTTTCTACAGGAATTCAATTATTCTCATAAATAATAACTTTTATGCAGAAATTAAATTAATATTAAATTTTTTTTGAAATTCTTCACAAGAATTAAATTATTTTGATTAAAAATTAAAATTCTCAGCAGGAATTCAATTATTTATCTACTTTTGAAGAAAATTCTTCGCAAAATTCAATTATTTTTATTAATAATAAAATTCTTGGTAGAAGTTCAATTATTTAAAAAAATTTAACTAAAATTCTTGACCGTAATTCAATTATTTTCATAATAAATAAAAAATTTTCCACAGGAATTCAATTATTTTCATAAATATTAATAACTTTTATGCAGAAATTGAATTAATATTAAATTTTTTTGAAATTCTTCACAAGAATTAAATTATTTTGATTAAAAATTTGAATTCTCAACAGGAATTCAATTATTTATCTACTTTTGAAGAAAATTCTTCGCAAAATTCAGTTTTTTCATTAATAATAAAATTCTGGGCAGGTGTTCAATTATTTAAAAAAATTTAACTAAAATTCTTGACCGTAATTCAATTATTTTCATAAAAAATAAAAAATTTTCCACAGGAATTCAATTATTTTCATAAATAATAACATTTATGCAGATTAAATTTTTTTTAAATTCTTCACAAGAATTAAATTAATTTGATTAAAAATTAAAATTCTCAACAGGAATTCAATTATTTATCAACATTTTAAGAAAATTCTTTGCAGAATTCAATTATTTTTATTAATAATAAAATTTGTAACAGAAATTCAATTATTATTAAAAATTACAATGAAATTCTTTGCAAAAATTAAAGTATTTTTATAAATAATAAATCTATTGTTAAGAATTCAATTATTTAATATTTTGCAATTCAATTATTTTTATAAATAATAAAATTTTTTAGATGATTTAAATTAATAATTTTTAAAAAATTCTTTGCAAAAATTCAATCATTATATTCATAAATTTTCATAAAGTTTTTCAAAACAATTTAATTTCTTTCAAAAATTTTAATAATATTCTTCTTAACAATTCGAGTATTTTCATAAATAAAAAAATAAGGCTTTTGAAAAATTGCAATTAGAATTTTTTGATGATAGTTAAATTCTCGAAAATAATTTTTGAAAAATTGACACAATTGGAAATGTTGTTAAATTTCAATGAAATAAATTTAATATTTCAAGAAATGTTATTTATTTACTTTTAAAAGAATTATAACAAGAAATGAAAGAATTTATTATAAATAAAATAATTATTTATTCGAATATCTTTTTTGAAGAATTTTAACTGAAAATTTGGAAAATAATTGAATTTTACAAAAATTTATATAATTGAAACTATCAGCAAAATAAGGAAAGAAATTAATATTTTTTCTGAAAATCAGGGAAATTGATAGCAAAATTTTTGTAATAAACCTGAGTAAAGAAGTTATTTTTTCTGGAGATTGAATTAATAAATTAATTAATTCTAATTATTAAATATTAAATAGTAAGTTTTATAAAACATATAATTATTAAAAAAGTTGACGTCCGTTGAAAATTTATAGTTATAAATTAATATCTAAGGAAACTTTCTTTTTTTGTGATAATATAAATTATAATATAAATTATTTTCAAGCAAGATTTTCTAGTAACAGAAAAAAATAAAGCAAACTTTTTAATATTTATATCAATTAAAAGAAACTGTTTATTGTGCAAATAGAGAAATATTGCAAATTTATCATTTTCCATTACCATTATAAAGTCTAATCGTTGAAATAACTTGTTATACACGTTAAATCCTTTGGTATCGATTGCATGAGTTTTATTCAGCATTTAAAAACAGAAAAATCGTTAAAAAAAGGTAGTAAAATTCTTAATTTGAAACTTTTTTTACAAACAATTTTTTTTCTCCCGTAAAAGAAAAAAGTTTATTTTATCGTTTCAAAAATGAATTGATTAAATTAATTGAATTAATAATAATGTTTATCATTTACGTCGAGTACCAATTATTGGAAATTAATGTAAACTACAGGAAATAAATGTCAACTCAATATAATTTATAATTTTTTATAAACAAAAAAAAAGTGTTAGAAATTTAAATTTAATTTGATTATTTTGAACTTTGAGAGAATTATAATTTTTTTTCCTTCTATTTTTATGGGGACAAAGTTTTTTCATGAATGTATGTTGCACGTCTGTATGTGTTTTTTTTTCGTAAATTTATATAAAATATGAATCCATCGAGATTATTGAATATTTGAATTAATTTCACTTTATAAATGTTAAATTTATACTGTCGTTTCGATTTTGAATATATTTGAATTTTGAAATGTTTCAAATTTTAATACAAAAATCATGATGGGTTTTTTCATTGAATATATTCATAAATAGAGAAGAAATTTTTGTTGACTATATGCAAAAATTACAATATTGATATTTTTTCAGGATAAGGAGGGGAAGAAGAAGAGCAGAAACAAAGAAGGTAATGAGAATTTTTTCTTTTTTTGGGATTTCTGGTTTGTGAATCTAATTTGGTACTTCAATTTTTTTTTTAATTTTCGCTTTTTTCGACAATTTATATTAACCTCATCGCGGGAAAAATTTATTGAACTTTACATTTCGCCTCGTTTTACATAAATTGATTATCAATTTTGTTGGTTGGGATATTAAATTCCTTTGCTCTCCATTTATTTATTTTTTATTATTCTTCTTATTGCTTTTATATTTCCGGTGCTGAACATTTAAAAAAATTCACTATATTTCAATTTTTTTCTTAGATTCTCCAAATTTTTAGTTACAATTCTTCAAAAAATGCAATAATATTTAAAAATAATTTTTTAAAGTGAAAAAATAAAATTTTTTGAAATATAAAATTTACTTTAATTAAATTTTAGAAAATTTCCTATTTTTTCAATTTTTGAAATTGTTTTCGAGAATTCAACTATTTTCAAAAAAATTTAATTACGATTTTTTAAGAACTTTCAAAATACTTTCAATGTAAAACCTTTTTGAACTTTAATTATTTCTATAAAAATTAGAACTCCAATTCATCCAATTTATACTAATTAATTATTCTTCTTTATTGATTTCTGAAATTTTAATAAAATTCAATTCTTTTCATAAATAATAACATTCTTCGTAAGAATTCAATTATTTTTATAGATAAGAAATTTTTTTGCAAAAATTCAATTATTTTTAAACAAAATTTTAATATTTCACAAACGAATAAAATTATTTTCTAAAATTTTAATAAATCCTTCAAAACAATTCAATTATATTTATAAATAGTACATTCTTGGCAAAAATTCAATTATTTTCAAAAAAATTTCACGAAAGAATTCAATTTTTTTTATTAATTCCTTATAAATTATTTCAAAAGAATTCAATTATTTTCTAAAATTTTTATAAAATTCAATAATTAAATTAATGTTTAATTTCAATTATGAAACATTTTTAAAATTTTTATTTATTCTCTTAATATTATTTATTTAATGTAAAACGTTGGCGCAATATTTAAGTGAAAATAAGAAATTGGTGGATAAAAAGCAATTTTTGCTTAATGCATGTTTAGTGGTTTGATTACTAACAAAAATTTTATTCTGGTATAAGTAGAAAAAATAAGGAAAAATAAGTAGAAAAAAATAGGCACAGCACAATTAACGAAATTGTGAATAAACAAAATTTCAGATAAATAGCTCGTAGGTAAATTTGTAAAAGTTTAATTTAGAATTGGTGAATTTCAGAAGCATGACCTGTTGAAAATGAGAATACTAATTGTATTTTTAATCTTCCTTAAACGCTGCTTCAATTTGGACCTGGTTGCATGTATTTGCCTCCATCGACTAACACGTGGTGGGTACATTTTTTTTTCTCGAATTATATAACTTTTATTCCCTCTCTCTAATATTTTTTTTTCCTTTAATTTGAAAATAATAATCAGCCTTTCTCTTTCCATTGGAATGTGCGTGTTAATATCGACTCGCATTCTCGTAAACACGAAAGTAATTACATACTCATGAGGGAATAAATGACTTAATAATTGTTGAATTAACCATGTCTGCGGAGCAGTGCTTTACTCTGCACTATAATATCGTAACGTCAACTAGTGTCATGTCAAAGAAGACGCAAACAGTTCAAGGCATTAATAAATTTCTATTTTCAATTTATTTACAAATCATCTCTCAAATCTTTGAGTAAATTTACTCTTTTTTTTTTTATTTCTTCAACACGAATGATTTTATCTTTTCTTTGATTGTAAAAAGATTTTTTTTATCAGTATCGTAATTCAGTTACTGTCAAATTTGTCCATCAGATAGCAGTCTTTGAGATGATCTACAGCTTCTCTGTAATTAAAAGAAACTCTATTTTTCCAGTCAGTGAAATTTTTACTAATAATCGATGAAAAATAAAAAAAATAGAGTAAAAAAGTAAAAATAGAAGAAAGTGGAATAAAAAAAAGTGAATTAAAGTAAAGTGAATAGAAAGTAAATAGAATAAAAAAGTAAATTAAACTAAAGTGAGAAAATAAATAGAATAAAAAATTAAAAATAGAATTGAAAAATAAAAAATTGAATAAAAAAGCAAAAATAAAAGAAAGAAAATAAAAAAATAAAAAAAAAATGGAATAAAGGAACAAAAAGTAAAAATAAAAAAAACCAAAAGTGAAATAGAGGAAAATAGTAAAAATAGAAAAAGAGAAGAAGTTGCAAGTGATTATTCGATGAGTGAAGTGAAATAAACAAAAAATGAAATCGGAAAAAAGTGACGACCTGGATTTTATCATAAGTGATCCGAATTTAGTGATTAGTTGTAGTAATAAGGAAAATAATAATGAGAATGAGAAATTTTTGGAAATTGTTCCCGTTTCAACGATAAGAGCACTTCACTGCTCCGCAGACTATTTCGCTGTATTTGGCACTTTAGTTGATCAATCTTCTAATTCAAAATGGTATGTTTCAATGACAATTTCAGCCCTGCTGAACGATCCATCAGTCCTAATCGAGGGTGTTCTCTTTCGAGCGAGATATCTTGGATCAACGCAATTGGTCTGCGAAGGACAACCAACAAAATCGACTCGCATGTGCCAGGCGGAAGAGGCCGTCTCCAGGATAAAGGTAATTTTCTCTTTCTTTCTCTCTCTATCTCTCTATCTCTCTCTCTCTCAATAAAATTTTCTGACAAAAATAATTTTACATATTATAGCACAAGTAATGAACGTATACATATGTAATAAATTCTCTTAAAAAAATTTCTCTTAAAGACAACGCACGAAAAAATTAGGTCGTCATAAACTAAAATGACTCAAATGTAGCGAATAATTCCAAAAAAAAGAAGAATATTTTTAATTTTTTGTTCATTTTGAATATTTATTTTTAACGTCGGTGAAATCCACAATGTTTATTATCCAACGATTGTGGGAAAAAAATATTTTTCACTCAAAAAACAAAATTGTTACAAAAATTTGAATAGAAAAAAGTTTTTTTTCTATATTTGTTTATTATAAACGTTGTGAACTTCACCGACGTTATTTTTATTTACTTAGAGAAGATTCTTCTTTTATTTTTATTTATTTGAAAGAATATTCTTTCAATTTTTCTTCATTGAAAGAATTTATTTTTCTATTTATTTGAAAGAATATTTTTCTTATTTTTTATTTCTTTAAAAGAATATTTTTTGAATTTTTGTTTATTTGAAAGTATTGAATATTTAAAAGAATTATTTTCAAATAAAATTATTTTCAAATTTTTATTTCTTTTTAATTTCTATTTCTTTGAAAGAATATTTTTTGAATTTTTTATTTATTTGAAAGAATATTTCTTTTTAGTTTCTATTTCTTTATAAGAATATTTTTTGAATTTTTATTTATTTGAAAATATATTGAATTTTCGAAAAATAAAATTATTTTGAAATTTTTATTTGTTTGAAAGAATATTTTTTGAATTTAATTTATTTCTTTAAAAGAATATTTATTTTTAGTTTCTATTTTTTTGAAAGAATATTTCTTTTTAGTTCCTATTTCTCTGAAAGAATATTTTTTGAATTTTTATTTATTTGAAAATAATGAATATTCCAAAGAATTATTTTCAAATTTTTATTTCTTTAAAAGAATATTTTTTAAATGTTTATTTCTTGGATAGAATTTTTTTTTGAATTTATATTTTTTTGAATTATTTTTAGTTTCTATTTCTTTGAAAGAATATTTTTTGAATTTTTATTTCTTTAAAAGAATATTTATTTTTAGTTTCTATTACACTTTGAAAGAATATTTCTTTTTATTTCGTATTTCTCTGAAAGAATATTTTTTGAATTTTTATTTATTTGAAAATATTGAATATTCCAAAGAATTATTTTCAAATTTTTATTTCTTTAAAAGAATATTATTTCTTTTTAGTTTCTATTTCTTTGAAAGAATATTTTTTGAATTTTTATTTCTTTGAAAGAATATTTTTTAAATGTTTATTTCTTGGATAGAATTTTTTTTTGAATTTATATTTTTTTGAATTATTTTTAGTTTCTATTTCTTTGAAAGAATATTTTTTGAATTTTTATTTCTTTAAAAGAATATTTATTTTTAGTTTCTATTACTTTGAAAGAATATTTCTTTTTAGTTCGTATTTCTCTTAAAGAATATTTTTTGAATTTTTATTTTTTTGAAAATATATTGAATATTCCAAAGAATTATTTTCAAATTTTTATTTCTTTAAAAGAATATTTCTTTTTAGTTTCTATTTCTTTGAAAGAATATTTTTTGAATTTTTATTTCTTTGAAAGAATATTTTTCAAATTCTTATTTAATGGAAAGAATATTTCTTTTGAATTTCTATTTCTTTGAAAGAATTTTTTTTTTTGAATTTCTATTTATTCGAAAATATTGAATCTTCAAAAGAATAATTATTTTCAAATTTTCATTTATTTGAAAGAATATTTCTGATTTTTCACTTTATCGAAGAGAATATTTAGGTTATTCGTTAATTTGTTTTTATTTAATTTTAATATTCTGGCAATATTATAATGAATTATTTCTCTTTTTTAGTACTTTATAATACAAATCCCAGTAACATTCGATTGAAAGTCGAAACACTTATTATAGTGGCATGCTATGGATTGCTTCTAAATCAGTTTAATTTGCTGTTTCATTTATGGAGAACATATGATAATAATGTTTAAATAGTTTTTTTGGAGCCACGATAATAATTAATGTTTACTAATTTTTTGGAAAACGAAAAAAAGAAAATCTTATCTCTCTGAGATAATTCTCCATCTGTAATATGTGTGTTACTTGGCGCATCTTGAATTCCTCAGAAAGATAAGGTGTACAAGATCATTAGAGAATTGATAGTTGAACCTGAGAGTTTTAGCAGGAAAGATTTATAAGCACGTGCTGTATAATTGCCTCAAGGAAAAAAAAAACATTTCCGAATAAATAGGAAAGGAAAAAAAATATTTTTCCCGGATATTTTATATTTGAAAAAATATACATTTTCCAAAATGGTTTATTCAAAATAATTATTAATTCAAAATAGTTTGAAAATAGTTCATTCAAAATAGTGAAAAATAATTTATTGAAAATAGAAAAAAATAGTTAATTCAAAACAGTAAAAAAATAGTTGAAAATACTTCATTCAAAATAGTCAAAAAATGTTAATTCAAAATAGTGAAAAATAGTTCATTCGAAATAGTAAAAAATAGTGACTAATTAGCCGTCAGTTAAATTTCGAATTTCCTTGAGATAAGTTAAGCATCGTTTTCTTTCCGGCACTCTCTTCCATTTTTATTGACGGAATCAGTCTGTCTTTCTCGGGGGGGTTTAAAATCAAAAAAGGAATTTTAAAAAACCAAATTTAATTTTCAGAAAAATAAAATGAAATTTTAGACTGATTTCGACATTAACATTCTAATATTAAGTTAATTGATTATATTTTTTATTACAATATAAGAGGCACGTATAAATAGACAAAACGAAATGTTACGTTATTGAACAATACTCAATTTGTATTATTTAATGTGGAGACAATATTTTCCACACATAGAGGAAGTATTGTTTGATAAAAATGACATTTTCTTTATTTATAATATATGGAAATTTTTCTAGTAATTTTTTTTTAAAACTTTTTTAATTTATATATTTATTAATGATTAATTCAGAGATCATTGTCAAGTGGCCGTTGTGTAAAGAGGCCTGAATGTTTCAGTGTAGCGCCCCCCTTCCTCACATCACTAACACCACCCGACCACTGAACACTGTCATCTTCTCAGTGTAACGTTTGATGTGTCTGTCTGTTTGTCGGTCTATCTATTATATATTATATCTATTTATCTATCTATCTAGCTATATATATCTATTTGTTTTTGTTTATTTGCCTGGTACATAATAATTATCTTCTTTTTTACTTCTCTTCGTAGATGTTCTTTTTTCTAATTAATAATTCACATATGTTGAAAGCGTAATTGCACACGAGAATATATTTGTGAGAAATTCTTTATTTTGCGTTAAATTTGTTTTTTTTTTTAAATTTTACTGTCAAATTTATTCGAAATAGAAATTTATTGTCGAATTGACTTAGTGGAAAACTATAAAATTTACTCAATAGAAATTTACTATCAAATTTACTCACTAGAAATTTACTATCAAATTTACTCGATAGAAATTTATTATCAAATTTACTCAATAGAAATTTACTATAAAATTTTCGCCGTAGAAATTTACAGTCCAATTTACTATCAAATTCATTTAATTACGAGATAAAAAAATACATCACAATGACACTCAGGAGAAATGTGACACACTCTGAAAAAAGGGGCCTTAGAAACAAAAAGTGAACAAAAAAAAATTGAAAAATTATGCAAAATATTATATCACTTAAAGTTCTAAATTTCTAATTAGTTCCAATTTTTACTAAATCAAATTAAGAACATAAATTTTGTGATACTATTTTTGTAAGAATGGAAATTCTTTTATTTCTCCTAAATTATTGCGTTGATAAATTTTTTTTCCTAAAATTTAAAAGATAAAATTCTTGTTTAAAAATAGTTATAAATTTTGTAACTTTTATAATTTTGAGTCTGAAATAATTTAATTTTTGCACAGAATTATTATATTACAACTTTTTTGATAACAATTAAACTGTTTCGAACAATTTAAATAAAAAATTCTTGAAAATTATTTATTTCTTTCGAGGAATTTAATTAAAATTCTATTGAAAATAATTGAATTCTTCGTTAGAATTTTATCTTTAATGAAAATAATTCAACAGTTTATTTAAATTGTATAGAAAATAATTAAAATGCTTCAAAAAATTGTACTATTTATAAAAATAATAAAAATCCTTCGAAGAATTCTATTATTATTTTTTTTTTAAATTTTAATTCTATTGAGAAATTTCAATTAAAATTGTCAAGAATAATTAAAATTCTTATTAACAATTTTAATTAAATCATTTCTGAAAATAATTGAATTCTTTCGAAAAATTTTATTAAAAACAGTTAAAAATAATTGAATTCTTTTGTAGAATTTTATTATTAATGAAAATCATTCAATTCTTGATAATAGAATTTTATTACTTTTTTTAAATAATTAAATTTCTGGGGAAAATTTCAGTATTTGAAAAATAATTGACTTTTTGTGAAAAATTTTAATAAAATTTTTGGAAATAATAAAATATTTTCGAGAAATTCAATTTAAATTGTATTAGAAAATAATTGAATTCTTATCAAAGAATATTGTATATGTTATGAAAATAATTGAAATTCTCTAAAGAATTTTATAATTTATGAAAATAATTTAATTCTTAAATTTTCTTTAGACGAATTTAATTAAAATTGTATGTACTGAAAAAAATTCAATTCTTACATAAAATTTTATTAAGATATTAAAAAATTAAAAATAATTCATTCTTTCTAAAAATTGTATTAAAATTGTATTATTTTCAAAAATAATTGAATCCTTGGGCAGAATTATTTTATTAAAATTTTTCTAAATAATAATTGGATTATTTCGTATAATTTCATTACAATTTTTGAAAATAATTGAATTTTTTCGATTAATTTTGTTAAAATTCTGTTGACAACAATTAAATTCCTGCGCAGAATTTTAATATTTATGAAAATGCTTGAATTTCATTATTTATAAAAATTCAATTGATTTCAAGAATTCTATTTTAAATTCGAAATAAAATAATTCAGTTGGGAAATTTTATAAAAACATTTTTAAATATAATTTAATTCAATCGATAAGTTTTATTAAAATTGTGTAGAAAATTATTAAATTCCATTAAAAAATTGTATAAATAATTGCTTTTCAGCAAAAAAAAAAAAAAATGTCATTACTTTCGAAAATAATTGAATTCTTGCGCAGAATTCTATTAAATTATTTTCAAATAATTTAATTTCATGAAGAATTTTAATAAAATTTTTGAAAAGAATTGAATTCTTTCCAGGAATTATTTAAAATTTTATTGAAAATAATTGAATTCTTGCGTAGAATTTTTAAAAATTATTTGAAAATAATTGAATTGCCTATAAAGAATTTGAATAAAATTTTTGAAAAGAATTGAATTCTTGCGCAGAATTTTAATTATTAATCAAAATAATTGAATTGTTTGCGCAGAATTTAATTACAATGTTTGAAAATAATTGAATTATTTCGTAGAATTTAATTTTATTCTTCGAAAATAATTGAATTCCTTCCAATAATTTTATTAAAATTCTAATTGGCTATTAAATTCCTGAGCAGAATTTTTTAATATTTATGAAAATATTTGAATTTGACATCAATTAAATTCTTGCGCTGAATTTTAGTTAGTTAATAAATTGGAATTTTTTAAATTGAATTTAATATTTAAAAGTCTAAGATTTTGTAATTTTCACAATAATAATAAATTAAATACTACATAACGTTTACTTCTAAGGCTCATTTTCTTCAGAGAACGTCACAAATAATATGAAAAAATATTTTTTTTTTCATTTATCATTTCCAGAGATATAAATTATAATGGGATTAGATACTTCTTCACCTTAGAATTATTGTTCTTTTGATGCGATCTTTTTATTATAGGAGAGATTAACATACGTATATGACTTTGGAAATAAAAATAAGAATGACTAATCTGACTTTATATAGCAATAAATTTACATTTGTAAAGATCAGATCTGAAGGTTTTATATCGCATAAATCTATAGAGGGGTTTTTCACAAAAATTATTAGGAATATAGATAAATGATTTGTGAACTTTTTTTATTGTGAAAATTCAGGTCTTTTTTTTACCGTATAAAGCAGAATTCGTATTTTTATCAGGGCACCTGGCTTGCTGGTATATTTTTATTCTTTTTCATGCAGAAGGCCTCAATAGATTTGCACAGCTTGCAGAAAAAAAAAATTTCAATCATAAATATTTCAAGGAAATTCTATTTGTTTCATTGACATAAAATATTCACTCTCCAATAATATAAAACTTATTATTGGAAAAAATTTGCCAGCTTTTGAATTTTTGTCGCAGTTGATATTATTTTCTTTTTTATCGAGGGAACGCAAAAAAGTTTCTTAGCAATTTTTAGTGTTATGAAATTTTTTAAAAGCTCTGATAGAGTAAAAATATTTAGCTCTTCATTTTATCGAACAATTGCTTGCTGCATTTAACTTTTTTATAATATATGACTTGTGCTTGAATTTTATGGATATTTATATTCTTTTTCGAATGTTAAGGGAAAACACCGTTTTTCGTCCTCTCTTCATTATTCCAAAAAGCTTGCTTCCCTCCTAATCCTCTGCTTGATTAGATTATCTAAAACGAAAAAAGAAAGTATTAATTAAATTACATTTTATTGCTAAGACGATAAATTTTGAATTTTATTGGTGCCTTGTTGAATTATTTATTGTTGTTGAATTACACTTTAAATAGAAAAAAAAATATTTAAAAAATTACTCGCTGTCAATTTTTTAAAACATATTTATCGCAAATCGCAGCTGCTTATTGAAATATATTTTTCTGTTAATTATTTCTGAGCTGCTAATCAGGGTAAAATTTAAAATTAATTTTGTATTGAATATTTTATTTAATTGAATAAATTTTTTTTTAATTTTTTATTGAATATTTTTTTTGATTGAATAAATTTTTTTTTATTTTTTATTCTAAATATTTTGTTAATGAATAATGGATAATAATTATGCATGTAGTGTAATGTATAATTATATGTGAATTCATAAAAAAAAGAGTCCGGAGACTACGTTTGTTATTTTTGCTATTTTTGAAGTTTTGAAGTTATTTGGAAAAAATACGAAAAAAAAAGAAAAAAATTAGACTAAAATTGTCACTGACTTAATTTTAGAAATTAAATTTTAAAGTTAAATATTTTTTTATGAAGCTGAAACTTTCATCCACTTAGTTTTTCAAAATTTAATTTTGGTTTTAAACAAAAAAGAAATTATTATATAAAAATAATAGTTAGTTTCACAGGACAGGGAAATTTTATCCAAAGTATTAAAAAGTATCAAATTATTGACAATTTTAAAAAGTCTATGAATTTTATTTTTCAAATTAAAATAATCCTTAAGTACTTAGAGTAGCAGTTTTAATTTTTAGAAATAATCAATTATTTATTTTTGTATTTAAATAATTGAATTGTCGTACAAAATTTTTTTATAAGATTTAATTTGAAAAAGAATTTCAGTTTTAATTTTTAGAAATACTTAAATTTCAAAAGGTTTTACATTAAAAGTATTTTGAAATTTTAATTCCTGGTTGGCAATTAAATAACAATAAGTTTACAAATATTTATTAAACAAAAATTAATTAATTTTGAAAAATTTTTATTTAGAAATTCTGAAAAAATGAGGTTTTCTAAAAACCATAATTAAAATTTTTTGAAAATAGTTAAATTACGGAAAATAATTTTAAAAAATTGAAAAAGTAGGAAATTTTCTTATATTTCATTAAAATAAATTTTATATTTCAAAGAATTTTATTTTCTAGCTATAAAAAATTATTTTAGAATATTGTTGTATTTTTTGAAGAATTGTAACTAAAAATTTGGAAAAGTAATTGAATTTTGCCAAAATTTGCATTTAAATAATTAAATTATTGTTAAATTCAAATAATCATTAAATTTTTAACGGTTTTTAAACTGAACTTTTTCTAAAATTCTAATAACCGAAAAGTATAGTAATATTTGAATGTTCATTTAAACAAATTATTTTCCTTTATAGAATTTATTAAATTTTTTGTATAATTTTATCCCAAAATTTTTTAAAAATTGAATTTTATTAGAAATGCAATTGTCATTTTTAGAAATAATTAAATTTCAAAAATTTTTACTTTGAAATTATTTGAAATATTAATTTTTGTGGAAAAGTAAATATGTATTTAAAGATTTCTTTAACAAAAGTAATTCAAGTTTTATAAAATTTAAATTAAAAATTTGTTTAAAATGAGGTTTTTTGAAAAATTGTAATTAAAATTTTCCAAAATAGTTGAATTCCCGAAAATAATATTAAAAAATTGAAAAATAGGTAATTTTCTCAAATTTTATATTTCAAAGAGTTTTATTTTCTCACTTTAAAAATTTATTTTTAAAAATATTATTGTATTTTTTAAAGAATTGTAATTAAAAATTTGTAAAATAAATAAATTTTGTTTTTAAATAATTTAAATAAATTTAAATCCTTAAATTTTTGTATTTAAATCAATTATTGTTTAAATTCAATTGAGGGGCTGGATGCTATAATGTGTTACGCGCCATTCACTTAACATGGCGCGTAACACATTATAGCATCCAGCCCCTCAATTATTTGTTGAATTCTGAATAAAAATCGATCTAAAAAAAAAATTCAGTTAAAATTTTGAATAATAATTAAATTTTACAAAAAATTTTGTATTTAAATCAATTATTATTGTTTAAATTCAATTATTGTTGAATTCTGAATAAAAATTGATTTAAAAAAGAATTTCAGTTAAAATTTTGCAATTATTTGAAATTTTTATTAAAATAAATAACAATAAGTTTTTAAATATTTGTTTAGCAAAAATTATTGAAATTTTCAAGAATTTATTGTAGAAATTCGAAAAAAATCAGTTTTTTGAAAAATTGTGATTAAAATTCATTTGAAGATAATTGAAGTTCCGAAAATAATGTAGAAAATTTAAACAATTAAAAGTTTATAGTCAATTTTCATTGATTTTATTTGAATTAAAATAATTAAAATAATTTTCTTTGAAGGAATTTAATTTTCTTTCTGTTAAAAATTGCTTTGAAATATAATTGTATTTTTGAAAACAAATAAATTGATAATCAATTATTATTATTTATTAATTTTTAATTATAATAAATTTAATTACATTTTAAAAAAGAAAGTTTTCTTTTTTATTGGTGGGTGCCAGTTTCAGCTTTATGAGAAAGAATTTTATTTTGCTTTTGTGGATAAAAATATTTAACTTTAAAATTTTCAAAATTAAGTAAGGTGCCAGTTTTTTGGCTTCATTAGAAAGAGTTTTATTTTGTTTTTTAAACGAAAGAAAAATATTTAAATATTAATTAAGTTAATTTAATTGAGATTTTAAAGAATTTAATGTGTAAATTCTAAAAGAAATCAGTTTTTTTAAAAATTTAATTCAAAATTAAATGGGTTGGCGTTTTATCTTCATCAGAAACGAATAGTATAATAAATTGACTTTTTCATTATTAAAAAATTAAAAATATTCAATAAAAACCATAAAAACATTTCGATTTTCCATAAAATTTTTCTTTCTCTTTTTAAGAGACTAAAAGTGAATAGAGATGAAAATGATTGAAAATTTTAGTTTTTGATAAAAAAAAATCTTGTACTTGGAGTATTTTTGTAGGTATAATTTTTGGATAATCTGTGATTGTTAAATTAAAATGAAATCTGTATTAGCAGCTCGGATGAAAATGACAGAGAAAGAGAAATAAAAAGAAAGGAAGGGAGTTGGGATTTTTTGCTCTTTTTTGCCTTGTTCCGTTGGTGGTGCCGTGGCAATAGCCTTTGTTTGTTTGTTTGTTTGGCGCGTTCGTAACCAAAGGATGGGCCAGGGTCGATGCAGGCTACGCTCTTAAACTATGGGGGGACCCAAGGGTATGAGCGCTGCAGCGTTGCGTCACAAGGAAGCCTTGAGGAAGATGAATGCGACTCAAGCGAGGAACTAATAGGCAGTGCTTCCGCCTCCGGTGGCGGCCAACCGGAAACACAAACACAGACAGTTGGGGCTCAGCCTAAGCTGGCCCCAATCAGTGGTTCGGTGGGCTCCACCACCGGGTCCACGACAGTTTTCAGACTTCAATTTCTCGGGTCGGTTGAGGTGGAAGAGGAAGGGGGTCGCAAACGGCGAAAACGCCTAAAGAAGCACATGGTGGAAGAGGCCGTCACTAAAATAAAGGTCGGCCTCACCCAATCATCACCCAAAATTATTCTTTTTTTGCTTTTTTTTTCTATTGTTTCTCAAAAAATTATCATTTTTTTCAGACTTCGCACTCGATGATTAATTTTAATATTGTTTAAAAGTAGCAGATAGTAGCTTATTTCAAAACTAAAAACGTAAAAACAGTAGTAGAAAAGTAGCTATCGAAAAATTAAAATTGACGACCGAAAAAAACTCGTTTTAGACACTTCACAAAACTGACAAAAATTCCAGTTCATGTTTTTTATTTTTCTCATTTTTTCTCCTAATTTTCATCAAAAATATTTATTTCTTATCCTATTACTAATAAATTGAATTCCTGCAACGAATTTTATTATTCATGAAAGAATTTAAATATTTATTTAAAAATAGATAATTTAATTCTTACGAAGAATTTTCTAAAAAATTTTAAATAATTAATTTTTTTTGACTAATTTTTATGCAAATTCTCCAATTTAAATAATTGAATTCCTGAGAAATTTTTCTTATTCATGAAAAGAATTAAATTCTGACGTAGATTTTTAAAAAAAATTTTTTTAAATAATTGAATTCTATTTGGAAATTTTAAGAAAATAGTAAATATTAAAAATCATTGAATTGCTAAAAGTTTTTAAAAATAATTAAATTTTGAAAATAATTGAATTGAAATTTTTGACAATAATTGAATTCTTGCGAACGATTTTATTGAAATTTTTTTAAATAAATGAATTTTAGTAAAGAATATTGTTATTTATGAAAATAATTGAATTTTACAAAGAATTTGATTAAAATTTCTGAAAAAATTGAATTTCTGAGAAGAAATTTTGTATTTATCAAGATAATTGAAAAACTGACGAGAATTTTTAAAAAATTTTTAATTTCTGTGAAGAATTTTATTATTTTTGAAAATAATTGAATTCTTGTGATGAATATTGCTATTTATGAAAATAATTGAATTTTGCAAAGAATTTTATTAAAATTCCTCAAAATAATTGAATTTTCCAAAAAAAATTTATTAATTATTGACATAATTGAATTACTTCAAAGAAAGAATCATTTTTTTAAAACTAAAAATAATTAAATTTTACAATGAATTCAATTAAAATTTTTAACAATATTTGAATTCTAGCAAACGATTTTATTAGAATTTTTTTAAATAAAGGAATTTCGAAGAAAAAATTTATTACTTTTAAAAATAATTGAATTCTTGTGATGAATATTGTTATTTATGAAAATAATTGAATTTTGCAAAGAATTTTATTAAAATTCCTCAACACAATTGAATTTCTGAGAAGGAATTTTGTAGATTTATAAAGATAATTGAAAAATTGAAGAGAATTTTAAAAAAATTTTGAATTTTTGCGAATAATTGTATTATTTTTAAAAATAATTGAATTTTGCAAAGAATTTTATTAAAATTTCTGAAAAAAATTTCTAAAAATTTGAATGCATCAGTGATTATGTTAAATTATTATTTTAAATACTTGTTATTTTTCAACACAAACTAAAATTTTCAAAAATTACAATTTCAAATCTTCCGAAATTAAATTATGTTCAAAATTTTTTTTAAATTTCAATTATTTTCAAAAGTAATAAAATTCTTATCAAAAATTCAATTATTTTCAAAATTTTTAATTAAATTCTTGTCAAAATTTCAATTACCTTCAAAAATTTTCCTCAATTCAATGATTTTCAATATCTAGGGGAACATAGTCTAGGTCGGCCACCTTTTTGACTTTTGTTTATAACTTTTTTTTAAAAATGAATTTGGACAATTGAAGTATATGGTTGGAAAGTCCTGTTTAATAGGAACATTTTTTCTGTACAAAGTAAATTGACAGGTTTAAAAATGAAAAAGTTATAAAGATTTAAAAAAAAAAAAATTTGTAGTCCAGGTTGGCCATTACAGTCAAGGTCGGCCATTTTTAAAATTCAAAGGGCATTAAACGTTAAAAAATAAAATAACATGTTTGGAGTTACGGAAAATTGATTCTTTATTGTTTACAGTTTGTAACTTAATGAAATAACAAAATAATAACAATAAACAATATAAAAAAATAAATATAAATAAAAAAAAGTTTTGCACTAAAATATTTATAAAATTAAATAAAAATATTAATAAGATGATCAATTATATTATGAGTTATACAGAATTGCAGTTTTTGCAAATGAAGTAGCTCGTCCTCAACTTTGCGCATTTTAAACACATAGTGGCCGACCTTGACAGTAAGTAACATTACCGAATTGTTGTAACCATAAAGAAATACGTTTCGGGATTCGATTTTTTACTTTGTTTTCCTTTCAACCATGAGTCCCACAAATTTTCTGCATACTTGCCTTGACGATTCAATTTGTTTTTTATCTTTTATTCATGGTTTTTCACATTATGCACAAAACTTTTTTTGAGCTTTTTTTGTACCGACGTCACAGAAAACACAATTTTCGATTTTCCGAAAATGTAATTGAACAAAAAGTTAGGTTTCACTAAGACAAGCTTCGACAAAAATGCGCGTAGGTGGCGCTAGTGAACTTGACAAAAAAACGCGAGTGGCCTACCTAGACAGTAGGCCAACCTTGACTACATTCCCCTATTATTTTAATAAAGTTTTCCAACATAATTCAATTATTTAAAAAAAGTTTTAATAAAATTCTACACAAACATTTCATTATTTTCTTAAGTATTAGAATTTCACAGGAATTCAATTATTCTTTATGGGAATTCAATTTTAAAAAACATTCAATTATTCAATAAATTATTTATTTAAATAATTGAATTCTCGTGGAATTGTTCTAATAATAATTGAATTCTTCCAAAGAATTAAAAAAATTTTTTTTTTAAAAATTGATTTTTTCGAGGAATTAAAATTAAATTTTTAAGAATAATTACATTTTTTGAGCAATTCTTATAAAATTGTATTAAAAATAATTGAAATCCTGCGATGAATTTTATTATTATGAAAATAATTGAATAGTTGTTAAGAATTTTATTAAAGTTTTTTAAAAATAATTGAATTCCCGAGAAGAATTTTATTATTTATAAAAGTAATTGAATTATTGCGAAGAATTTTATTAAAATGTTTTAAAAAAATTGAATTTCTGTGAAAAATTTGTTAAATACTTAGTTTTTTCAAAAATTTTTTGAAAATGCTATTCAAAAATAATTGAATTCCTGTGAAAATTTTATTATTTATAAAAATAATTGAATTTTGGATGAATTTTGTAAATTTTTAATTTTAATTGAATTGAATTCTTTTGCGAAATTTTATGAAAATACCAGATATTGAAAATAATTGAATTTCGAATACTTTCGGAAAATAATTGAATCGTTTTAAAGAATTTGATTATAATTTTTTGAGAATAGTTATTTGATTTCTAGTATTAGCGAATTTAAAGTAGTGGAAATTCTCAAAAAAAAAAAAAACCAGAAATAGTGGCTGAAATCGAAAAAGTACCCAAATAATAGCATAACGTAAAAAAATGTAGTAATTAGTAGGTTTTAGTAAATGAGTGCGAAGCCTGTTTTTTGTTCCGTTATTTAATTTTTTTTATGAGAGATTATACCCAAAAAAAAAATGACAATTGGTTGTAAAAACAAACATACGACTCGAAATTTTCTTATTTTCTATTTTTCTCTCTTTCACTTTTTGAATGGCATGATCTGCTATTACTAACTGATCAGAGATTTGAAATTTTGTGTCATTGTTGATTCATTCAGACAAACTCTCAGGTTTAGATGATTTCCATTTTTCTCGAGTTCATTTTTATTCATTTCTCTTTATTGGTGTAATTTATGATTTTTTTTCTAATAAGCATTTCTATGTGGTAGAGAAATATATTTTCTGAAATATCGCAATTACTTAATGAAATATTTGTTTTATCTTTCACGCTGCTCTTTCATAGGCTCTGGTGAGTATTCTTTGAGAGAAATAATTTTGATTCTTTTTGAATGCGTCTGCTAAATATTATTAATTATATTGATTAAATTATTTGAATTTATATGAATTAAATTATTTGAATTTATGTGGATTAAATTATTTGAATTTATATGAATTAAATTATTTGAATTGGTTTTGATTAAATTATGTGAATTTGCAGGCGCCCGATGGAGAGACGCAACCGAGTACGGAAGTTGATCTGTTCATATCAACGGAGAAGATAATGGTATTGAATACGGATTTAAAGGAGATAATGATGGATCATGCACTGAGAACAATATCGTATATAGCTGACATTGGAGATTTGGTTGTTCTCATGGCGCGAAGACGATTTGTACCGCATGAAATGGAGGAAGCACCAAAAATTAATAGAACTCCAAAAATGATTTGTCACGTTTTTGAAAGTGAAGAAGCTCAGTTTATTGCACAAAGTATCGGACAAGCATTTCAAGTGGCGTACATGGAATTTCTCAAGGCCAATGGGATTGAAGATCATAGTTTTGTCAAGGAAATGGATTATCAAGAGGTGCTCAATTCACAGGAAATTTTTGGCGATGAACTTCAAATGTTTGCGAAAAAGGAAATGCAGAAAGAGGTACACATACTACTTATTAAATAGTTAATAGTAACAGGGCTCGAACTAGGTCCGTAAATTTGCTTGAAGTCCGTAAAAGTCAGTTTTCTTGAAAAAAAAGTACCTAAAGTCCGTAATTTAATTGAGAAAAGACTAAAAGTTCGTAAATTGAACGATATAATTCAGAGAATTTTAGAGAATGTAAAAATGAGTACAGAAATTCAGTTATTTTCAAAAGTAATAAAATTCTTCGCAGAAAGTCAATTATGTTCAAAAATGTTTTTTATATTCTCGTCTAAATTTCAATTATCTTTAAAAATAATTAAATTCTTCTCCGAAATTCAATTATTTACAAATTTTTTGTAAATTTATTCGTAATCATTCAATTATTTTCATTAATAATAAAATTTTTACAGGGATTCAATTATTTTCGTAAATAATAAAATTCTTTTTAAGAATTCAATTATTTTCATAAATAATAAAATTTTTACAAGGATTCAAATATTTTCGTAAATAATAAAGTTCTTTTTAGGAATTCAATTAATTTCATAAATAATAAAACTCATTGCAGAATTTCAATTATTTTTAATAAAATTTTAATCAAATTCCTCGAAAAATGTAATTATTCTTAAAAATTTTATCAAAATTCGTCGAAAGAATTCAATTATTTAAAAATTTATTTGATAAAACTATATGAATTATCGAAAAATTTCAGATTCAAACTTTAAAAAAAAATTCAATTTTTAACAAATTTACTAATTAATTATTCTTGATTATTAATTTCAAAATTTTAATAAAATTCTACTTAAGAATTCAATTATTTTCATAAATAATAACAATTTTCGTAAGAATTCAAATTATTTTTTAAAAATAGTACAATTTTTTGCTAGAATACAATTATTTTTAAATAAAATTTTAATAACAATTCACAAATGTATACAATTATTTTCTAAAATTTAAAAAAATCCTTCGAAACAATTCAATTTTTTTCTTAATTCATTATAAAATTTTTCAAAAGAATTCAATTTTTTTCTTAATTCGATTTAAAATATTTCTAAAGAATTCAATTATTTTCTGAAAAATTTCATGAAAGAATTCAATTTTTTTCATAATTCGATATAAAATATTCCAAAAGAATTTAATTATTTTCTAAAATTTTTTATAAATTCTTCGAAAAAATTCAATGATATTTATAAATAGTAGCATTCTTTGCAAAGGTTCAATTATTTTAAAGACAATTTTTTTAATAACATTACATGAAAGAATTCAATTATTTTCTAAAATTTTATTAAATTCTTCTGAAAAATTTAATTATTTTTCTAAGTAGTAAAATTCTTTGCAAAATTCAATTATTCTCAAAAATATTTCACGATAAAATTCAATTTTTTTCTTCATTTGTTATAAAATTTTTCAAAAGAATTCAATTATTTTCTAAAACTTGAAAGAAATTGTTCATAAAATTAAATTATTTTAAAAATTTTTAAAGAAACTCCATTATTTAAAAAAAATTTAAAGAAATTCTTTAAACAGAATTTATGTAATTAAAATTATAAAGTTTTAACATAATTCTTCACAAGAATTCAATTATTTTACTAATTCAATTTTAAGAAACATGCAATTATTCAAAAAATTGTTTTTGTTTGTATTAAAATAATTAAATTTTAGTAGAATTTTTTAATAAAAATTGATTTCAGTTAAAATTTTAAATTATAATTGAATATTAAAAGCATTAGAGCGAGAATTTTTAGAAATAATTGAATTTTGAAAAGGTTTCAAATTAAAATCTTGGAAAATCTGTATTTTTTATGTTTTTAACAAACAATTATGTGGAATTAATTTTTTTGTGAAAGTTTTCACAAATCATAAAACTCATCACAGAATTTCAATAATTTTAAATACAATTTTAATCGATTTTCTCGAAAAATGTAATTATTCTTGAAAATTTTATTAAAATTCGCCGAAAAAATTCAATTATTTAAAAATTTGTTGATAAAATTCTTTATGGGAATTAAATTTTAAGAAACATGCCATTACTCAATAAATTGTTTTTATTTATATTTAAATAATTGAATTCTCGTAGAATTTTCTAATAAAAGTTGATTTAAAAATGAATTTTAGTTAAAATTTTAGATAATAATTGAATATTAAAAGCAATATAGCGTGAATTTTTAGAAATAATTGAATTTTGAAATTTATTTTTTTGAAAAAGTTTAATTGAATTTTTCTTATATTACTTTAAGTTTTTATTTTCTATTATATATATTTTATTGAAGAATTTACGAATAATTGAAATTTCGTAAAATTAAATATTGTAAACAAATGGATTTGTAAATTGTCAAAGAACTTTTTCGAAAATTATTAAAAATAATCGAAATCTCGAAGACTCGGAGTTATGGATTTCTTTATGTTTTATATGGAAAATTTAATTTATAATTAAAATTTAATTTATAATCTTAAGTAAAATATTCTTTTTTCTTTTCTTTCTTTTCTTCGAAATCTCGAAGACTCGGAGTTATGGATTTCTTTATGTTTTATAAGGAAAATTTAATTTATAATTAAAATTTAATTTATAATTTTAAGTAAAATATTATTTTATTTGACTCGGACTGTTTATATTTTTTGTCAGTAATTGGTCCGTAATTTTTCATTTTTGGTCCGTAAAGTCCGTGTTTTTAAATACTTTTACTGGTTCGAGCCCTGTAGTAAAGAAACAATGAAATTATATTATTTTGATATTATATTGTATTTTGAAAATAGGTGGTGGTACCAAAGGCAAAAGGTGAAATTCTAGGCGTAGTGATAGTGGAATCTGGTTGGGGCTCCATGCTACCGACAGTGGTGATAGCAAATTTGGCACCGGCTGGTGCGGCCGCTCGCTGCGGGCAGCTAAACATCGGCGATCAAATAATTGCAATCAATGGGGTCTCGCTGGTCGGTTTGCCTCTTTCCACGTGTCAGACATACATAAAAAATTCCAAGAACCAAACTGTCGTTAAGTTGACTGTCGTGCCGTGCGCGCCTGTTGTTGAAGTCAAAATCAAGAGACCAGACACAAAATATCAGTTAGGATTTAGTGTACAGAATGGAGTTATATGTAGTTTACTAAGAGGAGGTATCGCCGAACGGGGTGGCGTTCGAGTTGGTCATAGAATTATTGAGATAAATAACCAGAGTGTTGTCGCAGTACCGCACGAAAAGATTGTCAATCTTTTGGCAACATCCGTCGGCGAGGTACAATTTTATTCATTTAAACAAAAAAAACTTCCTTCTATTTTTCTTTTTATATTTTCAAAAATTCAAATCTTTTCAATTATTTTTCTCGATTTCAGTTTTTTTCTTTCTTCTTTGAAGTACTGAAGTAGAAGAAATTGAAGAATTTCTTATTTATTTTCTTACAACTGGGTTGCCATAGGTCAAGGAATTCAGGGAAAACTCGAGGATTTTTATTAGAATTACTGGAAAAAATTAAATATTTACAATTCATGAGAAAATTCTGAATATTTGTGTCTTTTTTGGTTGCCTCATAAACTATTAATTACCACGAATTCTGATACAAAACCTTCAATTTTTTCTACTTCTGACAATAATTTCTTTTTAAAAATCTTAATTTTTGAAGAACTATCATAAAATTATTACTTAGAAAGTTTTTAATGAATAATTTTACTTAAATATTTCAGAATTAATTGAATTTTAAAAAAGTTGCCTTTACAATTTTCATAAATAGATGAACTTCAAAAGGTTTTAATTTAATTTTTTATAAAATTTCAATTTCCAATGAATTTAATTAGAAATTTTAAAGATCTTAGATTTTTGACAAATTTTAAGAATTAAAATTCTTCTGAAATTAGTTAAATTTTGTAATATATATTTAATTAATTATTTAAAATAATAGTTGATAAACAATGGATTTATAGAAAAATTTTAGTAAAAACACTAAAAAGAATTGAATTTTGGAGAAGTTACAAATCCAATTCTCGTCAAAATTTCAATTATTTTTAAAAAATTTCCTGAATTCAATGATTTTCAATATCTATTATTTTAATAAAATTTTCAACCAGAATCCAATTACTTAAAACAAAATTTAATACAATTCTATGCAAACATTTAATTATTTTCATAATATAAATAATAAGCATTTCACAGCAATTTAATTATTTACAAATTATTTTTATAAATAAATACATTTTTCAGGAATTCAATTATTTTCATAAGTAATAAAACTCATCGCAGAATTTAAATTATTTTTAATACATTTTTAATTAAATTCCTCGAAAAATGTAATTATTCTCAAAAATTTTATTAAAATTCGTCGAAAGAATACAATTATTTAAAAATTTGTTGATAAAATTCTTTATAAAAATTCAATTTTAAGAAACATTCAATTATTCAAAAAATTTTTTATTTTTGCATTTAAATAATTGAATTCTCGTAGAATTTTCTAATAAAAGTTTTCTTTGAATGAATTATTTAGCCAAAAATATCTTCTAAATTGATAAGAAGTTATTGATGTTTTCGAATAATTGTACAATTAAAGAAATTCGTAAATGATTGTAATAGAACATTTTTTTTTGAGTAGGTATCTAATCATTTTTAGGATGAATCAGAATATTCTTTGGAGTCAGGGAAAAAGTCAGAATTTTGTTTAGAAATTTGAGAAAAGTGAGGGAAAAATAAATGTTTTCGGCAACCCTGTACAAATTTAAAAATTTCGAATTTACTTTCTCAAAAATCTTGTTTTTCAAAATATTGACATTATTGATAATTATGGTTATTTTCAGATTTTGATGAAGACGATGCCGACATCAATGTTTAGGCTGTTAACTGGCCAGGAATCTCCGGTGTACATATAAGCGTTTACCTGGCCAAAACGATAGTGAACAGACAATACATCTGCCATCCACTACCGTACTCTATATATATATAACTTCATTGTACAAGTTGTTCCACGTGAGTTGTTTTGTATTTCAATTTGGAACGCCCCATGTCCCACTTATTACAATCATCTCTTGCTTACAATTAAATAGACTATGGTCTGGTCTATAGTCACTTTCAAACTAAATATATTTATTCACCGATTATTTATTAAGTGACAAAGTTATAAAAGTTTTATCAAAAACAAAAAAAAATAATAACGTGACATCTTACGGCAGCAATAATATAAATATTTTTCTTAAATATTTTTTCATGCGTACTTGTGCTTCTATAGGTATTTAAAAAGCTAAAAAGAGTTTTTGCAATTGATTTACAAAAATTTCGCTCTTTTTTACTTTGTGAATTTCAATCATGATGCATTCCAAATTGTAATTTAGATACACTTATTGTTGAATGAATTTTTTTTCTCAAAAAGCTAATATTTTTGTTTATGATATATAAAGAAAAAAAATAATGTATAAAGGCGTCCACTCTTTGAGAAAATAGAGTGTTTTTTGTCTGAAGTACAAGCACTATGTTCACTACAAATAACTGCCGTTAAGAGTCGCTTTAAGTTACTTGCGCCAAGGAAGATGAGGTAGACGATGCAATGCACATGATTATAAATAGCACAAAAGCTCTTTACTAACGTAATAGGGCAGGGCTGGAACTGTAAAGTAAATTACAATTTTCTTATTAATTATCATTATATATATAATTGTAACTTTTTCTAATCATCTCTTTCTAATTTTTGCAGGTTTTAGTTAATTCATTCCTTTGTTTAATTTTTTATCTCTAAACTAAGAAATGAAGTTTTGTCGATGTCAGATAGAAAACAAATGAAAGCGAACAATTATTTTTTTATTTTTCTTCATTGCTTTTTGTTGTAATCATTGTTTTTTATTTGAAATCGAGTTAATTGTATAACACGTACTGGCAAACATCGTCAGTACTTGAACAAATCGTACATTTATTAATTTTTATTATCAATATTGTAAGCCTCTTAACGAAAAGTCTAATTGTCACCTTACCGGACTGCATTATCAACGAAATTCTTTCTTATTTTCAAATTAACCGAATTTGAATAATCGATTAATTTAAACTATTTTAAACGTTTTACTTTTTTAAATCGAAATCATTAAGATTTCAGGTCGTTAATTTAATTTAATTTAATTCAGGTCTTAATTTAACTTTAACGAGCCAAAAAAGTCGCTTTGGTCGATTAAAAGTAGAAAAAGTCATTTATTTAATTCAGTGTTGTCACAACAATTTTATTTTGTATTTCCCTGAATCTTCACTGATTTCTAAATTCAAAACTTGAATAATTTTGCTAAATAAATATTTAAATACTTCTTATTTCTTCTTTCTCGGGAAATAAAATTTTAAAAATTTCAACTTCTGAAATTTATTAATTTCTAAAAATTAAAACTATAACCCTTCAAAAATTCAATTATTTTCTAGAATTTTTAACTAAACTTCATCTCTGAATCAATTATCTATATTAATTTTTAATTATTTTCCGAAACTTTTTCGAGAATTCAATTCTTTAAATACAAAAGTTCAATTTTTACAATAATTGAAACTTTCCATTTTTTTAAAAGATATTAAGGTAGAATATTATGATATATTATGATTATTTTCTTCAAAATGTTAAAAATTATAATGAAAAAATTTTGAGAATTACTTTTTCGAAAAATATTTTAATATAATTGTTAGAAACTAATTTTCATTAATTTTCATTTTTATTAAATTTACACTTGAAGATTTTTCATTAAAATTTTTGAGAATTAAATTATTTTCATAATTCACAATTAAAATTCCTCGAAAGTTGATTTTCAAAAATTGTAATAAAATACTTGAAGAAAAAATCAATTATTCTCAATTAAATTTTTGAAAATTTCAATTTTTCAAAAACTTTTTAATTGTATATTTCGAAAATTTAATTAGAAAAATTATTCAAAAATAGCTTTTCAAAGATTTGTCTATTATACTTTTCACACTGATAAAAATCGAAATAAGTTGCATTTTATTCTAAAAATGTGGTATTTTGTCGCAAAATTTGTAAAAAAAAAAGTCGAAAAAGTAATAATATCCGAGGCCTGGTAATTGAATTATATCAAAAATACTAAAAAAGTTTCTGACGAAAAAAATGGAAAATGTACCTTCATTTATTTATTTTTTTTTAAATTCGGTTAAATTGAAAATAAGAAAAAGAATTTGTTGGGGAAGCATGCGCCTTTCACGTATCTAGAAGAGTGCCGATTTTTTTTTCTCAAAACAATTTTCGAAACGCTCTTTCAAAATATTTGTAAATACTTGCAATCTTCTACCAATATATTATAATTTTAATATATTTTTAATGGAAACATTCTAAGCTATTCTGCTTTGAATATCAAGTACGCAAAAAAAAGGTGCGGATAGTAAGATCCTAGATTTGTTTGATAAAATTTCAATGCCAAAGTACATCGTGACAAAATGAAAAAAAAAGACGCATAATGAGTCTTACATCTTCTCAACATAACTTTTTTCACTTTCAACTCTAGGAAATAAGACTTTTTAAGGCCTGAATAAAAAACCTTGTAAATTAATAAGCTTCATAATTGAAAAATGGCGATCCAAAATGATCATCATTAAAACTATCACGTCAGCTCATTCGAATTAAAATCAAAAATTTTCGATGTCTTTTTCTCAGATTTTGTTATTACCAGAATTTTAAAATGTAATTAAATTTAATTAAATTGAAATTAAACTGAAATTACTGAAACTTCGATGTTAAATTTGAAATTACGTATTGTAAATCGAAACTAAAAATTTAATTTCTAGCAGACGTGTAGTGCCTTTATAATTCTAACATGTACTTTAAATTTGGATCTCCAGATATTTCTCAACGCTTTTATAAATATATGTGTACAATATTCTTATTCTAAATATTACCAATTGTTAACACACATTTTCAAGGAGAAAAATTTTTCATTTTCGACAAATTCTCAGAGAAAGATGGAAAAAATCTATTTAGAGAAAAAAATAGAAGCGAAACATTAATTCTACGTATTGATAAAATTGTTCATTTTACTCTACGATAAGTATGATGTAAATCCGCATTTTGAAAGTAGTCGAACTCTTCTGTGATTGTTTCAAACTTTTCAATGTGACTCATAGTTAATAAGATTAATTTGTTCTTTCTGTTTTAATGACGGCGAAATTGTTTCGAATGAATTTTTTGCTTCTTCACGAGGAAGCTTTCTATTTGCATAGTTAAAAAAAAGGTAAAAATTATTTTACTAAAGAATGTAGTAAATATTTTTTATCAAAAAAAACTATGGATATTTTTGTTTTGTTTCTTTTCGAAATTTATGAGGGGAAGAAGATTTATCTTAATACTAGGAAATAATTAAGAAAGCTAGTAATTGAAGAACTCGTCAAATTTTATTTGAATGATTTCAAATATTACTTGTTATTTTACTTTTACTTTCGAGTATATAATTCGCGAATTCACTCTCAAGTAAATTTTTATTTAAGAGGAAAAAAATTTTAATTTTTTATTAATTTCGAACTAAGAATTGAAATTTAAATAAATTTTTAATTACCTGATTATTAATTAATTGATTAAGTTAGAAATAATTAAGTTTATCAAAATTTAATTAATTGTAGATATATAATTTTTTACTTCTTTTTCAACTTCTCAATCGTCGAATACAATGTGAGAGAAAATTTTCTTTTAAAAATTTTCTATTAAAAATAATTGAATTTTTCCAAAATTCTAGTAAAAATATTTAACAATTTTATTAAAATTTCCGAAATTCTATGAAAAATAAATGAATTTAATAAATGAATAACTTGAAATTTCACAAAATTGTATTTTAAGAAATTGAATTTTTTTGAAATTTACTAAAATCATAGAAAAAAGAATTGAATTTTTAAGAATTTTATGAAAATTTTAATTTATTATTATTTTATAGAATTCTATGAAGAATAATTGAATTTTTAGAATTGTATTGAAATTTATAAAAAGAATTGAGGGTAGTTCACCGGAAGAACAAATTTTCACTTTTAGATATTGTAAATAATTCGAAAATTTTGCTCTTAAGTCAATTTTTACCTGAGAGGAAAAATATTCCAATTTTCAAATAGTTTCGAACTAAAGATTTAGTTTTATTACATTTTTTAATTAACCGCATACAATTTCTAGTTTTAATTTTTTTTTCAACTTCTATGTAATCTTCGAATACAATTTGAGAGTTTCATTGTTTCCGTCGAATGGAACAATGTAAAAGAGAAGAAAAATAAAACTTATTGCATATCACAGAATATAGAATTTAAAAAGAAAATGTTTAAGAGGAGATACACACATCCTGTGTACATACGAAAGGATTAATAAGATGAAAAATAAAATCAATTGTACATTATCTATAAAAAAAAAATATGATCAAATGATATTGGATAAAATAGGCTCAAAGAAGAGAGAGAAAAAAAAATAAAAAGAATTAGTCAGCTATACGTAATAATATTTATAAAAATGAACTTTGGCATGGAAAATTTATCCACACACACACAGTATATATAAATAATATATTCGATGAACATTGGAATGTAATAAGTAAAATATATGGGATCAAACAAGTTGTATAGTTGGGTGGCTAAAACTTATCTAGTCACTATGCTAAGAATGAAATAATATATATTATAAATAAAAAAAAGTACATACTCAGCCATCGCAAGCCACTCCGACTGAAAAATGTTTAACCCTATTTTAACAAGTGAGTCCGCAAATGCGAAAAATCTATCGTTTTAGTAATCTTACGTGATCATCAATAAATTCTTAATATTTAAAAAACAAAAGAATATGTATATGTCATATTTTGTATTTTAAATAGCTTCGAAAAAAAACATATATAGAAAAAGCAAAAATTTTGCCTTGGAGAAACATTTTTATTCTCTATTATTAAAAAAAAAATGAAAACTAAATATTCTAATGAAGTTCTTATTACTTCATTTATAAACAATAATGAATATTGCAACAATTTTTAATTACAATCATTTTTATTTTATACAAAAGAAAAAAAATGAAAACAAATTTTTTTAATTATGTTTTCATCTGATTTTATATATAAATTATATTGCAAAGTTTTTACTACAGTTTTTGTATACAGACAGTCGAATATGAAATGATTTTTGAATTCCTTTTTTTTCCCCAAAATGGAAAAAGTCATCAAGAATTTCTTATAAAAAATTTTTTTTTTTTTTTTGGTTGTATTAAGGTCATGTTATTCAGTGTGAAGTTTTTCCATAGTAAAGTATATGGGGCACGTGACCACTGAATAACATGACCTTAAGGAAAGTTGTTTATTATTAGACAGTTTATCGACAAATTAAGAGGAAATTTTGATTGTAAAATTAAGTAAAAGAAAGAAAGTTAGAGAACATGTTTTGAATGCCCACTTGTGCGACAATTAAACCTTAATAATAGAGCTTGCGCTGTAGCTTCAAAAATTCATGGTGTTGCCATGATTGTCTTTATCAATGTTATAAGTTACAATAATAACTAAGCGATGTGTACTAGTCCATAAAAAAAACAATAAACTGTAATTTTGAACTCATTTCATGATTATATTATTGTATATTGTATAATATTAATTTTTTTCTGAATGGCCATTTGTGTGATGTATTAAATATCAAAGAATATAATTATAATTATTTATATAATTACATTTTTTAAACAAAAAAAATCATTAATCTAAATTCATGATTTTTCAGTTTGTTTAAAAATTATAATTCGAGAATCGAGTATTTAATTTAAGAATTTTATTTAATTTAATCTAATTAATTAATTAATTAAATTAATTAATTTTGTAAGTTATATTATGTTTTCTTAATTACGATTAAAGTACCTATACTTTTTTTAATTTTAATTATGTTATTCTCATTTAAAAGAAAATTTTTCTCCTTTTAATTAGAGTTGAACGATTTTGATAAAAACTACAAAAGAATTTACATTTTTTTTATTTTTCTAATTTGAAAGAAAGAAAAATTCGATATTTAGTTTAATTTTTTAAATATGTATTCATATTTATTTTTTTTGTTTCAGGTCAGGGAAATCAGGAAAGAATCATAGATATCAAGGAATTTCATCAAAAGTACTGGAAAAATACCAAATTTCTGAAATTACTACAAAAATTCCGGATTTTGGTATTCAAAATTAATATTTTTTTGTTTTTTATAATTACCACAATGAATTCTAAAATAATTCTCTGATTTTTTATTATTTCTGTAAATAATTTAAATTATTTACAGAAATAATTGAATTTTAGAATAACTTTGGAAAGTTATTAATTTTAATTAATTTAAAAAAATTGATTTAAAATCAGATGTAATTTCTAGAAATAATTGAATTTCAGAAGGTTTTAAACTAAAATTTTTGCAAATTTCAATTATTTTGCAGAAATTAATAATATTGAAATATTTATTTTTAAAATATAAACGTCCTAGACAATTTTATTCAAAATACTAGAAAAATTAGATTTCTAAGAAATTTTAATTCAACAGTTTAAAGATTCGTAAATTAAAAAAAAATTAATTTAATATTTATTAGTATAAAAAGTAGAATTAAAATTTTCAAATTGCATCTACAAAATCGTTAATTTCGAGAGTTTGTAATTACAATTATTATTATTAATTATTTTATTTTCAAAAGACTTAAATTTGAAATTTTCATTAAAAATTGAAGTTTCGATAAAATTTATTTGAAATTATGAAAAATTAGTTTTTTTTATTTATTTATTAATCCTATACGCTTTTTTTAAAATATTTTAGTTCTATTTTTGAAACCAATTTGAATGTTTATAAATAATTAATATTTCCAAAAATTCTATTTAAAAAAATTGAATTTTTAAAGAATTTTTTGAAGTAATTGAAATTTTTATTAATTTCCATTGAAAGTAATTGAATTTTATTAAAATTATCAAAAATTCTTTAAAAAATATTTGAATTTTTAAAGTATTATATATAAACGATTTAAAATTATAGTTAAGAATTGAAATTTCTAGAAATTTTATAAAAAATAATTACATTTTTTAAGAGTTTTATTAATAATTTAAAAATATTGTTAATAATAGAAATTTCTCCAAATTCTATAAAAAGTATTGAAATTTTTTTATGAATTTTATTCAAATAATTGAAATTCTCCAATATTTTATTAAAACAAATTGAATTTTTTTTTAAGAATTCTATTAAAAATTGAAATTTTTCTAAATTCTATTAAAAGTAATTGAATTTTATTGAAATTTTCAAAAATTCTATTAGAAATTTATGAATTTTTAAAGAATTTTATTAACGACTTAAAAATATTGTTAATAATTGAATTTTTTTATAAATTCTATTAATAATATTTGATTAATTGAATTTTTGAACAATTTTGTTAATAATTTAAAAATATTGTTAATATTAGAAATTTCTCCAAATTCTATATAAAATAATTTAATGTTTTAATAATTTTATTCCAATTTTTTGAAATAATTGAAATTCTTGATTTTATTAAAACAAATTGAAGTTTTTTAAAAGAATCTCACTAATAATTGGAAATTATTATTAATAATATTAATAATTAAAATTTCCCTAAATTCTATGAAAAATAATTGAATTGTTGACGAATTTTATTGATGACTTAAAAATATTGTTAATAATTGAAATTTTTACGTATTTTATTAAAAATAATTGAATTTGTATAGAATTCTTCTGAAAGTTTATGAAATAATTGAAATTTTCTAAAATTCTATTAAGAATAATTGATTTTTTTAAAGAATTTCATTGAAAATTCTAAAAAATATTTGATAGAAATTCACCACAGTAACAAATTTGATTTTTAAATTAATTAGACACTCTTGAAGTGTCTTAAAGTTTTAAACTAAATTTTTACTTGTAAAAATTATCCTTCTTTAAGATTAATTGAAGTTTCCTTGAAATTTTTCTTTGCTACATAGATCAGGGAAAAAATAAAAATTTTGTTTGGAAATCAGGGAAACAAAATAAAAAATTTTGTATAGCAACCCTATTAAAGGAAAAAAAGGAACTTTGGCTTATTTTTCACAAACGTAAAAAAATGAATTTGAATTTAAATTTAAGTGCATTTTTATTTATTTACTTTTTTTTATGTTTACCTTTGTCTTTCCCTGATGTGAAGCGCAGCTACTTTCTGAAATTCCGATCTTGCTTGGGAAAGGCACAAGGTGATTAAATGTAGACAGAAAGCCTTTTAGGTCGCTCCAAACATTTCAAAAACTTAATTACACATCCCCACAGCTAAACAATTCATATTTAATACTTTTTTAAAATTATTATTTTATTAAATGTACATGTATTCGATTTTTCTCATTTTAAATTGGAATTACGTCCAGCATTCCATTCAACAAAAAAAAAAATTATTTAAAACTGTCCTTTAACGAAACAGTTTTTCTTTTTTTTGAAAAATCTCTGGTTTCGTGTAAATTTGATAATACAGTTTTCAACTTAATGATTAATAATCGTGATTAAGAATAAAATTCCTACATTTAATAAATTATCAACTTGTTCGACGTCTCATGCTCAAGATTTTGTTTTCTTTCTTAAGCGGCGTGATTAATAATAATGATAAAAATTGGAAGTGAAAATTAATAAATGCAGTTAAATTGTGAATGTATAATATGATTTACACGTTTTTCAATGTATTTTCATATTTGTTTCCTCTCATAAAAGATAAAAGACTGTTTAGCTGTACCTGATTTTTCGATAATTGAGTGTATTATTCTACCAAATTCTAAAATTATAATATAGAATAGTGCTTGAATTACCGAAAAATAAATTATGTACAATTTTATATCCTAATGTCAGAAGAACGCCGGCAAGCGGAATATTCGTAGTGTAACAGCAAAAAGGATGATACGAGCTCGAGCTTAGAGGTATTATTTTTTAATAATGATAATAATTATATGATGATTATTATTATTATTATTATCATTATTTCTTTTCTAAATGTTTCAAATCATCGGCCTTGTTTTTTTTTCCCCGTGTTTTCTTTTTCACCACTATTGAAAATATATTCTTGTAAGTCTTGCGCAATCGTATATATAATTTTATACGATTGAATTAGAAACGTCTTCGCTTTTGATAATATTATATAGAAAATACAGTCCCAGCAGGTCTGATGTTACAACTTCGTTTCTTACATTGTTTTTCTTTTTTTTTTTTTTTTTTGTTTTCTTCATTTGATGGAAAAACTGTGGACATGGGTGCAACTGGCGTAGATTATTTGACAGTAGAAAAAATTATGATGACATTTTGTCGCGCGATAGTTAATCTTTTGATACTGAGATCAGTTTTCCATGGCGTATCTACGAGTCCATTCTTTGGCATTACGTATCGCTTCGCTTTCGTTTATTTTCCACAATTCAGCTACGTCATTAGCTAATGGATCATCAGGATTTGGTGCGCTCAACAACGCTTGTATCGATAGAAGTACTGTCCTAATTTGAAGAGCTGGACTCCATTTGTCTTTCAAAATGTCTAAACAGATTCTACCCAGCCTGTGAAATTGAAAGAAAACGTTTATTATTGTATTTGAATTGTCAATAAAATAATATCAGGCTTCGCATTCAATAATTAATTTTTTTAAAATAGCAAAAAATAACTTTAAGACTGGAAAAAGTAATGAAAAAGTAATAAAAAAAAGTAGTTATCGAGAGATTACATTTCACCACTAAAAATTCGTTTTCGTCGATTCACAAACATTTTATTCTGTATTTAATTTTACTCTATATTCAATTATCAAAAATTTTAACTGAAATTCATTTTTAAATCAATTATTATTAGAAACTTCAACCAGAATTCAATGATTTAAATACAAAAATTAATAATTGATAGAAAGATTGAATGTTTCTTAAAATTGAATACTTATAGAAAATTTTATCAAATTTTTTGAAAATGTAATTCATTCTTTTCAAGAATTTAAATAGAATTTTTAAAAGCAATTACATTTTTCGAGAAATTCATTTAAAAATTGTATTAAAAATAAATTTAAATTCTACAAAGAATTTTATTATTTATGAAAATATTAGAATTTTTGCAACGAATTATATTATTTTCATAAATAATTGAATTCTTGCAACGAATTTTATTATTTGTAAATATAATTGAATTCCTCTAAAAAACTTTATTATTTATGAAAATAATTGAATTCTTGACATTTTTTCAGACGAATTTGATTAAAATTGTATTGAAAATAATTGAATTCTTCTAAAAAATTGTATTCCTTATTAAAATAATTGAATTCCTGCGAAGAATTCTATTATAATTGTATTCAAAATGATTGAATTCGTCTTAAGAATTTTAAGAATTAATGAAAATAATTGTATTTTTGCAAAGAATTTTATTATTTATCGAAATAATTAAATTTCTGCAAGGAATTATATTATTTATCAAAATAATTGAATTATTCAAAATAATTGAATTCTTGGGAAGAAATTTATAAAAAATTTGTAAATATTTAAATTTCAGTCAAATTTTTATTATTTTTTAACAATAATTAAATGTTTGAGCAGAATTTTATTAAAATTTTCGAAAATTTTTGCAATTTTGCCAAGAATTTTATTAACATTTTTGAATATAATTGACTTTCGGTGAAGAATTTTATTATTTATAATTTAATTGAATTTCTGCGAAGAGTTTTACTGTTTTTTTTATTAAAATTGTATTAAAAGAAATTGGATTTCTGCGAGGAATTTTCTTATTTATGAAAATATTCGAATTTGTACGAAGAATTTTATTAAAATTTAAAAAAATAATAATTAAATTCTTGCAAAGATTTTCATTATTTATGAATATAATTTCTTTAAAAATTAAATGAGAAGTATGTAATTAAATTATATTTAAATTGTACATTTTTTAATTGTAATTAAAAATTTTATTATTTACTTTTATTAAATTTTTTTAAAATACTTGAATTCTTCTCAGAATTTTATTACAATTTTTTTTCAATTAATTGAATTCTTTTAAGAAATTTTATAAAATGAAAGTTATTGAATTTCTGCAAAATATTTTGTTATTTATGAAAGTACTCGAATTTGTGCGAAGAATTGTATTAAAATTTTTTTAAATAATTGAATTCTTTTGAAGAATTTTGTGAAAATTTATGAAAATAATAGAATTCTTGTGAAGAATTGTTTTGAAAATTATATTCAAAACAATTTAATTTATCTGAAGAATTTTGTTATTTTTTATGGAAATAATTGAATTCTCGAAAATTATTTATTTTAAATAATTGAATTAGTCTGAAAATTTTATTAGTTATGATTTTAATTGTATGTTTGCGAAGAATTTTATTAAAATACTTTTAAAAGAATATTCTTTTGAGAAATTTTACTAAAATAGTAGATATTGAAAATAATTGCATGTTATCGAAAAAATTCATTTTGTGTAAAAATAATTGAATTCTTGTGAAAAAATTCATAAAAATTTTTGAAAATAAGTGAATTATTTCAAAGAATTTTATTAAAATTTTTGAGAATAATTTTTTCTATTTCAGCTATTAGCTGATTTATAGTGCAAATTCTTAAAAAAAAAAGAAAAAAGTAGCTTTTAGTGTTACAAATCTGAAAAAAGTAGCCAAATAGTAAATCGTAAAAAAAAGTATTAAATAGTAGTAGGTTTTAGTAGATGAGTGCGAAGCCTGTAAATATATAATAATAAAAAGAAATAATTCGTATTTCAAAGACTTGTACCTGTCGATATTTGGATGATAAATTTTTGTTATAAATCTAACTTTTGGTGCGGACATTGGGTAGTCTTCTGGTAAGAATAACTCGAGTTTAAATAATCCTCCCTCGAAAGGTGAATCTTCAGGCCCCGTGACAATTACATGAAAATATCTAGCGTTGGTCTCATCTGGTACAGCACTAATTCCAGGCACTGGCTCTTGCATGAGTCTTTGTGTTTCTTTAATAATCCTTCGCGGCAATCCAGCCATTTTTATTAACTGTCAAGGAAAATAATCTTCATATACTTAACAATTCATATCTCAACAAAAACAATAAATCGGCAAATATTATTTTCTACAATTTCTCAAATTTCCCCCTACAATTTTTCTCCTACAAAATACTAAAAATACTAAAAAATAAATACTAAAATTCAATAAATAATTCATAATTTTCAGAAGTGAAAAATTTAACTAAAAAAATAGTCTCTACAAATAACATTATACTGAAAACTATCACTAACTTTTGATAATCAATAATGTCAATTGACAACAAAATTATTCTTTATTAAATTAAAATATCACGTGATGTGAATATGATCTCATAATAAATACAAAAAAGTATCACCGTAATTGTAATTTGCATAAAAAAAACATTTTACAATTAAAATGATAAAAAAAATAGATAACTTGGAGAATATAAAGTAGTTTTCTAACATTATTAGACAAAGCGGATATTCTTTTTTCTCCACAGTGTGAATACGAAAAAATCACAAAATAGCATAATTCACAAAATTACTATTCTCTTATTAAAAAAAAAATTACTCGATAAAAAAGTATTTATCGTGTTTATATTTACAATATACCAAAGAGAAAGTGTACCTATACGTATGAAATAAATTCTGAAAGAAGAACGCATCGAGAAGTGAACGCAACACATTGAATTGAGAAAAATCTGAGAATGAAAGAAGAGACTATTCCAACCTCTCCGCGAGCAGAAATTGGTTATAGCGGAATATAAAAAAAAGTTGAATAATATGGTAGTAATTGATTTCATTCATAAAGATGTTCCAAGAAAAAGAAAGTTATATTGGAGATAATCTTGATGCGCTTCTTTGATATATAGTTGAAGTTTACAGGGAATACATACGTTTTTTGAGAAAATCTGCCCGCGTCACCCCGAAAGTTCGTCTCCGGTGCCCCTTCAACTCGTATTTCTTAAATCGCAGTAAAAATCACTTTAGTCACCGATTCACTTATAATATCTGTCACACACGGCTGAATGGCCGGTAAGAAATTTCCAAAAATACCTTGAAATTGGTCTTATTAATTCAATTCCCACACGCAAATGTGTGTAAAATCTGATGTTAAAGTTCTATTTTATTCCTCAGCCAGCGGTAACGGCGCCACTGTCGCATTCACTACTCTAATCAAATTGCTTTCCGTTAGTATTATTTTTATGATTTTTCCGATTTTTCATTATAATTATTTAGAAAATCGTTATTAAATTTTAATTTAAAATTCTCGAAAGTATTTTTTTCAATCAAGTAAAACAATTCAGTGATACAAGAGGGTTAATTTTGAAAAACCGAAAAACCTTTGAAACAAATAGAAACATAACCTAAAAATTAACACCAACTTGATTCACGTTGATTGGCCATCAGGGGAACCAGGGGCCCAGGGGCGTATTTTGCTCAAATCCTTATTAATCTACAAAATGTCATCATGGTCATCGTTTGTAATCAAAATGCAAATATTCAATATTTCTTTTACGAGAATAATTAGTTTACTGGCGTCATCTCAAATTTTTTCCTCTGCAGATTCATAATAGTAAGTTGTTAATCTTTTTCTCCAATTTATCTTGATAATAATAATTAATAGTGATAGAATATTTTGCAAGTTGGACTAGTATTTTAAAAAATATAGAAATATTCAAATATTGTTTGATTTTTAATAATAGGAACATTTTTTTTTAATAATAGAAGATGATTTCGTACTAATTCTACTAAACATTTATTCTTATAGTTTGTGTTTTGTTTACATAACCTCAAACATGTTTATCATATTTTGGTTTGAATGGTTTGAATGGAATGGAATATTAATAGTAAACATAGTAAACAATAGTAAATAATAAACTTTTTTAAAATCATTGATTTAAAAAGAATATATTGTTTATAAGTTAACTTTTGTCTGATACAAAATTTAAAGTTACTTGAGAATAATGGAAATTGTAACTTTTAAATGCAAAGAAAAAGTTTTTTGTAAACATTTCCACTTTGTTTAAATTTTTAAGGGATTTGAAAATGGAAGACGTAAGATTATTGATACAGGAAGAAGGTCGAGCTGCTAGAAATTTAATAGCTTTCAACGTACCAGTTGGCACAAGTAACTCAGAAAAAATTACACGTAAACCTCCAAGTGTTCCCAGAGCAACTTTATCGAATTCTACGAAACGATCAGTAAAATCTAATGCACGAGTAAGATCGGCCTCGACTGGACGAGACAAAAAATCGGGTAAGAATAATTATCATTTTCTTGGGATAAATTTTTATATTAACAGGGTTGCCACAGGTCAGGAAATTCAGGGAAAAATCAGGGAAAGTAAAATTGGTCAAGGAAATCAGGGAAAAGTCAAGGATTTTTATTAAAAGTACTGGAAAAAATTAATTTTTTTGAATTCATAAGAATATTCTGAATTTTTTTGTCTTTTTTGTTTGCCTCATAAACTAGGAGATTATTAAAAAATAATGGATTTATATAGAAGAATTTTAATTACAAGCACTAAAAAAAATTTAATTTTGGAGAAGATACAAATAATTGAGGCTTCAGATCTTAAAAAACCACTTTCAGCATTGATTTTAAAATGGTAAAAGTGCCCTTTTAAAATCAGGAACTTCAATAATTGTAGAAATTCAATTATTTTCAAAAGTAATAAAATTCTTCGCAGAATTTCAATTATTTTCAAAAATTTAAATAAAATTCTTGCCAAAATTTCAATTATTTTCAAAAATTTAAATAAAATTCTTGGCAAAATTTCAATTATTTTCAAAAATTTTAATAAAATTCTGCTCAAACGTTTAATTATTGTTATAAATAATAAAAATTTAACTGAAATTTAATTATTTACAAATTTTTTATAAATTTCTTCCCAAGAATTCAATTATTTTGATAAATAATAACATTCTTTGCAGAAATTCAATTATTTCGATAAATACTAGAATTCTGTGCAAAAATACAATTATTTTAATTAATTTTTAAAATTCTTCAGATGAATTTCAATTATATTATAAAAAATAAAATTCTTCTTTGAAATTTAATTATTTTCAAAAATTTTAATAAAATTCTTGCCAAAATTTCAATTATTCAAAAAATTTTTAATAAAATTCTACTCAAACGTATAATAGAATTCTTTGCTGGAATTCAATTTTTTTAATAAATAATAAGTTTCTTCTCAGAAGTTCAATTATTTTTAGTAGATACAATTTTTATAAAATTTCTCAAAAAATTCAATTATTTTCAAAAATTGTAATATTTTTAAATTTTATTAAGAAAAAGCATTATTTTCAAAATATTCAAAGACATTTAAAAATGAATTTCAATTAAAATTTTAGATAATAATTGAATATTAAAAGCCTTGTAGCGTGAATTTCTAGAAATAATTGAATTTTGAAAAGATTTCAAATTAAAGTTTTAGAAAATTTCAATTTTTCATACAAAAGTAACAATTCTGTAGAATTAATTTTTTTTGAAAAAGTTTAATTGAATTTGTTTTTAAATTATTTCAAGTTTTTATTTTCTAATAAACAATTGAAGAATTTCCGAATAATTGATGAAATTTCGTAAAATTGAATTGTAAACAAATGGATTTGAAAATTCTCAATGAACTTTTTCAAAAAAATATTAAAAATAATTGATTTAAGGGCATTTGAACCATTATGACGTCACAAATTTAAAACTCATGCTTTGCACACATTGTGACGTCATAATGGTTTAAATGCCCTTAAAGAAGAATTTTTGTTAAAAAGTCTAGAAAATAATAATTGAATTATTATTAATATAATATTTAAAAGTAAAGTTATTTATTTATTTTCAAATAATTTTACAATTATATATTTTTTTAAAAGTGAAGTTATTTAATTTATTTATTTTCAAATAATTTTACAATATTAAAGAAATTCGTAAAAACATTCTTTTGAATATCTAATCAATTTGAGAATGAATCAGAATATTCTTTAGGGTGAGGAAAAAAGTTAAAATTTTGTCTGGAAATTAGGGAAAAACATAATTAAATTGTTGTGGCAACCCTGATTAATTAAATTATTTGTTAATTAATTAATTTATTTATTTATTTTAGAATTACATGCCCGATATTGGGCGTTTTTATTCGGCAATTTACAACGAGCAATTGATGGAATTTATCAAACCTGCGAAGAAGATGAAAATATATCAGAATGTAAAGAAGTAATACTAGTTCTAGAGAATTATGTGCGCGATTTCCATAATTTGATAGAATGGTTCAAGGTAAAATGGGCCTATGAAAGTACCGTGCCACCATTGAGACGCACACCATTAGCATGGGAAATTAGAAAAACTTCACCCTGTCGTTTATGGAATTCCACACCAAAGTCAACAAGTCCCCTCCAAAGATCCAGTCCTACGGGTTCTGCTTGTAAAAGTCCAATTGAAACTTCATTTGACAGTAGATCTGTCTCAAGTGATGGTAAAATTAATTCCATACAAGAGGAACCTGAAAAAACACCTCACAATGAATTTATCGATAAAAATCCAAAAGAAACACGAAAATATGTTGTCAAGAAAAATTCCGAACCGACAAACAATGAGAAATCTCACATAAAAATTGGTTGTAATACAACAGTGAAAAAACCAACTGTTAATGCAGGAAACGAAAATATTTCGCATCATCAAAGTGAAAATAATACCACTGAGGTAAAGAATCATTCAAAAGTATTAAATTCGAATCAGAATTCTAAAACAAACACTGACAGTGTTCACTGCACTAAGAGTGTAGTGGGAAATTTCACCAACAAGAGTAATGTAGAAACAATAAAGAATGAAATTAATCTCTCGTACGTGGAATATTCCAATGAAAACGAAAATAGAAATATTACTTGCACTCCAAATGAATATGCCTCTGTTGAAAAGAAAAATACGGAAAAGAGTTTATCTAGGGAAAATTCAAATTTACTATCGAAGAGATATTTTAAACCGATTGTTAAAAAACAACCGACCTTTCACACTCGGGAAATAGTGAGAAGTAAAGTTTCCAATCAGTCTACTACTACTACTGCTGCTGCTTCTGCTCCCAGTGCGACAGTGAATAGAACTCGACCTAAGGTTATACCGGTGGTACAACCAGCTTATTCGACTGTTTCAAAAGGTCTACCATCAACGGCGAAGACAACACGAAATCTTCCCGAAAGACCGAGAATGTTTCGAAGTAAAACTACTTTGTGTGCTAGGGAAACAACGAGTGCTGCTCCAATGCGACAGGGAACTTCTGTCTTGATTAGAAGACCGTTACAGTCTCAATCGACCAATCAGGTATTTATTTACTATCTGGTTAATAAATTAAGCTTTTAATTAATTTTTAATAAATTGATAAATAAGTTGTTTGAAAACTTGTAAGAAACCAGTTTGCATTTATATTTTTTTTACATTTTATAATTTTCAACTAAAACTGAAGTTACCAACCAACGTTTATGTCGAAGAAATTAAATTTAAAAAAAGTTACTCTTTTTTTTAACGATTTGGTACTATTTAGATACTTCTTTTAGATTTTTGACACTAAAAGCTACTTTTTTCTTTGTTTTTTTTTCTTTTCTTTGAGAATTTGCACTACTAATCTTCTAATAGTTGAAATAAAAGAATTATTCTCTAAAATTTTAATAAAATTCTTTTAAAAAAAAATTAAAAAACTATTAATAAACTTTTTCTGATAAAAAAGAAATTTTAATAAAATTCTTTGAAATGATTCCATTATTTTCAAAAATATTCAAAAAATTCTCTGTTAAAGATTCAATTATTTTCATAATTTATCAAATTCTTCACTGGAATTCAATTATTTTCACAAATAATAAAATTTTCTAGAGAAATCCAATTATTTTTATTGCAATTTTAATTGAATTCCTCGAAAGAATTGAATCATTTTTTAAAAACTTACATAAAATTCTTTGCAGATATCCAATTATTTTCATAAATTATAAAATTCTTTGCAAAAATTCAATTATTTTCATAAATAATAAAATTCTTTGCAGAAATTCAATTATTTTGATTAATTTTTAAAATCCTTCAGATGAATTCAATTATTTTGAATAAAATTATAATAAAATTCTTTAGAGGAATTCAATTATTTTAATTAAATTCCTCGAAAGAATTTAATTATTTTTCAAAATTTTCAATACCATTTTAATTGAATTCTCTCGAAAGAATTCAATTATTATTTTCAGAAAATTGTATAAAGTTCGTTAAAATAATTCAATTATTTACAAAAATTTTGATAAAATTCTTCAGAGGAATTGAATTATTTTTATAAATAATAACTTTCTTCACATAAATTTAATTATTTTTAGTTGATACAATTTTTATAAAATTTTTCGCAGAAATTCAATTATTTTCCATTAATTTCAAAAATATTAAATACTTTCTTTGTCAAGAATTCAATTATATTCATAATTTATGAAATTCTTCGATGGAATTCAATTATTTTCATAAATAATAAAAACCATCAGATGAATTCAATTATTTTAAATTGAATTTTTGCAAAGAATTTTATAATTTATAAAAAAAAATTGAATTTCTGCAAAGAATTTTATTATTTATGAAAATAATTGAATTCTTGTGAAGAATTTTATCAAAATTTTTGAAAATAATTAAATTCTTTAGAAGAGTTTAAAATTGTATTGAAATTAATAATTGAATTGTTACAAAGAATTTAAAAAAGTGGTTTGATAATAATTGACTTACGCTATAAAAATTTTATTATTTATTCAATTATTTTCATAATTTATGAAATTCTTCACAACAATTCAATTATTTTCATAAATAATAAATATTTTTGGAGAAATTAATTTATATAAAATACAATTTTTAAGACAAATTATAAAAAAAATTCTTTATTTTTGTATTTAAATAGCAATTGAATTCTTGTAACACTTTTTAAATAGATTTTATTTAAAAAGGAATTTCAGTTAATATTTCAGATAATAATTGAATATTACATGCGACATAATTTTTAGAAATAATAAAAATTTCATAACATTTTTAAATGAAATCTTTGGAAATTTTAATTGTTGTTAAACTGATATTTAAATATTTATTTTGAAAGATTATTAATTTTCCTTTCCTTAAAAAAATTATTTGATTTTAATATTTAAAAATTAAACAAAAATAATTGAATTTTTACTTTTATTTTTTAATTAAAAAAATTTTTTTTTAATTTACATATTCGTATTTTTTAAGAATTGAAAATGAATATTTGAAAAATAATTGAATTTCCTAGTAGGAATTTTTAGAATTATTTAAATTTCAAAAGGTTTTAGATTGAAATTAATTCTAATTCTTGTGAAAAAATAAATAATGCAATTTTTAAGTTAATCATCGAGTGCGAAGCCTAAAATTTTGAAAATTAAGACTATGAAAAAATCGGGGATTAACTCGTTTGGGGATCGTGAACAATTCTAGGAAAATTAACGAAATAGTTTAGATTAATTTAATTTCAATCATTTCATTTGAAAAAGTTTAGTATTTCGTATTTTCTAATTTTGTTATTATTATTATCTTAATTATTTTTAATATGATTCTTTAATTACAATCTGTTTTTAGAAATACGATCAGAATTATCGTAATTATTATTATCGTAATTATTTTTAATATGATTCGTTAATTACAATCTGTTTTTAGAAACACGATCAGAATTCAAGCAAGGGAGCTGAAGACATCAGTGCCTCTGTCGAGGTTCTACCAAAACAAAGTACAAAAATTAAAGAAGACGGCGACGGATGGCAAACAGTGCGAAGTCGTTACAGAAGAGGAAGTTCAAATAATCTCAATATGTCAACACGTTTTCATAAACCAAGCACTGCTATTTCATTGCCAGCACTTTGTCTAGACAATTCTCCAGAGAAGAATAAAAAATCATTTACTCCCGATGGAAATCAAAGACAACGAAAGAGTAAAAGTATCGGTACAAAGAATGACGAGACAAAAGAATTAAAATTGAAAACTGTCAATGACAATGTGAATTCAAATGTCCAGGGAATTTGTGGTGATGAAAAATTAGACCAAAGAGATATACCGAATATTAATGACACAAATTCAACTTCCGTAATAGCGGCTATTTTTAAAAATGAAGCCGAACTCCTGGAGAAAAGAATACAACAATTTATGGCCGCCCAGGCAGAAAGAGAGAGAATTATTTTAGAGGAGGAGCGGAAAACAGAAGAGGCAGACACTCAAAGATCTCAACAACTTTGTGATGAGGAGGCATCATTACAGAGGCAAATTATGGAATTGGAGTCTAGTGAAATTGATGTCGACACTGAAACTGATGAGATGGATGGTGAAATGGCTTTGGAAATAGAAGAGGACATTTCAATTGGTCCGATTAATGACAATATTAGTATAGAGGACAGGTGAGTACTTGAGGAATATATCTTGTCGAAAAAAATTTAATTAAAAACACAGGTTTCGCACTAGTTAATTAATAAAAAAACGGTAGCAATAAGTAGCAAAGGGGTGTCAAAGTCGATTCGATTATCTTCGTTAACTAAATTAGTAATCTTTTTCCTCTTTCTTTCAAGTTTTTCAATTAATCGTGTTTCACAATCACAATAGTTATTTATTGTGATTAAAAATTTGATTACCTTGAATTATATTAAAATTTTTAGAAAATAATTGAATTTTTCTCAGAATTTAAATTTTCTAAAGAATTATATTAGAGCTTTTGCAAAAAAAAAAATGTTTTGAAGAATGTCTTTAAATTTTGTGAAAATAATACAGTTTCTTAAATAAAATTTTTCAAAAATTACAATTTTTGAAAATAATTATATTCTTTTGTGAAAGTTTATAAAAATTGAATCTACTAAAAATAATTAAATTCCTCTAAAGAATTTTATTATAATTTTATTCATCTGAAGGATTTTAAAAATTAATGAAAATAATTGAATTTCTCGAAAAAATTTTAAAAATTAATGAAAATAATTGAACTCTTGAAAAAAATTTTTAAAAATTAATGAAAATAATTGAATTTCTGCAAAGAATTTTATTATTAATGAAAATAATTGAATATTTGCAAAGAATTTTATAATATATAAAAATAATTGAATTTCTGCAAAGAATTTTATTATTTATTGAAATAATTGAATATCTGCAAAGAATTTTATGGAAGTTTTTAAAAAATGATTTTATTCTTTCGAGGAATTCAATTAAAATTTTTTTAAAAATCATTGAATTCTTACAAGGAATTAAAAATTTTTTTTAAAAATAATTGAATTGCTCTAAAGAATTTTATTACAATAAATTGTATTCAAAATAATTGAATTTATCTTGAGAATCTTAAAAAATAATGAAAATAATTGAATTTATTCGAAGAAATTTATTATTTAGGATAATAATTGAATTGTTTTAAAGATCTTTATGGAAGTGTTTGAAACTAATTAAATTCTTTCGAGGAATTCAATTAAAATTGTATTGAAAATAATTAAATTCCTATAAAGAATTTTACTATTTATGAAATTAATTGAATTCCTGTGGAGAATTTTATTAAAATATGTACTGAAAATAATTGGATTCTTATAAAAAGTGTTATCAAAATTTCCGACAATAATTAAATTATTCCCAAAATTATATTACAAATTTAAAAATAATTAAATTCTCTTAAGAAATTTTATTAACATGGCACTGAACATAATTGAATTCGAAAGTAAAATTATATTATTTTTAAAAATAATTGAATTCTTGCGAAAAATGGTATTGAAATTTTTGTAATTGATTAAACTGTTCCGAAGAATTTTACTGAAATTTCAGAAGATAATTGAATTCTTTCTCAAAATGTTATTAAAACATTTTAAAATACTGGAATCCTTTCGAGAAATTTGACTAAAATTAAATTAAAAATAATTAAATTGTCGCAAAGAATTTTATTATTATGAAAATAATCGAATTCTTCCAAAGAAATGTTATTAAAATTTTTTTAAACAATTTAATTCTTAGTGGGGATTTTATTACAATTTTTGTAAATAATAAAATTTGTTGAAGAATTTCTTTAAATTTCTAGAAAATAATGCAGTTTTTTAAAATAATTTTAATTGAAAATTTTGAAAATAATTGAAATTTACAATAAATTGTATCAAAACTGTTTAGAATAATTGAATTTTTTTAGAATAATTTTATAACAATTTTAGTTTTTAAATATAATTGAGTCTGTTAGAGAAATTTTATTTTAATTTTATTGAATATAATTGAATTCCTGAGTAGAATTTTATCAAGAATTTAAGAAATAATTGAATTCTTCTGAAAAATTTTATTAAAAATTTTTAAAAATATCTGAATCCTTTTGTAACATTTTATTAAATTTGTTTTGGAAATAATAATTGAATTCTTACGAAGAATTTTATTATTTATGAAAATTATTGAATTTTTGAAAGAATGTTATTATTTACGAAAATATTTGAATTCGTGAGAAAAATTTTATTAAAATTTTTGGAAATAATTTTAATAATAATAGCAAATTAAGTACAGCGTTTCGCGAGCAACATTTGCTAGTTAATTAATAAATTAACTTATACTAAGTATAATAGAATAAAATTTATTTCCTTAAGTTACGTAATTGTTTCACATCAAAGACAACCGATGGATTAAATTACATTAATTTATAACGAACTAATAAATTATAAAACCTAAAGAATTGTTAATTAATAATCATTAATTTTTACCAGATATGAAAACATGTTGGAAGGAATGTCCTGGGCCGAACAAATGGACACTTTAGCTCAATTACAAGCACTGGACGCTCGTCATCCTGGTCGCGCTTTAGAGCTTCATCAGAAACTCTCATCTCCGTCCAGAAAGAGATCTTTAGCGGAAACTCTAAGACGTTTTCAAACAAAACAGGCTTGCGCCCAACATAAACGGCAAAAATTGTTGATGGAAAAATCACAGCGACTAAGGGAACTATTGAATAAAGTTGAGGACGTGAAGAGTGCAAAAACACAATTAATTGAAGACAAGAGAATTCGATTGGAAATTAAACTCAAGCGAGCTGAGGAGAATAGAACTCAACATCTTTTGGAAGTTGTGAGAAAGGCGCACGATGAAGATTCGAAATTAAAAGAAATTGCCTTTATTAATGAACTTGAGGCACAAAATAAGCGGCACGATTTCATGGCATTGTGTCAGGAACAAGAGGAACGCTTGCAGGTAAATAGTTTTTATACCAAAATTTAAGTAAAAAAATATTTTTTCTATTTAAATATTTTCTATTTTTATAATATATATTATATAATTATTTAAATATACTTAAAATATGTTTTATTATTTATTTTTGTGAAGTTTGAAATTGTTTGCGAAGGGATATTGTATCAAAATTATCTTCTCTTGAAAATTGAAAATTAATTATCAAAATTTTGTAGAGTATACAAGAGGAGCGTCAACGTCGACAGGAGGAAAAAGCAGCAAAAGAAGCCGCTGCAGAGGAGCGAAGACGAGCTCTCGAGGTAGAGAGACAATTGCGAATACAAAAAATGCGAGAAGCCCGACGTGAACGCGAAGAACGGGTTGGAAAAATGCAATTAGAAAGGGAAAAAGAACGTCAGGTAATTATCAAAATAATTCTAAAGCGCGATCAAAAAAATTTTTTAATTAAATTGACTTTTTCTCGATTTACATAAAAAATATTAACTTTTTTTTTATTCCGGTAATATAAGAATCATGAAGAAGTATAATAATAAGGAATATTAATAAAATAATCGTTAATAAACTTTAATGAGACAGAATAATTTTTTTCCATAGGAACTTGCTAGAGAAAAGGCGAGAGACAGAGAAGAACGTTTATCGGCTCTACACGCTGCTCAACTGGCAAATCAAGAAGAGTTACAAAAGAAAATTGCTCAAAAACAACAAGAGTCGGCTAGAAGACATGTGGAAAATATAGAACACATACGTCAAAGAGCTGTGGAATTATCAATATTGAGATCAGAAGAAGTTCCTCCAACTCTAAAGTCATATCCTGCTCAAAAGCAATGTTCGCTTTGTGGAACACTGGTAAATTTAATTTTTTATTCCCCTTTTAAGCAAATTTAAACAAATCTTAAAAATCTTTCAAAAATTTTAATATAATTCTTCTCAAGAATTCAATTTATTATTTCTATATAAATAATACCATTCTTTGAAAGAATTTAATTATTTTTATAAATAGTAAATTTCTTTACAGAAATTCAATTATTTTCGAATTATTTTTATAAATAGTGAAATTCTCCGCAATAATTCAATTATTTTTATGAATATTAAAATTCTTCAAAATAATTCAACTATTTTTATAAATACTAAAATTCTTTGCAACAATTAAATTATTTTTAATCCAATTTAAATCAAATTACACGAAAGAATTTAATTATTTTCAAAAATTTCCATAAAATTCAATTTCAACAGGAATTTAAAATTCTTGAAAAATAATTCAATTATTCTCAAAATATTAAAAAAAAATTCTATATGAAAATTAAATTACTTTCAATGCAATTTTTAATTATATTCGTCAAAAAAATTGAAAGAATTCAATTTTTTTCAAAGAATAATACAATTATTTTGAATATGCTTAATTTTAATAAAATTCTTTACAGACATTCAATTATTTTCGAAGCAACTTTAATTGAATATCTCGAAAGAATTTAATTGTTTTCAAATATTTCTATAAAATTTTTCAAAACAATTCAATTTTTTCCTAAAATTTTAATAAATTCTTGGATTATTTTAAATTATTTTCATAAATAGTAAAATTCTTCGCAAGAATTAAATTATTTTTATAGATAATAAAATTCTTCTCAGAAATTCAATTATTTTCAATACAATTTTAATAAAATTCTTCTTCATAAAATTCAATTGCTTTTAAAATTTTCAATAAAAATTGTTAAAAAAACTCCATTATTTAAAAAGAAATTCAAAGAAATTCTTGAAAAGAATTTAATTAGGATTTTTAAAAATTTTAATAAAATTCATCGCGAGAATTCAATTATTTTCATAAATAAAAAAATTCTTCGAAGGAATTCAATTATTCTCTTGAAATTTTTTGACAAGATTCTTTGCAAGAATTCAATTATTTTCAATACATTAATTTTAAAATTGAAAATATTTCAAAAGAAAAATTTTTAAAAAAAGTTAGGGGAAAAGCAATCAAACTGCGAACAGATTACCGGAATACAACGATTATTAATATAGATTTTGTTTGAAAAGATGCTTATTATGAAAAACTGTGTTCCTTAATTCAGATTTTTAATTAAGAATTGAGACTGAATTGAATTTGATTGAGTGAATTGAATCTTTGATATTCCGGTTGTAAAAGAGAGTATCTTCAATTTTAAAAAGAGTCCGTAAACTGCTGCTCCCTAGTAGCAGTTAATTCTACTATTCACTCGAACAGATTTTTGAACTTTACGTTTCTAACTCTTCTGACAATAAAGAATGTTTCCTTTTTATTCCCTTTTTTATAAAGGGAGTTTTTTAAAAGCTTTTTTTTCAAACGTACTTTTTCTCAAATGTTTTTTTTAATGCGGTCAGTTATTTTATTGCTCTACTATAAAAAAGAATGGAAAAAAGTAGTCTTTTAGAATGTACTCTTTTTTCGAAAATTGACAAAATTTATTCATTTTCAATTTATTTATACTTATTTATTTTTATTCGTATTTAATTTATTTATACGCAGTCATTTATATTTATATTTAATTTATTTACTTAATTACATTATTATTTAATTATTTAGTTTAAAAGTAGTTATTTAGTGTTTGAATATTTATTTATAGTTTGAATAATTAAATAATATTCGTTACTCGTTCACAGATTCCAAATGAAGTTTATCTCTTGAGTCATTTAAAGGAGAAATCTCACCTGGAAGCGGTGAGGAAAATGCACGATGGTCGAGAGCCTTGTCGCGATGAATTGCAACGATTTAATATAACTCAAATACGTGATATACAAACGCCATTGAAAAATAATAACAGTGCAAACAGTGAGAGTAAGGCAGCGAAAGAAAAGCAAAAGGCATTAAAGCGTCGGAGTCGAAAAATTAAACAACGCATGGCTGTTCGTGGACAAGAATGGGAGGAGACGTTCAAAAAAGAGAATGCACCGTCCTCTTCAGATTTGGGAAATAAAATTAAGTTCAAACGAAATTTGAAGGATTTGGAGAAACTTTGTCAAAATCATGCGAAATCTTCGTGGAGCAGTAGTGTCATTGCAAGTCTTGAGAGAAATTTGGGAGAACTTAATCGTTCTTTGTCAAAAATTGTGAGTATTGAATGTATTAATTAATATTATTATATGTTAATTAAATCTAATTAATAATATTAATTAAACTAGCAAATGTTGTTGTTTTCAAAAGAATTCAATTATTTTCTGAAATTTTTAAAAATCCTTCGAAATAATTCAATTATTCTTATAAATTGTAAAATTTCGTACAAAAATTCAATTATTTTTAATACAATTTTAAAAATATTTCATGAAAGAATAACATTTTTTAAAAATTTTTAATAAAATTTCACGAAAGAATTCAATTATTTTTAAAAACTTTAATAAATCTTTCACAATTAAATTATTTTTTTAAATAGTAAAATCTTTGCAAATATTCAATAATCTTCAATAAAATTTCACGAAATAATTCAATTTTTTTCTTAATTTGTTATAAAATTTTTCAAAAGAATTTAATTATTTTCTACAATTTTAATAAATCATTCGAAACAATTCAATTATTTTTTTAAATAGTAAAATCTTTGCAAAAATTGAATTATTTTCAAAACAATTTCACGAAAGAATTCAATTATTTTCTTAATTGGTTATAAAATCTTTGCAAAAATTCAATTAATTTCAAAAAAATTTCACGAAAGAATTCAACTTTTTTTTAATTCGTTATAAAATATTTCAAAAGAATTCAATTATTTTCTAAAATTTTTAAAAATCCTTAGAAATAATTCAATTTTTTAAAAATTTTTAATAAAATTTTTCGAAAGAATTCAATTATTTCCTATATTTTAATAAAATTCCTTAAATAAATGAAATTATTTTAGAAAATTGTAATAAAACTGAGAAAAATTTAATTATTTTCTAAATATTTTAATAAAATTCAATAATTTAATTGTTTGATTTCAATTATTAAGAAACACGATTATTTTAAAAACTTGAAATAAATTTTTCATAAAATTCAAATACCTACTGTCAAAATTTTTAATTAAAATTATTAAAGAAACTCCTTTCATTAAAAAGAATTGAAAGAAATTCTTCAAAAGAATTTAATTATAGGATTTGCAAAAATTTTAATAAAATTCTTGACAAGAATTCAATTATTTTCATAAATAATTAAATTCTTCAGAGAAATTCAATTATTCTCAAAATTTTTGATGAAATTCTTGTCAAGAATTCCACTACTTTTATAAATAATTAAATTTTTCAGAGAAATTCAATTATTTTCAAATTTTTTGATAAAATTCTTTGCAAGAAATATAGATTACTGGAATACAACGATTATTAATATAAATAGAAAGATAATTGGATTTTTTACAAAGATTTTTATTATTTATAAATTTGCTAAAGAATTGTATTACAATTAATGAAAATAATTGAATTCTTTATAAAATTCAATTATATTCAAATTTTTTTATAAAATTCTTTTCAAGAATTCATTGATTTTTAATAAATTAATTTTAAAATTGAAAATATTTGAAAGGAAAAATTTTTAAAAAAGTTAGGAAACAAAAAGGCAAACAACTAACTTCAAACTGCGAACAAATTATTGGAATACAACGATTATTTATATAGATATTATTGATAATATTAATTAAATATTAGGTATTGATATAATAAAATTTTATATTCTTTGTTTCAGTGTTCTTCGGAGCAAAAGGCATTTCTCCAGTTGGGTGGCTTCGATATTCTGACAAATCTGCTGACATTGGGTTTAAATTCTCAAAATTCGCCGAATACACTGCCCAACAAGTAAGCAATTAATTTTCTCTATATCAATATTACAACTTGTAAATACAATAATATTTTTAATTCGAGTTGAATTAAAATTATTACTTATTAAAATTTCAATAATTAATACTTAATAGAATTTTTATGAGCGTTTCCTCTTTAGTACAATATTACGCCAGATAAAATGATAATATTAGTTGGGATCAATGACAATAACCAATTAAAATTTGAACAAAAATCGATTAAATTGCTATAAAATAAATAATACCTGAAATTTCAAAAATTATTATATAAAGTACTTTAAAAATAAATCATTTCAGGAGTCTTGTTTCGATTTTGCGAGTCTATAAGATTGGAATAATTGACAACATTAACAATATTGAAGCCGTTCTACTTAGCAACAAAGTTCTCGTCTTGCTGGATCTAATTATTCATCGACTGGAGGTATTTAATAATTTTGTATACATTTTACATTTTACTTTCTTTCAGAATACAAAAATTGTGAATATTTAAAATTTCCAAAAAGAATTTAGGAAAACTATTTTTTAAATTATGAAACTTGGAAAGTTTTGTAAATATTGCAAATATTGGAAAGCAAAGTTTTTGAAAACTGAAAAATATTTTTTGATTTTCTTTTTCAAATGTAAAATTTTGATCTTAAGTTGCATGAAGTTTTTTTTTTTTCGTCAAGTTGACGACATATTATAATCTTCAAAATCTCTGACAAAAGAAATCTGTTCTAGCTCTTTACTTTTTTTCTTTTCTTTTTTTTTTGTTTCTTTTCTTTTGTGACTCGTAAACTTGTGGCCTTAAAAGCAGACAAAATCACGAGCTCACTGTTCACACTTGGTATGTGCGGCCCTGATTCTCCCGATTTCCCCCCATCAAATGCATTAGCGGCGAGAGAGCTTTTAGTGACGTCACACACACACTAGAATCCTTTGGGTAGCACTGAAAAAGAAAGCAAGAGTAAACGTGTGAGATATACTTACAATATATATATACGTGCGACTTTATTTAATACAAGCTTTTCAGTTTGACTATTTTATATTTTTGTTATTGGCGCTTGTTAAGTCTATTTGAAAGATCGAGTCTTTATTTTTATTTTTGAAATTTCTTTTTAATCTTCTTCTTAATTCTTTTTATTCATTTATCCATTTATCTTTTTCTCTTATTTTCTTGTTAATCATAGAATATCGTGGATCTATTTTAGAACACGATTCATTTAATAATTTAGCTTTCAATTTCTTCACTTTTTAAATTTAATTATTAATTATGAATTGGAATTTATTATGAATAGTCATTTATGAAGTAAATTTAAAAACAACTTTAAATTTAAATCAACTTTTTAAATTTAAATCGATAATTAAAGTTTAAATTTATTGAAAATAGATGATAATTTATTGTCATTTGTTAAATATTGCATCTATAAACCGTTTACTAATTACTAATCCAATTTTGTAATATTTGTTTGAAAATAACTTCATTTTGTCATTATTTTCTATAATTAATTTTATATTCTATAATTAATTTTACGATTTTCTATAATTAATTTTTCTCTGTAATTAATTTTACAATTTTCTATAATTAATTTTATTAAGTAAATTAAGTTAAATGGAATATAAAATATTTAAAATTGCCAAATTTATTATGTTGGTGATATTTTTGTGCATATTTCTAAATACTTTTTTTCTTTTTTACTATTTTGCTTTACTTTTTTTTTATTGTGACTCCAATTTCTTTATTGACGCTGTTTTGAATTCGTGCAACAACCCTATTATTAAATTCGAAAAGAGAAAGCGACTCATGGATCATTGAACAGAGATAGTATTGCTTTAGATAAGGGGTACTTTCCCTCAAATCGAATAAACTTTCTATGCCAACTCGGTGAGCAAATTTACAATTTCAAAAATGAGAGAAAAAAAACCGAAGGGTCATTGCTCTGTTTACTGTTAAACCGTATGCCGATAAAATTGAAAGACATCATTAAGAGAGCAAGTCGTAAAAATTGAAATAAATTCTACTTCACAAAAATAGAAAAAAATAATGTAAAAAAGTTCATATAAAAAAATGTATATAAAAAAATTAATATAAAAAAAATTCATAAAAAGAAATTAATATACCAAAATTAATATAAAAAAAATTTCGGTAATTAATATTTGCCAATTGATTAATTTAATGCAATTAATTCCCTTTTAATTGACAATTAATTCTTTCAATTATTTCGAAAATTAAATTTTAATTCCTGAAATGATTTATTACTTTTTATTTATTATATAATAAATAAAATAATATTTATTAGTAATACTAGCAAATGTTACGCGCCCCAGCGCTAGAAACATGATATTAAATTTATTATTATGCAAATTACAAAATTTTTTATTTTTAAATATGAATTTTCGAATAATTTTAGACTCAAATTTAAAAAAAAAATTCAATTATTCACTAATTTACTAATTAATTATTCTTGTTCAATAATATCAAAAATTTTAATAAATCCTTCGAAACAATTCAATTCTTTTCTTAATAAGAAAATTTCTTCCAAAAATTCAATTATTTTCAAAAAAAAATTCTATAAAGAATTCAATTTTTTCTTTATTCAATATAAAATCTTTGCAAAAATTCAATTATTTTTAATACAATTTTGAAAAGATTTCATGAGAGAATTCAATTATTTTTTGAATTTTTAATAATATTTTTCGAAAAAATTCTATTTTTTCTAAAATTTAAATAAATTTTTCAAAATCAATTATTTTCTAAAATTTTATTAAATTCTCCGAAAGAATTCAATTTTTAATATTTTTCGAAAAAATTCAATTATTTTCAAAAATTTTTTAAATCCTTTGAAACAATTCAATTATATTTATAAAAAGTAAAATTCTGTGTAAAATTTCAATTTTTTTCTTAATTCGTTATAAAAAATTTCAAAAGAATTCAATTATTTTCTAAAATTTTAATAAATTCTTCAAAAAAATGTAATTATATTTGTAAATAGTAAAATTCTTTGCAAAAATTCAATTATTTTCTAAACTTTTAATAAATCCTTCGAAACAATTCAATTATATTTATAAATAATATAAGATTCTTTGGAAAAATTCAATTATTTTCAAAAAAATTTCACGAAAGAATTCAATTTTTTTCTTAATTCGTTATTAAATTTTTTAAAAGAATTTTCAAAAATTTTAATAAAATTTAATAATTAAATGTTTAATTTCAATTATTAACAAACACGACTATTTTACAAACTTGTAAGAAATTGTTCATAAAATTCAATTACTTTTAAGATTTTTAATTAAAATTTTTAAAGAAACTCCATTATTTAAAAAAAAATTCAAAGAAATTCTTCAAAAAGAGTTTAATTAGAATATTGTCAAAAATTTTAACATATTTCTTCTCGAGAATTCAATTATTTTCCTAAATAATAAAATTCTTCGATGGAATTCTATTATTATTAAATTTTGTGCAACAATTATTAATAAAATAAAATAATATTTTATTTCGTTTATTTTTAATTAATTATTATTGATTAGACACTTTCAATTTCCAGTTTTCAAAAAGTCATAAAATATGATTTCGTTGAAATAAAATTGTTTAATCAAAAATTATTAAATTTATATTAGTTTTCTCTTTATTTTTTTGTTTGAATTTTAATGTGATTGGAAACTTTCTTTCTGGAGCTAAGGAAAAACTAAACCGCAAGTAATTTGGTATTTTTTTCTCGTCTAGGCGGTGACCGCTCTTGACGATCACTCTCAAGCTCAGGAAGCTTCTAACAACACAAGCGGAAACGGATCTGTAGCAACTGGGGCGATACAGTTGCTCTGCAGCCTTATTTCTGAAGTGCCTTTCGAAAAACCTACCCTCCACGCTCGCCTACAGGACATCGTCGGGTGAGTAGTTTTATTTTCACTATCGAATAAGGGTTTAATGCTCTTTTCACATGATAAAGAGCAATCACTTTCTCTCTTTGGCCTCGAATATTTCCTTTGTCCCTATTCTTTAATCACTGTAGAAATTTTCTTTTTGAAAATTATCCATTTTCTATACGATTTCCATGATTTCTATACTAAAATCAGATAAAAAATATTATTATCAAAAAACAAAAATCACAAAAAATATTATTGATAAATTAATATGAAGTTATTAGTAAAAATAAAGAAGTTAATAAAGCCTTTATTTTTTTCTATTTAATAATTAACTTCTTTATTATAATTATTTTTAAAAAAAAGTTAATAATAGTAATTGGACCACCTGAGAAAGATAAATATGAAACTCTTTTGAATTTGACTGAGCGAAGTCGACAAGTTTTGACTGGTGACATGAAACAGAGTGTTTTTATTGCAATGCCTGTGATTCGATCTGGGTCTCTTGTAGACGAACCACACCTGGAGCAACTTCCTTCTTCGGGACCCCCCAAAATGCCACGTGACGCCACTTAACCCTTTTGAGTTTGGCCAGTTTTGGTTACATTTAAACCAATACAGTATATTTCTACTTCACATTTATTTTCTTCTTTCTCAATTTTGCTCTCGACTGTCGTAATCTTATCTGAAAACAAGACATTGGTGTTTGCGTAGGTGGAAATCTTTGAAGCATTCACGGAATGGAGTTGATCTATTTAATAATACTGTGTCTGCTTCTAAATTTAAAATAAACAAAGAGTTGTGTTTTAATATTAATAATATTAGTTTAGTATTAACAATATTAGTTTGGTATTAATAATGTTAATTTAGTATTAATAATATTAATTTAGTATTAATCATATTAATTTAATATTAATACTACTAAAATAATTTTAATACTTAATTTAATTTCTTTTGCCTATTTTCAATTAAAAGACAATTATTACAAAATAATAATCGTTAATTATAATAATCGAGATATTCTGCCCTCACGTGAAGTTAGGACTTTTTAATTCCAAATTGTCAAGTCAAAAGTTTGACAATTAATTTGTAAATAGAGTAATTAGTGTTTTAGTGAAATTAATTCCCCTAGAATTTTGACAATAATAATAGATTTTTGCAGGACAGTAAAGTAAGGAGATTTTATTCATAGAATAAAAAAATATCAAATTATTCAAAATCTTAAATAGTTAAATAGTTAAAATTTTTAGAAATAATTATTTTATCAATTACTTTTGTGATAAAATAATTTAATTCTTGTACACCTTTTTCATGAGAATTGATTTGAAAAAGAATTTCAGTTTAAACTTTAAAAAATATTTGAAGAATTGAAAAAATTAAAGTTGTAATTTTTAGAAATAATTTTTAAAAAAGTTTTACATTGAAAGTATTTTGAAATTTTAATTCCTGATGAACAAATAAATAACAATATATGTATTCAAATATTTATTAAATGAAAATTAATGAAATATGAAAAATTTTAGTTAGAAATTCTGAAAAAATGAGGTTTTTAAAAAAATTGAAATTAACATTATTTGAAAATAGTAAAATTCCCGAAAATAATTTTAAAAAATTGAAAAATTAGGGAAGTTTCTCAAATTTTATATTTCAAAGAATTTTATTTTCTTAGTATTGTGCATAACTAAAAAGTTGGAAAATAATTCAATTTTACAATTATTTTTAATTTTTAGTTACAATTGTTCAAAAAATATACAATATTTAAGAAATAACTTTTAAAAGTTTAAGAAAATAAAATTTCTTGAAATGTAAAATTCATTTCAATGTAATTTGAGATAATTTACTATTTTTTTGAATTATTTAAAAATATTTTCGGGAATTAAACTATTTTCAACAAAATTTTAATTTAGATTTTTTAAAAACTTCAGTTTTCAGAATTTTTCAATAATTTTTTTCAAATTTCATTAATTTTTGTTTAATAAGTATTTTAATAGTTATTGTTATTTATTTTTCCACCAGAAGTAAAACTTTTGAAAATACTTTCAATGTAAAATCTTTTTAAATTTAATTATTTCTGAAAATTACAACTGCAATTCTTCCAATTCTTGAAATATTTTCTAAAATTTTAACTGAAATTCTTTTCCAAATCAATTCTTATTAAAAACGTTGTACGAGAATTCAATTATTTAAATAAAAAAATAATTGATTATTTCTAAAAATTGCAACTGTAACTGTAAAATTTAAATTAAACTAAAAAAATTAGCTTTTGAAAAATCGTAATTAAAATTTTTTGAAAATAGCTGAAATCATAACTGGAAAATTTAAATTAAATTAAAAAAATGAGGTTTTTGAAAAATCGTAATTAGAATTTTTTGAAAATAGCTGAAATCAAGAAAATAATTTTAAAAAATTGAAAAATAGACAATTGTCTCAAATTTCATTTAAATAAATTTTATATTTCAAAGAATTTTATTTTCCCACGGTAGAAAATTATTTAAAAATATTATTGTATATTTGGAAAAATTATAACTAAAAATTTGGAAAATAATTAAATATTATAAAAAAATTTGTATATAAATAATTCAGTTATCGTTGAATTCTAATACCTATGAATTAATTTAAGAAATAATTTCAGTTAAAATTTTGAAAAATAATTATTGAATTTCTGAATAATTTATTGTCGTAATATTTAAAAAACCATTAGGTTTTTGAAAAATTGTAATTAAAATTATTTTTGAAGATAATTGAATTCCCGAAAATAATTTTTAAAAATTGAAAGAAGTAAAAGTTTCGTCAAATTGAAGTGAAATAAATTTAATATTTAAAAGATATTAATTTTATTACTTTTAAAAATTGTTTCGTGTTTTTTGAAAATTATATTTCGATAAATTATATTTTTTAAAAAAATTTCTTTTGTCTATTTTTAATTTACATACAATTTTTTGAATAAATTAAATTGGCGCTTATTTGATATATCATGAGATTAAATTTTTCCCGTTAAAATATTGTTTTCTTTTTCATTATTGTCAAAAAGGTGTCTCGATTTCATACACTTTTTTTCCTGTGATTTTCTTTACATTAGGTTTTGAAAACAGGTTATCATTATCGATGAGTGGCGAAGCGTTACGCCTGGGAGCGCATGATTAATTTCCTGCCGATTAAAAAAAAAAAAAGGTGAAAATTACCTAGTCATGGTTTTCATTCAGCGACTATTATTCTGCATGATATGTATAATATATTTCTATTTCTATATTGATCCATTGTGTAAAATGCACAAAATCTGATATCTCTCGATCAATCATCTGCGCGTTATCTTTTCAAAAATGACACCTGATTTTTAATTAGAATTTTCGATTTTTTTTCGTATTTTCTTCTTTTTCTTTTTTCTTTCTTTTTTTTCTTTCTTTCTTCTTTCCTTTCCTTCATTATTCTTTCGTTCTTTTTTTACCTTTTCTTTAATATTTATTCAATTTACTTATTGAGATTCAAAAATGTTTATAGGGGTTGGCCAGGAGCTTAATTCTATAATCAATATAGAGAAATAATATCAGTAGGATTATGTCAAGAAATTATCGATAAAAATTCAATTCAACCAAGATTGTTAGAGATGTTGACAATCAGGGCTTAAGGAGTAATCGCTGGATAATTGTCAGATGAGAGACGATAGAAAAATTAAAGTGTAAACAGTCGTCCCTATATTAATTTCGTGAAATCGATCATCTTGGGGGTGTTATCGTCAAGAACTGAGGTTTCTGCTTGGGCAAATTCAAAATAAATGAAATCAAATGATTTAGAATATTATGAAAATCATAAAAATTACTAAATTAATTAAAATTGGTGAAATTAAAGCTAAATTAAATTCAAAAAATTTAATAAAATTCTTGAAAAAATTTTCCTCATTTCAATTATTTTTATTAAATTTTCCAAAAGAATTTAATTAAAAGTTTTAATAAAAATTTCCCAGGAATTAAATAACTTACCAATTTTTTATAAATTTCTTCGCACTAATTCAATTATTTTTAATTTTTTAACGAAGTTTTTCGAAAGAATTTAAATATATTCAGAGAATTGAAAAAAATAGTTTTGACAAATTCAATTATTTCCAAAAATTTAAATAAAATTCTTTTAAAAATTCTATTATTTAAAAAAATGTTGACAAAATTCTTTACAAGATTTAGTTAATGAAATTGCAATTTTAATACAATTTTCCTATACAATTCAATTATTTTCAATAAAATTCTTCTTAAAAATTCAACTATTATTGTCACAAATAATACATTTTTTATGGGAATTCAATTATTTAAAAAAATTGGAATAAAATTCTTCGCAAGAAATCAATTTTATTTTCATTAATAATAACATTTTCCTCGAGAATTCAATTATTTAAAAAAATTTTTATAAAATGCTTTATAAATTTGAAAAATAATAATAAAATTGATCATAGAATACAATTATTAATTTCGTAAAATATAACATTCTTCCTAGGAAAACAATTATTTTGGCAAAAATGTTTGTAAAAATCTTCGAAACAATTCTATTATTTTCGTAACAAAGAAAATTTTTCCAAAAGTTATTCAATTATTTAGGAAATTTTCATAAAATTCTTCCCAAGAATTCAATATTCTTTTCAAAAATAAACATTTTCACAGAAATTCAATTATTTAAAAAAAAAATTTAATAAAATTCTTCGTCATATTTCAATTATTTTCAATTATATTTTCGAAGTGTAATTTATCTGGATTTATTTTGATTCTTTTCAAAAATAAACATGTCCACAGAAATTCAATTATTTAAAAAAAAAATCTAATAAAATTCTTTGTCAGATTTCAATTATTTTCATAAATAATAAAACTTATCGTAGAATGTCAATTATTTTTTATGCAATTTTAAATAAAATGATAGAAAATTCCATTTATTCTTAAAAATTTTTGTTAAATTCGCCGAAAGAATTCAATTATTTCTTAACTTTTTTTTTATAATTTTTCTTTTCAAATATTTTCAATTTTAAAATTAATGTATTGAAAATCATC